GATTGTATGAGACGAGGTATGGAATTATATATGAGACTGTGTGACAGAGGCGTATCGACCCAAAATGTTTGATTTGCACCCCCCCCTCGAACTTTTCATTTGCAACCCCCCCCCCCCCCCTCAAACTTTCGATTTGCACCCCCTCGAACTTTTCATTTGCACCCCCCCCTCAAACTTTCAATTTGTTGTTCCAACCCATTTTGGCGCCCCCCCCCCTAAGGTCGGCAACCGGGGACATATGTCCCCCGCCCCCCCCCCCCCTCGCTACGACACTGCTGTGTGAGACTATATGTATGAGACTGTATGTATGAGACTGTATGTATGAGACTGTATGAGACTGTATGAGACTAGGTATGAGATGATATATGAGACTGTAGGAGACTGTATGAGACTGTATGTATTAGACTAGGTATGAGATAATATATGAGACTGTATGAGCCTGTATGAGACTGTATAAGACTGTATGAGACTGTATGAAATGAGGTGTGAGACTGACTGCATAAGACAAGCGTCACATAAATATGCACGTGTATTATGTTCGACTACCAGCTGGTGCATGTTTTGTATGGACATGTTTTCTTGCGCACGCGCCGACTGTAAGTCTACAGAGCTACCTATCTAAACTAATCCCACCATCGCGATGCACTACAGCGCTTGTTGCTGCTGAAGTAATAATTTACAATTCAGCCATCATAAAAAAACAGTATGTTTTGTTGTTGTTGTTTTTTTATTTTGAAGCTCGAAATTTCAAACAAAAACAAACTACAGTATTTACCTACAAAGGGTAAAAGAACAAAAGTGTAAAATATGTGAAACAAACACTTTTTAGCGCAATTTCCATTCTGGAGAATTGCGTTTATTTTAACAGGGCCTGCAAAACATTGACCTAAAAAGTAGGCCTATATTTTGAGTATTTCATTTTTTTTTAAATTTTAGCTTAATAACCTAATTGTGTAGGTGGTATTTTTGAGTTGTGTTATCTAACTAGATCAAGGGTGTTTTTTCTTCTAAAATTTTGGGTCAACATTTTGGGCCATTTTCCGCTTTAGGTTAAAGGTGAAAACAAACTCAGTGCTGCCCCCTTGTACCCCAGACATAGCCAGACCACTGCTAGCCAGATCTCGCTAAATGACAGCCAAAACGCTATTACGCCATAACAAGAACTAAATGTGATTCGTGCGTCATACAATGCCATTTTCTGGCACGCTGTTCAAAGGCCAATCTTGGGGGTGAAGAAGATAGCTGAAAATAGTGCTTTATTCGTTAAGGGTTATTGTTATTTTTAAATACTCAAACCTTCCATTTTGGTGTCCAAACTTCTTAACGCTCACAAAAATATGTTTGAAATAGGCACGCTCTTGGCATAACCTCCTGATTTTGTCTATAAATAATATATTATTCTTGTAGTTATATAACAAAATGTACTCGGGCACCCTTGTTTATATTTATTTTTTCTAGTGGGTGACCATAGACAGATCTAAACGGAGCTCGACTTTAAAAAAAAAATATTAAAATTTTTAGTGTAAACTTTAAAATATACAGTATAAAGTGTGTGTATGAGAACCGACGTCTTCTGAGAGATGAAACTTGTGGCGGTCTATTACTTTTAGTACTCGAACTAGTACACCAATGTGTAATGTAATGAGTGCCACGGCAGACATTAGTCCACTGTTTAAAGCTGGAGAATTTATCTTTCAATTTAGGTGCTGAACACATACAGTTCTATAACAAAAACACATTTCCTAAAGCAATAATATAAAATAATAACAACAGTTAACATTAAGCAATGTTAGATCTATTTAGGAAGTTTAAAAGATATTTATTTCATTAATTTAAAAAAAAAGATACTGGAGAAACGTGTATGGCTACTTCACATGTTTCATCGACGGTGCATCTAGAATGTTCAGCATCGCCGCTATATTTAAACTACCTGATGCAACGTCCGACACCTTGACACCGCGGTGTACTTGTAAAGGTCAAAGTCCCACACCTATCACAACTTCATTCATGTTTTTTTTTCTGTTATCGGAAGGTGCGTCTGTGATAAAGGATGGACCAGCCATTCTCAAATGAAGTCAAGAAGTGGTTTATAGTGTCTTTATATTTTTATTTAATGTTTTAGTTTTGTGTAAAATACTTAAATAAATATAAATTAACACTCTCAGACCATTGAAAATAAAATAATGATATATCGCGAACGGCTGTAATTTTTTGCAAGGACTTATTCAAGGGCTTACCGTAGGCAGAACGCGTCAGATGAAGACTCTCGTATTGTCACTCGACCGTATCCTCGGTCGGTACTTGAGGTGCTAGAACAGACGTGTGTATAGGCTCTTGTAGAGTGTCGGATGTTACAAAGGCGTAGCTTGTCTGGGACATGGAATGATGGGTCTATGCTTCGATTGCTTGGACACTCTTTTATTATGTTCTTTCTTCTTTTTTTTTGTATGGACATCACTAGCTTATCTTCCACCCCACTGAACGCAGGATAAACTCGTACCACACTGTCCTCAGTACTTGGCTAGACCGTAGGGATGACTATAGAATGTAATAGGGACTCTATAAAAGTGAGAAGAAAAAAATGAAAATTCTGCACTGGGTGTCACCATTGGGGCGGCGGCGGAGGGGTGGAGGAGAATGGGGTGGTCAAAATATATATTTCAACCATTGCCTCCCCCAATCCCGGAAATTTAAGCCCCCCCCCCCCCCTCGAAAGTTGCAAATGCCCGTCCCGGAGAAAAAATGTCTGAAAGAAACACTGAGATTGAATGATAATCCCAATGATAACCCATGATACTAGTCTAATGTAAATGTTATCTGTGAAGTGTTTTGACTTGAGAACATTCCTAATCGTAGGAGACCCATCTTACGTAGGTCCAGTCACGAAGGTCGTCTCGTCTATAATTAGCAGAACAGGAATTCTTGCCGTTTAATCTCGTTGTTTGTAGGATACTAACTGAGCCTAAGTTCGAGGGTCTAATCCCTCTTCAATTAGCGAGGGCAGAATGTATCCTGCGTGCACAAACAATAACAAACAATAAACAAGGGAGGTCAGTGTCAAGTCCATCAGTAAAAAAAAACAACTCCATTAAAAATAGGCCTACTGTTGTTTTGCTTTTTACATTTGTTTATTTTACTTTGAACTATGTACTTTGAGTTTATATATAAATTATTTTTTTTAAGAGATAATAATTGCAGAAACAGATAATTCACTTTTAATGGTTGCAGCGCCAACTTGCTACGGTAAACGGAAAAAAGTCACAGGAAAAAAAAACACAGAAAAAAAGTCACAGTTTTTGCTAGGAAAAAAAGTCACAGAAAAAAAGTCACAGTGGAAAAATTTTATCGGAAAAAAAGTCACAGAAATAAAGTCACAGAAAAAAAGTCACAAAAATCTTTTTAGAAATATTTTATGAATTTGTTAAGAATTGTCAATTTTGTATGTTTATAGTTATGGGTTGTATTTTTTGATAGCATAAATTATTTATAGACGTTAAAAGCAATATGATTTATAACAATTGTAAGTAAAAATACTCTAAGATAATTAACACAACAATCTCAACTTTTGTTACGTATTTAGTTAAATACGCGGTAGAAAAGTTAATTATAAAAGAAATTTAGGCACATTTTGCCGTAGGCTATTCTCTGGTCGGCCTCTCCTCAGTAGGCTGTGTCCGAACATTTTGTGTTGCTGACGTTATGCGTCAATGACAGCCTTTGAACCTTGTCGGCTTTCTGTTTTGATCCTAAGTTTTGTTATGTAATGAGCGTGATAAATGTGGGCAGTACAGGTGGTTGAACTAAACATAACTATTGTTGCCATGAGTTGAGGGCAGCAAGTCAGACGAACTTACCATTTCACGGTAATGTAATATTGGTATTTAAAAAAAAAACACGATGAAAAACGTGACTTTGGAGCATTCTATTAAATGCTACTAATCTTAAGTTTAAAATAATTACAATCTACATACTTCATAATAAATATTTTTAGATGAATTATTAAAAATCCTATGCGTATACAGCCTACACAAATTACATTACATTTAATTAATCCTAAGTTAATTTGCACTCTCTAAATATTTAATACATAAAAGTATTAACAAATATCATGCAAATATATATTTGTGACTTTTTTTCCTGTGACTTTTTTTCTGTGTTTTTTTTTCCTGTGTTTTTTTTTCCTGTGACTTTTTTTCCTACAATCCTTGCTACGATGCTAGATTACATAGTCTATTTCGTTTTGAATTAGATCATTACATATTCACTTCATAAAACGTAATAATTATTGCAACTGTAATTTGAATCATTCAAGAAATGGATTATAATTCTACTTCTAGATCATTTTTTATTATTGTGCAAGTTAGATCATTTAGTTTTATGACGTTTTATAAATTCGTCAGACGGCCAGATATGTAATTAAATTAATACTTAGCCTGCAGAAGAAGGTGACGGTCGTTGAACGGACCGTTACCTCTTCACGTGCTCATAGCGTTGCCAGTGTTTTTTATTTCAAATATTGATTCGGTTTTTTTATTTACCCCAATCTAAAGCTTTTCAATGACTCTATTACTTGGGCTAGGCCTACCTGTTCAAAAAGAATCCATTCTTTGTTAATGTATGGTCGGTTGATTCCGGTTTAGTGCGTGGTGGTGCATTACCGCATTGGTTAAATTTAGACAGTAGGGCCTAACATCAAGACGTCATTGTACATTATTAGAATATAGATTCTAGTCGTATATGTTTAAATTTATAATTTCCTAAGCATTTTAAAAGCAGTATTGGATTATTTATATCTTTTTAAATATATAAGCCCCAGGTTATTTGACTGATTTGAGCTGGTTGCTATTTGAAGATCAGAAATCCCGCGTATATTTTGATTATTTAAAGATTCGAGGGAAAAAAACGAGCGCAGAAAAAAACGAGGGAAGCAAATGGGAGGAGCCAAAGCTCTCAGACTGGCGGGCGCGAGAGGGTTGTCTAGGTAAAACGCGCGCGCAGTAGAACAGCCGGTCAGTGTTTCTTTGATCAACCGCGGCTTCACGACGTGGGTTAGTGGTATCCGAGCTCTATAAGTATAAGACTCACCACCTAACCGCCATTACCAGAGTTGGAAACAAACATGTCTCAAGGAAAGTACGACGAGATACCCACACGGGAAATCATGACCATCATCAACGTCGAGGACTTGGACTTAATCGACGAGGGATGTATCACAGATATCACTGACGAGGTAAGGTTTCTGTTTTCCGGTCGTTTTGATCTTGGTGTAGTTGTGCCTGCGTGAGTGTAAGCATGTGGAAGTGACAATCTTCTCTCGTCAAACCAGACCCGAGAAGGGCTAGCCACTGGAGCATCTCTCAAATCTGTGATGCTGACAACGGACAACCTCCCCACCTTGGGCTCGAAAGACTCCGGTTTTTCGTCCCGGGTGTCCGAAGTCGATGCAGGAGAAACGGAGGAGAGTGGCCGGCGCTCACTTCTAAAGGTGCACAGAAAGGACTTGGAAAAACGGCTCACCAGGATCTCCGAGTGCCAAAATGGTGCGTTTATTTTTTATGGTTAAGTAAGTCCTACCTCCAAATTGTCATATTGACGGGCGACAATGTAGCGACTTAAAATGCGAGTAATGTTCGAATTGCGTACGAAGGCGCGAAACACGTACACGGCGCGTTTCGGCTTGGTGTTAAACTGGGACACTGTTTTCTGCGTTTGAAAAGCCGATTTCGTGACTCATACATATTTATAATTTTATTTTTGAATGATTCATTTACATCATGTGCTTGTTGTTTGTTTCTGTATATTTGTTTACGTTCATAAAAAAAAGGTTAAAACCGGCTTGTTTAAAACTGGGCCTAGGAATAAACTAACCCAGAACTAAAATGGGACATGTTTCATCATCGCTGTATCTACTCTTCTTATACTCTGGACTAGACCTAGTTTTTTAGTTTTATCAAAAGATTTTGGGCCTATTAAATTAGGTTAAAAAAAGTAATATCTTTATCTGTAGATTGGCTAGTAATCTAGTATTACGTCTACTTCTATCTATAGTCAATAGTATTACTAAACACGTGTCGAAAAGCCGGCATGTGTATTCTTAGTAACCTCTAATTCTAGCTTCTGCGCACGCGCAGTCCTTGGTTCCTTTTGAAGCGGCTCTGAATTCAGCCAGCTAAAACCGGTTGAATCGAGTTTAGACAAGGAGGTGGAGCTTAGGCCTAGGCCCAACGTTAGTGTAGACCCCTACCGGCCTACCAGTATTGTTCAATCCCCCTTGTGCCCTTGTTACTAATCTTCCCTCCCCTTCGACTCCTTGCAAGTCAGACTGCGGGAATGTAGAGATCTACAAACCATCCCTTTTTATATTTGGTTTGTGAAATATTAATTTTTTTTATAAAAACACAAATTAAAATAAAGGTTAGGTCTAGATCTAGCTAGTTTGCAAATATTGAGCTAAAATTGTAGATCTAGTCTAGGCCCATTTTGCTGATTCTTTTGTCTTTTGTTTTTTTTTTTTAAATCTATGAATATTTTTAAAAAATTAACTTGAATCTTTTCTGCTAGATCTATATATCGACATTTTGGCGAAACAAAGTAGATTTTATTTCTAGAATCTACCACAATAATCTGGAATATACTGGGTTTTTTTTTTTAAGATCGACATTTCACCCCATCATATTTGATCATTCCATTGTGTTCAATATAAAATTGATTTGTCATTGTCTTAGTTAATCATCCTGTTTATGTATTGTGAAATACTCATCTCTCATTGCTGTGAATTTGTTTTGATTTTATGTATATTTTTGTTCATCTTTACAAATATGCTTTATGATGTGTGATATCAATTGAATGTATGATTGTGTTGCTATTTAATTACATTACATTTAGATCTATGTTGTTGCACTTAAATATTATTTTTTTGTCATAAAAATTCAGGGTTTTTGGTAAGTATATAAGAAAATTTTTTGTTATAAAAATTGTATTCTTGACACATGCTTGGCACATGACACAAGACTTTACCTTTTTGTTACTTTATTTTTTCATCAGACTCTGGATGTGTTGTCTCACCAAAATCTGTGCTTTTGGCCATCATCAAGGTCTTGGCTGTGGTGCTGCTCCTCTATGTCTTCATCTGCACCTTGGACCTGCTCAGCAATGCATTCAGGCTTCTTGGAGGCAAAACTGCAGGTAAATATTGCTTGAACTTACTTTGTATTTTTCTGAACAGTTAAAATCTGGCTGTGTAAAATTACCTTATTATGTTTTGGTTTTTGGGACAGAATTATGTTTTTAGTTTTTAACAACAGATGAATGCTGATTACGTATTTTAATAAAATTAGCAGTAAGCTAGGATTTTTATTCATTTTACTTGGGAATACATATACTGAATTTTAACAATTAATGTTGCTTTATATTTTAATACTACTTCATTAAAAACTAATGTATTCAATAAATTTGTGGTTGGCACTCTAACAATTCTTCTATCCTTCAACAGGAAGTGTCTTTCAAGACAGCAAACTCCTGGCAAACCCCATCACTGGCCTCATGATTGGAGTCCTGGCAACTGTCATCCTGCAAAGTTCATCAACCTCTAGTTCCATTGTCATCACAATGGTGGCTTCTAACAGTAAGTTTTGTTATATTTTTAAGAGACACACATTTTACTTAGTTTTCATATTTGTTTCAAATGTGCTGGATAAAGAATTTGAACAGAATAAACAGTAGCATATTTAACATCATGTTATTTTGTAAAACTGATAAACACAAATTGAGAGGGAGATGGTATATAATCTTGTTATTTTTTTAGTAACGTAATCATACATGTTTATTGGTTTTTTTTTTATAGTTATTGACCTGCATCCTGCCATACCTATTATCATGGGTGCCAACATTGGAACAACTGTTACCAACACCTTGGTGTCTCTTGCCCATTCAATGGACCGCAAAGAGTTTAGAAGAGCCTTTAGTGGCGCTGTGGTAAGAACACTTTCTTTTTATCAATATTTTGTTTTGTACTTTTTTTTTTGTTTTTTAAAAAACTCTATCATCTTTTAAGTATCTTTGGGAAAATAAAAGTGTTAAGGGAGAAATGTAAATTTTATTTTACTTGAATATCTTAATATTACTTTAATTTGAGCTATAGGTTTATTTTTTGCTGCTTTAAATGGCTCCCATAATAATACATCATAATGCCAAAAGCACAGAAAAAGAATGTTTACAGTATATTCTATTATGTTTTCAGGTGCATGATGTCTTCAACTGGTTGACTGTTCTAATTCTTTTGCCCCTTGAATACTGCACAGGTAATAAAATAGTTTGTAGTTTGTTTTTACACTTTATTAAATAAATATATTTTACATTTTGAATCTATTTTTGCAACATTTTTTGCAGTGTTTTTACCTAAACTGTTTTTATTTTTAGGCTATTTGTATCATCTTACTGGTGCTGTTGTTAACAGTCTAAATATGGAGCACATGAAAGCCAAAAACCAGGACCTGTTGAAGGTGTTGACTAAGCCACTGACCAGCAAGATTGTACAGGTATACAAACATTCCTTTTAAATGATGGGCACATTTTATGTTACCTACCAGCATTTGTTTATTGTAGCAGGTCTAGAGCTAGGCAATTTTGAAAAGTTTCAAAAATGAAAATAAACCAATAAGTTATTTTATTAAAATTCTATTGGACAAGCTGTTAAACATAATTTTATCTCAATTAATAAACATTTGTGATTAACAACAAACACATACACACATTGGTGTTTAAAGGTTTACTCCAAATATATCAAATTTTGGCTGTGGGTTAAATTCATCTTATTTCATGATGTTTTTGTTGCAGATTGATGAGAATGTTATTACTGGCATTGCTGAAGGAAAACAAGAGTTTGCAAACCAATCAGTTCTCAAGGTAAAATTTACTTCTTAATTTTTAGAATTTGAAGTTTTAAAAAGTAACGATCTCTTGTGTTTTTGTGTCTAAATTTAAAATGTGAGTTCAAGTGGGTTTTTTTTTTACAGGTTTACTGTAAGTTGCCCAAAGTTCTGGAGTATATGCTGAAAAATGAGTCTGTTTATGACAACAGTACTGGTCAAGAATCTTGGGCTCTGGTTAACCAGACAGTATACAGGACTCCAATGGAGAGCTGTAAGTATTCCATTAAACCACACTTTAAAAGTGACTTTCAATTTGTGTTTAGGAATTTAGTTTAATTATTTAAGTTTATTTGGTCTTTAATTAGCTTTTACTGACATTTCAGGTGCCACACTATTTAACCTGATTGGCTGGAACGACACCTCTTCTGGAATTCTCCTCTTCATCTGCTCAATCATTTGTCTGTCCCTCTGCCTCTACCTAATGGTCAAGCTGCTTCACTCACTTCTTGGTGGACAAATTGCCAAGGCTGCAAGGAAGACCATCAATGCTGACTTCCCCAGGCCCTTCCACTGGCTGACCGGTTATGTTGCCATCATCGTTGGAGCTGGGATGACCATACTTGTGCAGAGTAGTTCTGTGTTTACCAGTGCATTGACTCCCCTTGTTGGCATTGGCTGTTTGAAGATTGAAAGAATGTTCCCCTTGACTTTGGGCTCTAATATTGGTACTACATTCACAGGTAAAAAGAATTTTTTTTTAATTTTCAGAAATAAAATTTTGTACTTCTCTTTCACTCACTAAGTTTTAAATGTTAGGATTTCTGATTTTGAAAGTTAGCTTTACAATAATCTGAAATAACATTTTTTTTTGTTCCTTTTTAGGAATCCTGGCTGCTTTGGCTTCATCCCCTGAATCTCTTCAGACTGCTCTCCAGCTAGCTTTTTGTCATCTGTTCTTCAACATCACCGGCATCTTGCTGTTTTACCCAATCCCCAAGATGCGCAAGATCGTCCTGAACACTGCAAAATATCTTGGCCGCACCACTGCTCAGTACAGATGGTTTGCCATTGCATATTTAGTTTGCATGTTCCTTGTTTTCCCTGGCTTTTTCTTTGCCATATCATTTGCTGGTAAAATAGTTTTCATTGTGTCAGTTGTCCTGATAGGTGCCATCGTTCTCTTCATTGTGGTACTGAATGTGATGCAGAGGAATGTCCGCCTGAGGAAAATCCTGCCAAGGCCACTTCTCACTTGGGAGTTTCTTCCAGAGTTCATGCGATCTCTAGCACCAGTTGACCGCTGCATCCAGAAGCTCTTTGTCCCCTTGTCCAAATACTGCTGCTCATGCTGTACAAAGAAATGCAGCTGTCTACAGCCAATGGATGTGGACATGGGTAGTATCGACAGTGACAGCGATTCAGAATCTTCAGTCAATGTTTCATACCTCTCATCTGCCGTGTCTTCAAAGATCTTCCTAGCCTCTCAGTCTGGCACTGACCTGAAGCACACTGAATCCTCTCGCAGAATATACCGCCCTAAGGAATCATCCTCAAGGAGAAACAGCTTGATAAAGAAATCACCTTTACTCAAAGTAAGGGAATCTCTGAAAGAGCCCGAGAGTTGTAATCAAAAGCCTCTATTAAATGAAGGTGAGGCTGAAGACAGGACTGCTAGGTTTTACATTTCAAAATCAGATATTCGTCTTCATAAGCCAGAATTGGAAGAGGCAGGAACACTGTCATCAATACAGGTTAATAATTTAAATGAAAGTATTATTTGATAAATTATACATATCATTTTTACATGACTAACTGCAAACTGTTGGCGGTGAAACCTGACAGTTAATCTGTAAACTGGCTTGCCATATGTGCTGATCTCTTTGTACCCCTGCAGTAGACGCGGGAGGCTTCCACCTGTAGAGATCTAGTAGGATGTTGGCGTGATATCTGGAAACAAACTTTTACCCATTTTTGCTTAGATCTCCAATAGCTACTATGTCAGCTGGGCATTAAGCTCTAACCAAGCTCCTCCTAACTAGTGACTTAACATTGCAGTATTATTTCATGCCATTCCAGTTTTTTCAGCTTCATTCCCTCATGACGTTTCTTTAAACTAAAGAAATAGGATGTGTAAATTTGGAATATGTGATGCAAGATGTATGATGAATGTAATGAAAGGGTGAATGAATTCATACTTAGTTTCATTTTGTAAATATGTACATTTCTAATCATTGCCAAGCGCTATTATTGCACCCTCATATTTAATTCAAGTAGCCCAAGGGTCTTTGTATGATAGTCTGTTGAAGTTATTACATTTTATATAGATCTATGTAGTTTTAACATTTTACCAGGATAGTTGTTAAATAACAGATTATTTTGTATTGTTTAAATTTTAATGACTATTTTTATAGAAAGACCTATCCATTGGAATACATGTATTTAAGAATGATAGATTCATAGTAAACCTCACAATAGTAGAGATGCTACTTATAGGCAATGAAATTGTGATCTATTTTTGTATTATTTATTTTTTTGCTACCGGTATATGACAATTTGACCAATATTGTTTGCATGTTGAGAAGAAAAAGAAACACATGACAGTATCTTAGTTTTTAATTTTTAAATTACTTTTTGGGTTATACATGTTATGGTATTTTTATCTTAAATATTTTGCCAAACTATGTACAACGGCTTTTTGGTAAAAAACACAAAAACTTCATTGGTATATTAAAAATATTTCATAGTGTTTAATAAAATCAAATGTTGTATTTTATCAGTTGTTCTGTTTTATTTAATGTTGTTTTTGTAACCAAAGCATCTATGTTCACTAGTAAAGTAGCATCTGTCAGATATTTGGTACTTGTTCAGATCCACATACACTGGGGCAACTTTGTATTCAGGCACTATGGGTAAAATTAACCATGCTGACTTGTCAACCACTGGGGCAGAGGATGTAGAGCCCAGCTGCATCTACTTTCTAAATGTAGGTCAGGCCCAATCGGACCTTGGTAGTAATGGTAGACTGACATCCTACAGACTAGAGCAGGGGTCTCCAAACTGCTGCCCGCAAGGTCCTCTCATCCGGCCCGCGGAGATCTTTTTGTCCACGGAAAAAACGTTTGTTGGTGATGGCTGAGGAACTTTGCTCAGAAAAATCACGACATGCCTGGAAGAAACTGGCCCCCTTACTGAAATTTGATAGTTAATACGGCCCTCGGACTGAAAAGTTTGGAGACTGAACTGAATTCTACTTTTGGGTTAGCAGTTGTGTGCTCTACCATCCAAATACACCATATCATCATTCTATGGGTGACAGTGTAATAGTCTCATTAAATATAGGTCCTACCTAAGTGTGATGATATTGAAAATAAACTTCTAGAAAATTAAATAAACTATTAGATCTAGAAAATTATCAATTTTGAAACAGCTGAAATTACATATGGGTCAATTTGCATGGGAAATGGACAAGATTCAAATAGTAAACATCACCTTCTCTAGCACCTAATTAAAGGTTGAAAGGGTAATTAGAGAAATAAAATGTCAGCATAATTTTCTGACAGAAAAAGTTGTTGCATCAATTTTGCTTGCTCTATACAGGTATGAGAAACTACCATACTTGCACATATAGTTACCTTTGAGAAAGGTTGGGAACATGTAGAGTTCAAACCCCCCCCCCCCCCCCCCCCCCCCCCCCGTGATGATTTTTATCTATTTCTTGAATGGTGGTAGCTAGAGTACACTCAGAAAACTTGATAAAGTCTTTAGGGGAAAAAGAATTGGGCAGTAACATGTCTTCATAGAAAGTAGATTAGATCTTCTCTTTGGTAGATTGAACCACTGTTTTATAATGCTCTCTAACTAATATTGCATAAAAAAATTGAGATGGTTGGAGATATCACACAAAGCAACCACCAACCGCCTATCCAAAACAACAACAATAATGAAGGGCATTGGGTTGGGAGGGAGGAGAAAGGGAAGACAAATGTGTCATTAGATGGAGGACATCTCAGATTGGACTGGGCTGCCCATTACAGAACTACCCAAACAGATGTCAGAAAATTATGAGAAAATCTACTGTGGTACCCCAACAAGGGTTAAGGGACGATTGATTCATTCCCAATAAACCAGTGTTAAAGATGGTGTAGTATATGCAGAATAAACAAGTGTATTTATCTGAAGTTACAGTTTACTTGAGCTGACTACTCAGTGTCTTTATACTGAATGATGACTCAGCTTGGACATACTACTTGGCCAAGGGGGTTTTGAAAATTCACAAAATAGGCTAATGGCATGGTAATGAATAATGTTTTAACAACACATAATCATTGTGGTTTAGAGATTACGTAAAACAAAGTGATCAATTTTCAGGACCCAACAGCTAACAAATCTGGGCAAGTTGTACATGTCGTGCAAAGTTTATAATTGGGCAAGAAAGGAGGGGCAAAGTTTATAATTGGGCAAGAAAGTAGGGGCAAAGTTTATAATTGGGCAAGAATAAATGTAGTACCCTGACATCTAAAATGAGAGTTATGTTTCTGTTAATCAAATACTGTTTGCCACAGTTGATATGTTAGTTATAGCAGCGTCTGGGATTTGGCTCAATCCAACACAGGCTAAATGACACTCCTGTACACACACCCAAGAGAGGGGAGTGGGTGGCAACACACACTAACATAAGTATACCCACAAAAAAGCAGCCAATAAAGCAGTAGATAAGTGCATATGTAGTTATTCCATGTTAACATCATAGCTCTTAACTTAAACCGACAATCTAAATTACACTGCTTCACCTGTCCATCTATGCACATAAAGCACCTAGTTCTTTATGTATAATTTGTACATATATCCTAAATATAAATATTAACACCACAGCTTAATTTTTTCACGTTAGGTAAACAATAACAGCATAATCCAAGGATTAAAGATAATCTCTAAAATTTTCTTAACTGTGTACAAGCGAATCAAATCAGATAGTTGAGATAGTTTATCTGTTTTCATGACCTCTGCATTCACAGAGATAGAGTGTCATGAGCATTGTTTCATTTAAATTTGCAATTTCCACTGTTGAATTAGTGCTTTTGCCATCAAATAAAGTGTCATATATCACAAAATGTATTTTTTAAGTGTTTTTAAGTACAACAGTTGATTTTACAATAAATGGTGTTTTTACCTATGGTGCAAAGTCCTGGTTTTTTTTAATTAGTACTTTTCTGTCAATTAATAATTGTTTGTAGAAAAAGCATGCTTTTAGAATAGACATTATGTTAAAAACATTCTTTTTCCTTCTAAATTGATTCTTTATGGTATTTGTAAATGTTTAATTTTTGCAAAAATGAACTCCTAGCATGTTGATTCCAAATTTTCTTCTACTATAGTTAATCAAAGCAGTTATGTATTGGTATTACCATCTTATGGTTCACTACTAAGTAAAGTTGTGTAAAAAGATTTCTATAAACACATTGTAAATGTTTATAACACAACAATTCTATCAGAAGCTAAATCATAAGGCCGATTCTAGTCGGAGTAAGATACGCATGCGATACGCATGCGCAATGGAGAGAAACTACGACTTAGCGGCGATGTTTTCGATGGTACTGCGCATGCGTGTGTTTACAACCGCAGAACCCTAATACCAACCCTAATCCTATCCTTAACCCTATCCCTAATCCTAACCCTAGCCCTAATCCTATCCCTAACCCTAATCCTATCCCTAACCCTATCCCTAATCCTACCCCTAACCCTCATTCTAACCCTAGCCATAGGTCACTGCGCATGCGCAGAACTATCTTTTGCCGAAAAATCTTATTCCGAGTAGACACTTCGAAATCATAAACATGCTTCAGGGAAGATAACTTTTGTTTAAATGTAGTTTAAACAGTTTCTAGAATTACTGTAAATTAACAAAATGTTTATTCTACCATATTGGCGTCTTAATTCAGACACTAACTGTTCAAATTTTCATAATTTACAAGAAAAAATTGCATTTTTATGCCTTAGTCATTTAAAATATCAAAATAACAACATTAACACTTCTACTGTACTACTATGAAACTGAAAAGTTTTTATAATTGATTTTTATTTTTTTGCTTTAAATCATTTTAAAAATCTATTTACACATATAATAGTATTCAGTTTGTACAATTATAAAATTACATTTCTTTAGTTTTCTGGGGGCTTCTGAGACGCATCCTCTGAGTACAACTTTGGCAGCTTGAGGCCAACAATATTAGCGCTGCTCTCTACACTTCTTTCACCCCTCCCTCTGTACTGAACAGCCAGTTCCTGAAACAAAACAAACATGAATAGCTGATGTTAGCATATAAAAAGGGTGAGTTCAAGACAAAATGAATGAAGTTAAGGGTGTGAATTAGCACTAATCAACAGAATGTGACAATTTGTTTTTCTTTTATAATTAGGTATACTTTAATTTAATTTCACATGTATAAAAACTTATAAAAACTAGCTTTTAAATGCATTCAAAATAAAAGAAACATATATTTAATTTATCTTTTGTAGTTAACCCTAAAACATTGGTCAATTTAGAAATCGAATACATTTTATGACCTAATAGTTCTTTGACACCCAAGTATGCTAAAAAAAAGTTAGCTTTACACAAATAAACTGAAACTTGATGATAATGTCACAAATATTTTCAACTCAAACTCTACACTACTCATCTAAAAGATTTGTTAAACATGAGAACCAGTTCACAAACCCACTCAGACAGAGCATGGGACTTGGGGAAAAACTTAATTATTATACAAGCTTCTACCTCCTGTTTTCTGAGGCTGTTCAAATAACAAAGATATGTCTGTGCGAGGTGTTCAACTTCATGCTTCTCTCTGCATATTTTCTCTCCTGTTGTGCGAAAGTAGTGAAACTGATCTTGCAGATACACATAGATTGGAACTTCACTGAGATTTTTCTGAAGAAAAAGAAGACTTTTTATTTGTAAAATGTAAGGTCATATAAAATAAATGAGCGTTTTTCAGCTAGTTTTTCTCATAACTGAATTAAAGGTATAACAAAAAATAGTAGGGGTAGGATTAAGAAACAGTAGTAGGTAGCCTTTAGTTGTCTGTGTCTCATAATTTAAAAACAGCAGAGGCTATACCCAGTCTTTACTTTTAATTGGATACATAAATTGAAAAACACTTTACTTTTCATGGCAGTGAATTTTAATTGTTTGAATAATTCTTAGGGGGGTAACATTGTATAGCTGACAATTAAGTCTCAAGTTAAGATCTTGGCACGAGTCTGTAGGACATTCTTGAGTCTGTTGGGTACCTGATTCACATTAGATAATCTAAGGCTGCTGGTGGGCATATTGCAAACTACACAATCCCTCTGCATGCAGATAAACTATCTGCCCTTATTTTTTTGTGCAAAAATGAGAAATACAATGAGATTATGTTTAATCCTTGGATTATGCTGGTGATATTGACCAAATATGAAAAAAAATTATTAATTAATATTTTTATTTAGGTCATATGGCCAACATACAACAAATTATATATAAATAAAGAACATGTGAAGCTATGTAATTTAGATTATATTCAATATATTTTGTCAAGTTCAGAGCTATGATATTATTATGGGGTGATTTTAGATACAGATGTCCGATAATAGACTCTTACATAAAATAGATGTGTTGGGTTGTTAGAAGTATTGTAATCTCGACTAATTTTATGGTTAGAAATTAGGGTTGGGCGTATGGTAGGACCAGGGTTGGGGTTAGGGACAGGGTTAGCATTGACATAAGCCAGCCATGTGTGTATTTAGTTAACTGCCAGTAACCTAACACCCTTTTTTAAAGAAGATTCCATTATCGGACACCAGTATAAAAATTTCCCCCTATACTAATTCCCCCCTATACTATCATACAAAAATTTTCCCTATACTAATTCCCTCCTATACTATCTATAATATAACGTCCTTCCTCGTGTTATCACTATAGCTTTTGGAACCATAAAAGTAAACATCGCACCATGCAGTGATTTTCAGTGCAGCAGTGATTTTCAGTGCATCGCATTGTCTTATTATAAGTAATAGAGTAGGGTTTGTTTACATAACGACTTAAATTTACTTTATAGTTGCCACTGTTTTTACTCTTTTGCATAACATAAAGAAAATGTTAAATACATGCACATTGCTAAAACATATTAAAAGGATCAATGTCAAATATCATTTTCGGTTATATTCCAAAAAAAGTGGATACATTTTCATAACAGTAGGGTCTAAAAAACTAATTAATTCAACTTTTTTTTGTAATTTTGCCAAGGGAAGTAATTTTAAAATAAATTCAACTCACTCTCATTAAATTTTTTTTATTACTACCGCATTGGTTATTAGCCTATATGTTAAGGTTAATAATTAAAATAGAAAAATGTTAAGATTATATATATTATTTTCTAATTCGACTATGATCTCTCAAAATTACTATTTTTTTGTTTTTGTTTTTTGGTGTTATTAAAACAGATGGTGAAATCAGACATAGAGAATGCTGGAAAGGCTCTCTCTGGGCGCGGACGCCTGGGAAAGTGTCTTTTTCTGTGGTGATTCTTATTACATTGCCAATGTGTTTTCTTAGAACCATAAAAGTAAACACCACTTGCTGTACATTTATTTGCATCACATTGTTTTATTGTAAGTTATGGAGTAGGATCTATTTATGTGACTTAAATGTTTAATGCTGGAAAGACTCTTTGGGTGCGGAAGCCTAGGAAACCATGTTGTTCGGCGATGATTTTAATGTGTTTGTGTTGTGTTTGTATTTGTTTCTTTCTTTTGTGTTTGCATTATGTTTGCGTTGTGTTTGTTTTGTGCTGTATTTGTGTAGTGTTTAGTTTTGTTCTGTTCCCAAGTTGGTACATTTAAAAAACATTCACCGTGACGCCGCACGGGTATGCAGCTAGTAGTAATATAGTCGGGTTTATTGATTGAGTGATTGCATTGCTCATTTTACATTTTAGTAAATTTTACAATATTATTATAACTTATAACTATAACAATATCACCCTTTCTTTAACAAGTTTATGAATAGCTAATATGAATGTACTAGAAGTCCATGTAATTGTAGATCTAGGAGGTAGTCAACACAATTTCAGAAGAATCCTTGGCTTTTGGTTCGTTTTACGGTACAATACTAAATACAGTACTACTACTAGATCTAGATCTACCTGGAAAAACTGAGTACAGACACGAAAGCTCACACTCACAGACAGTGAAATCAGTGAAAACACTACAGTCCCAACCTCCTGCTGGGTTTAAAATTTAGGCCGATATTAGCCGGAAAGAGATACGCATGTGAAATGGAGAGAAACTATGACTTGTCTTCGCTGCGATGTTTTCGATGATACTGTGTGTTTACAACCGCAGAACCCTAGCCCCAAATCTATCCCTAATCCTAGCCCTAACACTATCCTTAACCATAACCCTAGCCATAGGTCACTGCGCATGCGCAGAACTAACTTTTGCCGACTAGGTGGAGACGTTGGGGCGAAAAATCTTTTTCCGAGTAGTCACTTCGTAAAATTTAATTAGGGCCTATTTAAAAAAAAAATCAATTAGTTGAATTAGTATTAGGCCCCTAAATCTAAATCATAGTAAATCTACTAATTTTAGTAATTTACTAAATCAGAAATCTGAATCTGGTTTTAAAATATCAACTTCTTAGTTCTAAGAGAGCCATATTCCTAACCCTGGAATTATACCAGCGTCTGATTGGAATAATAAGAAGCGTTAAGCAATTAGTTAAATCAGGTTCAGTACTGAACAAGCTTTACCGTTTTGTAAATTAATCTTAGTTCTTTCGCCAGTGACCTCAAAACAGAGTAAGGTTGAGAAGCCATGATTTTAACTCTTTCCTTTCGATTTGAAATGAACCGGAAGCAAATTATCCTAAACCAAAAGTCGTGGACTACATAGATTTGAACTTTAACCTCAAAAATGTAATTTATACTGTAAAACTCTCAGCCTATGTGTTTAAAAAATTGCTCTGTTCGACTTAGAGAAAAGTCCAAGTGCATTTATGATTAAGTATGACTCGGTTACAGCATAGTAACAGTTTCTTATACGCCAGACTTCACAAACAAGTAAAAGTTGGTAAAATCGCCAGCTTGGACCTGTTATCACGGATCATCATTAATGAGGTCAACACATATAGTGAAAGAGGTTTGTGGCGATCTGCTACACTTCAGGTAAAGAGGGTGGGGGTAAGCAAACGTAACGGAGTACACATATAGTATTATTATAAATCAGGGGTCTCCAAACTTTTCAGCCCGAGGGCCGCATTAACTACCAAATATCAGTTCGGGGGCCAGAGTCTCTTTGGGGTGGCGGTGTCCCCCGTGCCCCCCCCCCCCCCCCAACGAATTATAATATTATAATTTATATAGAAATGTATACATATTTTAAATGCACCCCCAGGAGAACAAGTCTGAAAGAAACACTGTCGGGGGCCAACAACACACTCGAGGTCCAAGTTTGTTCTCCTTGGGCAAACACAAAAACCCACCCGCCATTTTTTGAACTTGTCTCTAAGGAAGTCATTTGCTTGCAATTCAATGACCTCCATCTGCAGTTCATCTGGGCAACTGGTTACATTTGCTTCAAATGGGTTTTTAAAAAAGTCTCACTTCTTCTGCCTGTGAATCCTAGTCAGAAAACCGCTACTGAAACTGCAGCTGGAGGTCCTTGATGATCTTGCATGCAAATGATGTGGGGAACTCAGCTATTGCTTCAGCCATAAAGACCTTGCACTGCTGAAAGTGCGTCAAGTTGTTGCCCTGTACTTGTTCCAAAAACATGCTATCCAGCGACTCATCCATTGCAATTAAAAATTGCAAAACTTGTAAGAATTTTTCACTATTTGAGTCACAATGTTTTTATCAATGTCTGCAACGCAGAGGGCAATGGTATTTGCACCCAAAGGTACATGTTCAAATTGTTTTGTATTTTCTGGGCAAAGTTTCTCAGCCACTTCTAACAAACATTTTTTTCCGTGAACAAAAAGATCTCCGCGGGCCGGATGAGAGGACCTCGCGGGCCGCATTCGGCCTGCGGGCCGTAGTTTGGAGACCCCTGTTATAAATGATAAATATGTAAGCCTACAAGTGAATTAGTAAGAATTGTTAGGCCTTTTAAAGGCAGTTGGTAGCTTGGTGACGTAATTTAGAGGAGGAGAGGGGGAATTTATAATGAAAATCTGCTTGGTTACAGGTACAAGCCATATGTTTTGTCGGAGGCTCTAGCTCTAGTCGGTGGCTGCTTAGACAATACTAAAATTATTGTGAGAAATGTGTGCGCATTCTTCTGTCTGCATAATGTTCTACTGAGTGCATGTTCTTCGTTTTGTGTAAATTTCAGTGTGCGGATTTAATTTTTTTTATTAGTCCCCCCCCCTCCCCCAACACTCTGAACGATATAAAATGAATTACTTTATTATATAGAAAATATATAGGCTACCGAAAATTTTAGGAATCCCACACTGCCAACTCACCAAAAAGGGACAAAAGTCGGGAAAGTATACTCCAGCCTATGAAAATGGAGATGATGACAAAACAAATATAACATAGATTTTTAATAAGTCAGACAGAAGCTTATCAAACACCATGACGGCAGATCAACTGTTGATGCTGAAGTCTTCACATCTTTTTTTTTATTTTTAATTATGCAGATCTTGAGCAACCTAGAGAACGTAGATCTATATCTTGCAGAGGCGAAACTATTTTCACAAAACTGCCCATACCTTAGCAAAAACTATTACTCACCCAGGTGTGGACTGGTTGTGTCCAAGCCGCCCAGGACGATCCCCACCCGACTTAATTTTCATCGTACATTTTTATACCTGGCGGCCCGCTGGGATTTTCAGCGGTGTCCGCGGCCCAGTATATATAAGCCTAATCGTCAAAAAAAATTAAATTAAAACTACAGTTTTAAAGTTGAAAAAAGACATAGGGATCCCTGCTGTAGCCCCGTGAATATTTCTTCAGAGACGCGAATTTGAAACATTTTGAGTAGTCTATATTTTCTGAAAAGGGTGACTATTTTTACTTTCTCGTATATACGTAGTATAGAGAAAGTATTGTAATCGTGCAAAAAAAAAAAATCGAGATTTTTACAAATCTCGACGTTTTACACCTCACTGATACGGAAAAACATAATTTTGCAATCTTGTCCGTATGTCTGTGTGTGTGTGTGTCTGTCTGTCTGTCTGTCTGTCCGTGTGTAAACACGATAACTTGAGTACCGTTACAGCTAGGTTGATGAAATTTCATATATAAGTATTTTATCAAAATCGTAGATCCGTATCAACTTTTGAGCGATTTCCGATAACCGGAAGTGGTACTTTTCCTACTTTGAATTTTTCAAAAGCCTATAACTTGAGTACTATTTCAGATAGATAAATGAAATTTCACATGTAAGTAAAAGATCTAATTCTCTACCTTCTGTTAAATTTTGAGTAATTTCCGTTGACTGGAAGTAGTAATTTACGCTACTTCCGATTTCTCAAAAAACTAATGTAAATTTTTAAAGTACTAATAATATTGCGCACTATTATACGCGTTTTTATTCGGCGTTTGCTTGGTGCGCAATGTTTTTTTTATGAGATTCTATTCTATTTTTAAAAGTTTAAGTATTTAAAATGGATTAAAAATCATAACTATATCCCCAGTTACCATCCCCTGTTGTTTTATATAAGAATATTCGAGAAAGTTTAGGGGAGATCACTACCGGTTTATTTAAAATAATGCACACATTTTGTATATTGCCTACTGATAGGTTATAAACAAATATTTGTATAAATAAATAGTCCAAATGCTTTTTAAATAATAATTTGATTAAATAAAAAAATATGTTGAAGCTATCTACGTTTTTCGATATTATACAATTATTAATGAGCAACTATTAAGTCCAAAATAATAACATCTCTAGATCAGGTAATGAGCTAAGAGTACTTTCATGACCTAAATTTTTTCCACGAAATAAAATTGTTAACACTTCACTTACATGATGAATTTTTCATAAATCCTAAAATGAGACGCATTTTGTAGGAGTCCTTAGGGTCACATTACCTTACTTACCCATTCTAAATTCTACCTGCTCGTAAATTACCGTACTACACTTAAAATTAAATCCCACATCAGCAACCAGTTAATTACAGCGCCTGCGTATTTTCTTCTCGAATTACACACATTGACTTTTCCAGTGATTATGTATTTCTTGGATTGGAGCAGTGGTTCTCATAGCGTACATACTTGGGGGAATGGGGAGTCGCGGTATAATTCACACAAATATAACAAAATTATAACCAAATATAACAAAATTTTATTAAAATTTAGCAAAAGAAAAACATGGTCACAAAGCGAAAATAGCGGGGGGAAAACCTACATTACTGCTCAAAAGCCTATGAAAAGTTTCTAACTACATTGCACTTTAAAATGTTTTGTAACCAAAATAGTTTCTCGTCTCTATGATACTTTCAATTTAAGACTGAAACAGAAACGACAAGTCGAATCGAATTCCTCGAATCGGCTAGGTCTAATAAAAGTGGTATCGAAGATGAGAAATATACGATTCTGTATAGCCCAGTCGGAAAACTTTCGAAGAACCAATATAAAGCCGTATTCCCCTATTCCCTGTTGTTTTTCTGCGCATGTTTTTAATTAGTTCTCGGATTTATAAACTGAATGATTTGAAATAAAAATACGAGGGAATTGAGAGTATTTGTCACTTCTAATCACACCTTTACTGATTACATTTAGAATTTTAGGGAAAAAAATAGTTTGATTAACAGCTGATATTTTATGCGCGACACGAGTTTCTTTTATGCATCTCTCGTCGCGGTTGGGGGTGTCAGTGGAGCAAGTCCACCGCTCTCCTGGGCAAAATTTTTAAAAATCATAATGTATATAGAAACTATTTTTGCCTCCCTCCCCGGAAATTTCAATTGCTCCAACACCCTCTACTTCCCCCATCCGGAAAAAAATGTCAGACTGAAACCCGGAGCTCAGAGTTTATTCCATGCATCTCTTCTACCCCCCCTCCCCCGAACGACATTGAATTTATATAGAAAACATACTTTTACCAGAGTCCACTCCTCCGAAAAATTTACTCCACCCCCCCCCCCCCGAAAAAAAAGCGCGCCCCGGAGAAAAAAGTCTGGAAGAAATACTGCCTGAGCTAGAGCTCTAAAATTTGGGAACCAGTGTCCCAGGGAGTCGCCTGTCTGTGACACTAATTGTGCCGTGAGAAGAAAAAATTCTCATGTAAAACCCGATTAATTTTATTTTTAAATGTTGAGTTTAAAAAGAAAAGAAACAACAATTACGGTTATATCAAGTAAACAAAACGCTGCAGCATAATAGAATAGGGGATCTGATAATCAGTGTTTCTTTCAGGCTTTATTTCTACGGGGATGTACTTGAAATTTTCGGGGTGGGGGAGTAAATTTTCCGGGGGCGGACACTGATAAAAGTATATATTTTCTATATAAATACTGCTGATGGTATGCTGACATATAATACCTTGGGAACAAAATGTGGTAGTAATTAAAAGATTTCCAGTAATTGTAAGGGTAGGGTGAGATACGGTATAGGGTGGAGCCGTATGTAAATAAAGTCGCATGACTAGGGTAAACCCATTCAGACGAATTGCACCATGGTAAGGGGTTTCAATAAATGTGATTATCGTGTAGTGTTTTTTTTTTAAAACTTAAACGGTAAAGTGTTGAAGAACATACTGATTTTTGTTGGGAGGGAATTTTCTGACATTGTTTAACATGTGTGGGTGGGGGGGGGGGGGGGAAGGAAGAGAGGTGTCTGACTTTTTGACGAATGTGTGACGTCATTTGCGGACGACCCAGATTTCATGTTGGTCCAGTGTATTGCAATGTCGCGTTGTCGTAACGGGTCTCTACGCCTCTGCAAAAACCCAGCCGTAAACTTTCTGCTCTAATCAAATGCTAGCTCTAACCAAAAGTGTTACTGTTAAGTATCATTATTTCTTATCGGCAATACGCGTTGTTCCATTATGTAGGTAAATTAAATCGATAAAAGCGAGAAACTAGAACTGATTTTTTTTTAAAAATAAGGTGTTTAAAAACCCACAATAAAATAAATCAGAAAGTCCACCTACGGGTTAGTTGCTAGTAAGTCTAAGTTCCCCTTTAAAGCCTTCAGTGTTTGAAAAGAACAACTACTTTTTATTTGGACCAGACTGTAAGTTTAACATTTTAAAATGTGGATGGCTAGAAAAAGAACGTGTTAAAATATCGGGGAGAATAAAAAATCTGAACGGAAACGATCATGAAATAAAAGAAGAGTTCGTGGGATATAATCACCCGAGCCAGATTTTAATATATCCCTGGTGAGTTCTATCTCATTATAAATTCCCTTGTCCTTGTAAAAATATGCTGAATAAAGACATTTTTATTCTGCGTTGGTGATTGATATTTTTTTATTTTACTGTAAAACCACTTCTTTTTGTATTGTATCAATTTTCAGAGCAACTGAATTGATTTTGTTTTTGAAAAAAATTCATATGTAACAGTGTGTAGCCCTACTGGTTGGTCTAGAATGTTTAATTTTTAAACGCTAGTACGTGTTCCAAAGTATACAATGTCTGTTCTATTATAATTAGAGAGGGTATTAACTTTTTCTTGTGACGAGGGTGAGATACGGTGTGTGATTTATGTTGTGTCAAGTTTATATGGAAATAGGGGAAATAACTCTTTTATTGTTCTCACATTTGGGGCACTGCGCCGTGCAGTGATGTAGACCAAGCTTCGCCGCATAGACTTCAACAAAAGTTAGTTTCACGTTGTTGCTCTGGGCATTTTGTCGACACTTCTGTATGGGCAGAGGCGTAGCTAGGGAAGGGCGGATGAGGGGGGGGGGCGGCAAACTGGGTAGAAAAATATTAAGAGGTTATTCTGAGCTGCATTACTGAATTATATACAGTCAAAGTTAAGAAAATAGACTACTACTTGGCTTTTCCTCATCATTAGTGGGACACCAAAATAAAAAAATAACTGTTACGGGAAAGTAGGCCTAACTGATGAAATGCGCCCCAACCTGTCCGATTTGGGTGGGGGGGGGAGAGGCATTTTTGCCAACTTTATGAAAATGGGGGGACACAAAATTGGTACTTCGCCCCCGACGCCAGATTGGAGAGGGGCTATCTTTGGAGTTATTACCCCTTTACAGCGATATCGGCAAGAATAGTGTCACACTTTTCACACCCCCCCCCCCCCCCATACACAATGAGTCTGACATCACCAACAACAAACGTAAAGTGATGTAACACGTAAAGCCTCTTTCTAAAATATACACTGTAGTGTGTCAACATGATCAAGGTTAAAGGGCCTATATTGCTGAGTGTTTATAACAATTTACATCAGATCGTTTAAAATTTTAAGTGACTACTGAATCAGTCGGTTTACTGGTTTGTTTTTAAAAGTGCAATAATGTTACGTAGCACTATCTGACCCCCCCCCCCTTCCACGGGCCCCATCTCCTTTCCATTTCCAGTGTTTCTTTCAGACTTTTTTCTCGGGGGGGGGGCACTTGAAATTTCCGGGGGTGGCGGACATTTTCCGGGGGGGGGGGGGACACTGGTAAAAGTATATATTTTCTATATAAATTCCATTTCGTTCGGCGGGGGGGGGGGGGACTTTCTTCGCGGGGGCTCCCCCCCCCCCTCGAAGAGATGCCTGGAAAAAACTCTGCCCCTTTCCCAGCATTAAAAAATCCGCCCCCTAGGAGTGTGACGTCACTTAAGGGCTACTCCTAGGGTCTATCTTTTCGGAAAAGAAGTCGCAATGCTTGATCCTAATGTAATGTATCGTACCGAGTTTTTTTTCTCTTTCATTTAAGCATTTTTTTAAGTGCTTTCTCAAGGTTTAAAAAAAAAGATAATACGCTTCATAGACCAGGCTATGATTTAGTTAATTGCAGCACAATTTTTTCTTCTAAACAGATGTGTGTGAGAGGGAGGGGGGGTACTTTTGTGTTAATAAGTACCTGTTGTCCCACTAGGACATTGACCACCGATCAAAGTTTCCATCAAACTCGATCATGGGCTAACTTTTTCTACCCCCTACCCCATGACAAAAAAACTGCCACGTTACACTGTTAATAGGTCTAATAAGGGCGGTGAAAAAATAGAGTGCGAAGTTCTCTTCTAAAGCATGTGTCGATAGATCTAAAAGATTGCATATCATTTTAATTTCCTTTTTTTTTTTCAAATTTCTTTTTTAACCGTCGTTTGAGCCCTAACCAATACTTAGTGATCTGTTATTTTTAGTATATGTGCTATACAGCAGTTTATCTATTTGGTTTTCTTTTATGCTGGTATGACGTTTTTTGGTTGGGATCAGGCTCGTATCTTAGAACCGCTTAAGTGTTGGCGTACTTTTCCTTTGCCTGGATGCAAAGGCGAATTTCCGGCTTCTAATTTACTTGCATGAAAACTGAATTTTCTGTAAATGCTAATGATGTCCTCTTACCCCATTACCGGGGCGGTGACACTTGAAACTTTCGGATTGGGGCTGTGGGGCGCACTTAAAATTTTCGGAGGGGGGGGGGGATACTGCTAAAGTATATATTTTAAATACAAATTATACATTTTTTCTATTTAGTCCGGGTAGGGATTGGGTGGGTGATACATCTGGGCATTGCCCCACCCTCTGAAGAGATTGCCAGAAAGAAACTAATCATAACACCAACGGGTAGCCCGCGACATTGGAGAAGTTAAAATGTTGCTTGCAATATACGTCCATCAGATTTATCAATCAGGAGTAAACATGGTGGCAGACAGATCGGGGGTAGGTTGGTAATAACATCCACAAGCGAATGACAAAAGTACTAAAGATACACGCGGCCAGCACTAAACAGGTCACACTTGTTAGAGTTCCCCTTGAAAGAAAGTCCAGTCAGTTGTATTGTGGACCATCAGGAAAGAAAAGATGCAGGTGTTAAAGCAAGAGCAGCCTTCACGCAGCTAAAGATCATCTGGGGCTTCCATTGAGCTCTCCTTGTCCGCAAGGTGCGCCTTCAAACCCCAACGTACAATCAGTGTTGTGTTGTGTGAGTCGGAGACTGGAAGGACGACAGATGCCACCACTTATAAAGCTATGTTTCTTTCCAGACTTTTTTCTCCGGGGGGTGCACTTGAAATTTTCGGGGGGGGGGGGGGGGGGGGAACAACAATTTCCGGGGGGGGGGGGGGAGGACACTGTCAAAAGTATATATTTTCTATATAAATTCCATTTTGTTCGGGGGGGGGGGGAGGGGTGGCGAAGAGGAGGCCCTGGAAGAAACTATCTTATAAATTCCAGACCTTTATAAACAGCTCCTTCAGACAAATACGCAGGATCCGCCGGCCCGACACAATCAACAACGCACATCTATGGGGAACAACAGGACAATTTTTTTGCCGATGAAGAAATGAGGAAAAGAAAGTGGCGTTGGATAGGGCATAACACTGCACAGACCGCCAACTATCACTAGGCAGGCATTGAGGTATAACCCTCTAGCAGTGTTTCTCCGGGGGGGGGGGGGGGGGCACTTGAAATTTTCGGGGGAGGGGGCGTAGACTCAGAGGGCGTAGCGACCCTTTCCGGCGCCCGGGGACAAACTTTCAATTTGGCGCCCCCCTCGGGAGCAAATTTTCGAGTTTGCACCCCCCCCCTCAAACTTTCGATTTGCACCCCCCCCCCCCTCAAACTGCATAAATGCAGCTTAAATGACATTTTAATTTGTTTTTACAACCCATTTTGGCGCCCCCTAAGGTCGGCGCCCGGGGACATATGTACCCCCCTGCCCCCCCCCCCCCATCGCTACGCCTCTGCCTAGACTTTCTTCGGGGGGGGGGGGGGCGGACACTGTTAAAAGTATATATTTTCTATATAAATTTCATTTCGTTTGGGGGGGGGGGGCGGGTAGACTTTCTTCATGGGGCTCTCCGGGCCCCCCCCCCTCCCCGAAGAGATGCCTGGAAGAAACTCTGCCCTCTAGGAAAGCACAAAAAGAAACAACTGGCGACGAGACGTGGAACCTACAAAGATGGACTTCACCTGGAGCCAGGCTGAGAAAATTGCACAGGACAGATGACTAGAGATCTTTGATTCGCAGGGGTGACAGAAAATAACGATATTATGTCATCAGCCAAAGAGTATGTAACGGTATAGATGCGATTAATGGACATTGGAAATATTCATATTGTTGTAGGCTATACAACAAAGCAAGAAAACCACCCTTGTCAAAGAAACATGCGAAAAAACTACCGCTTTTGTAGTTAATTAATAGGGTCTACAATGAAGGCTAATCTTTAAATCATGATAAATCATAAAAGTTTTCTTGTAAAAAAAAATAGACCATGATCTAGATCTGGCTGTTTTCAACATATAAAGTCCGAATCTTATAATTTTAACTAGAATCTAGAGAATCTAGATCTAGGCCTACGACGTCTAGACTCAAGATCTAGTTTACCTACTGAGACGACCTCCCAGATCTGCTAACGGGACAAACTCAAATTATTTTTAAAAGGTTCAAGCAAAAAATTAAAAAACAAAACTAGAACTCTACAGGTCGAACAGTAGACAAAATCTGATTATTGACTGCAAAAAAAATAGAATATTGTCATTAACTTCGCAGGGTTTTTAAAATATACAATTTTTTGTAATAAAGAAAGATTGATATCCAGACTATCAGAAAATGCGCTACGGCACACTAGCGTAGCCTATACTACAGCACTGTCCATCATTTTGCCATGGTTGTCCAAGGCACTCAACTAACCTATTTATTCTTCCGCCGTTTGATAAACAATCTTTTAAATGTAGAAAAATAATTTTTCGCAGCTTCTCTTTGATATATATTGCAAACGTTGGTTTTATAAAAGGCATAATTGGATTTATATTTCCAGGACAATGTCGTGATTGCGAATAATTCAAGTACTCAAATGGAACTATGTTTTTGTCACAGACATTCTGAAAGGTGTAACAAGACATCATGGCGTGGATGTAGGGGAGTTCACCCACTTTAGCCATGGATTTGTGACAAACTATTTCTATTCCAAATGGTATATTTATAATTTTTGTGTTTACCTTTTAGTGCAAGTGTATTAATGTAATCCGCTTATGTGTTTTACGCATTGTACGTTTGTAATTGAGGATTGTTTAATGGTGTAACTACCGGTGTGAAACTCAATTCGTAAATGGTAGGTCCCCGCCGAGCTTTGCCGAGTCCCGAACCTCGGGTCGCCCACATCCATGGCGAGGGTAGGTTTTTGTCATTATTTTCAAGTTAAATTAATGAAAATATTAACATAATTTGTTGTAATACTTTCTATTAAACATTCCCAAATTATTTTTTAGCATGTTTGATCATGCTTTTCATGATTTCACGTGCATTTTTTGTCGCGACTGCTTTAAAATTATTTTATGGGCTGTAATGTTTATTCGGTGCTGCGTTTAGACTTTTAGACCAGAGATCTTGCTAGAGACAAAATCCAACAACCGAGAGATGTGTAGATGTCTAGATCTATTTTCCCTAAGCCCTGCACTTAACTATGCCTACATTATTTGTTGCCTATTTCAATTTGCTGAAATAACAATCAACAGCAACTATCTGTGTCATCTAATTAAAATGCAAATCAATGGCTTAAAAAGATTTAGGCCATTGGTCTTATAAAGTCAAAGGTTTACAGTAATTTTTTTTTCAATTTCTGTGTCAATGGTGGTGTGGGACTGATCGTTAGTTGCATGGGCACACTGACACACCAACCAAACGTTTTTAAAACTGTTAATATAACACAGCCCATTGCTTAATTAGTAGATTTAATTCACAGCTAGACTCACATTCATTTAGGTTAGATATTTATTTATTTATTATTAGGCCCTCATTGTCTACATTTAAAAATTTATTTTAGGCTAGTGATTAGGCCTAATAATATTAAACTTATTAAACCTATTTTATTTATTTAGGCCTAGATCTAGTTAAAATTTAGGCTAGCTTACCTAGATCCAGAACAGATCTAATTACTTTGGATCAATGCAGGGCACATACACCATAAAACAAGCTTAGGCAGGGCTGTGTGTATGCCTGTAGTAAGGCAGCTAGGCCACTTTGTAATTTATTTTTTTACTAGATCTAGATTTACTTTCATGAATTTAGATATAGATCTAGTTTTGGAGTCCAATAGAATTTTTCCTCCAGTGATAGTCATTATTAAACTATTGAACTGTTGGGGGTTTTCATAGCCAAGAAGACTTTTAAAAAGGCTCATGTTTGTTGGTAGCACACTAATGGATGATTGAGGATACTGATGTCCGATAATACTATAATAGACTCTTCCCAAAATAGAAGTGTTAGGTTGCTGGTAGCATTATAATCTCATGTATAGTTTTATGGTTAGAAATTTTTTAAAGAAGATTCTGTTATTGTGCCATTATTAACGTTATAAAAAATCCACCCAAACGATGTCTGGATTATATTTAAACTAATGCAGGTCCTTGCTCTAAGCTCTGATTGTTACTTTATTTGAAGTATTTTTTCTATTTACGGCAAAAAAATAGATGTCTAGAAAAGTACCGTAAGATGGTGGATATTGGTATCGAAACTTGCAATTCAAATGATTAAGTTTAAGGACGTTCTAGAGCAATAGTTGGGATGGCTTAGGGACTGGGCAAGTGTTGACATAGGCAAGTAATATATGTTAGCTATTTGCTAACAATTAAGCCGAGTAATGAAGGCATGCATATTGATATATTAATAGTATATTGTGTAGGAGTATTAAAACGTATGCAATTAAAAGAAGATATGAAATGAATTCCAAAAAAATAAAATAAAATACACAATAGAAATTTTCAGAGTTGTACTTAGACAACAGGTTATATGGTCGACTTACTATGTTAGTGTAATGCAATCATGTTAATGTTAATACCATAACAGCAATACAAATACAACAGTTTTACATGTTAAACATTTTAAAAAGCTGACTTGAAAACAAAATTAGCTAACCTTTCAGGGGCATTTATTGCAATTTCTCGCGTCTAACCTTGCCTTGCTTCCACACCTTATATGCTTTGTTTAAATCCACATCCTCTCCAGCATTTAGATATAATTTAATTCACATTAGACTCTCCAAATGTGTGTGCTTGCACTTTAATTCTGTTCATAAGACTAAAACCTCGCTCGCAATCAGCGCTGGATGGTTGAAAAGTACAGCATATTTCAATTAACTTTGCCAATGAGCTAAATTGTTCAACCTTTAAAGCAACTCCTGCGATTTCAGTTAGTGCATTTACTGAACCTGATTTGAGTTTTTCACTGATCTGAAATTCGAAGTCATTGTATTGCGTGATAATTGACTCTTCATTTGTTGTTTGTAACATGTCTTTGTACTTTACGCACAGTTCTTTCATCTCTTTGACGCCAAACTCAAATGCACAATTTTTTAAACCAGTATGATCAAAAGCTCACCAAAACTGCAGTTCATCTACTGTAAACCTTACATTTAAATGATCCATGATTCCCACGCTGTCCTGTGACAAATTCGTTGTCTTTGTTGGTTTTGTTAAAAGTACTAGCAGCACAGAACTTACACTTAAGTCCAATCGCATTGGAATATTCATAGATGCTTCCTGATTCAACTGAAACATTCTTAGAATCTGGCGTATTGGTTGTTACTTTAACTTTGAGCGATTCCAGTTTAAACGAATCTCTCGCTTTTCTTTTGCTGCATTGTTTTACCGCTTGTTACATTTCTCTTTTCAACATTTTCAAATAGCACACAGTATGTAAACTTTTATTCCTTATTTACCAAACCAGTCTGTGAACACTGAAACAGTTCGATCCAGGTGCACGTAATAATCCCAAGAATTGGATATATAGTATATAAATCCTTAAACCAAACAGAGCAAAAACACATCCACCTTTAGTAACGTAGAATTTGCATCTGACTTGGGTATATCGTCAAGGTATCATTATCAAGGAGGTGGGTGGGGGTTGGGAGATGGGGGAGGGCAGTGGCAATAGAAAAACATTGCATGGTCAGCTAGTAGCCACAATCCCTTTCAGGTATTAGGTGTCAGCTACGGTCAGTTTTGGGGTGAACCATTAAATCAAGCAGAGGGAGGGTCACCCAGACATCACATCGGAACCCGCCCCGCTCAATTTAGATTGAAGTCATTAACTAGACCTGTGGTATGACAACCGAGGTCACTCCCTCCCCCCAGTTAATGATACCCGTGCTTTCTGTTTATGCCCCAAAACACAAAGACTGTTCGTTGAACAAAACAGGCACTAAAATATGTCGCTTAGTTCAAGCCACCAATGGCCACCATTTTCTAGTGAATTAGGCTCGCCCGACGTTCTGATAATCTGCGCGGGATCAGAAAATGTCTGCGCTGCAAATTTGTAAGTGCTGCGCAGCTTCGAGGGAACACTGTTTGGGGTTCTGGAGATTTAACCCTTGGAATAAACATCCAGGTCTTCAACACACTAGTAAAACCTGTTCTATTATAAGCTAAGCAGCTGAGACATTGAGAGTAACTGCTACAAAAAAAAAGAAAATACAATTATTCATAAACTCATGCTTCAGAAAGATTCTAACACCACCATAAGAAATGAGATATTATAGCAACAGAGAAACCAGCTGCCAGCTGAAGAAGAGACCCCCCCCCCCCAGAGAAAATGGAGATGGATTGACCACACACTCATAAGCCTGTATCTAACATAACAAGGCCAGCCATTGCCTGTTAAAGAGGCTGGCCAAGGGTGACCTGGCAGAAGATACCCCAGAAAATTGGTTACTCCTGGGGACAGTTGGAGAGCCTAGCCCAGGACAGACATGCCTGGAAAGATCTTGTCAGTGGCCCATGTCCCAGGAGAGGCAACCTATTTGTAATCTAACATCCCGTTTTATAGTGACAAACACTTTTAAAAAAATCTCTACTACTAATAACAAATGCCCTATCCTGTTCATTGGAAGAGTCCAAAGGGATACAGTGAAAAATTGTCCGAAATGCTTATATAAGAATTCAAGCCTGTAATACCACAGGCTCCCAATGTATAAATCTCAACCCCCTAGAAGGGTTTTCTGGGTACACAAACTCACAAAGTTTTTGTTAGGTGTTGCGGGTCTCGTGGCTTTTATAATCAGAGGTCGTCACCTAGAATAAGTTAAGGAGTGTTTGTGTTATACTATTTAGAGAGTTCTGAGTACTCCTCTCTTTGCTATATTTGATTCTTAAAGACGACAATAAACAACATAAGCCCTATACCTGCTTAATCTAAATAGAACAATCTTTTTGTGAATTAGATTTGCATGCAAATGCAAACAATTAGCCTTGATAATTGATAGGTGGGAAAAGAACAGTAGAAAAAATAAAAATAAATAAAAATATTTTTATTTAAAACTGTTTCTTAAAAATGGTTTTTCTGGAAGTGACCATATATTGTAGGGATTGTTCATTTTTTTACGTAGAGCCGCTGCTTTGTATCTCAGGGCTGTGGCTAAAAGGTTCAAAATCTTTTTGGTTTAGTGATAGTAAGCTGTTATATCACATATATGATATATGTTTATGTCCTAAACTTAGTGAATACTACCACACAGTCCACAGCACTTGTGAGGATGCATTCATCTTTTTCCACTTTATGGCACTTTGTTCCCATTTATGTTCTACACACTGATATAAAATAAGATTTTCTTAAGAGATTATAAACAATGTAACAAAAACAAAATCTGTTAAATTTTTTTTTACATATTTATGTAAAATTTCGTTCCTATAGAGTTAGAAGATTGTTAAAGCTTTATAGTTACTGCTTTAAAAAATATTTCATTATTTAAATTTGTGTCTTATTTATTTAATCAAAATCTTATAGTTCCTTTAAGACTCTAGCACATATTATAGAAATCATAATTATGATACTTCTGTACTTTTGCCTACCCCTTATAAGTTAAAACTCCTTCATAACCCCCCCTTCCCCACCCACATTATAATCTATGAATCATCTAACACACACACTCACAATCATGATAATACATTGCTAGACCAAATTATGTTACCTGATACCATCTAACCATCTGATGTTTTATTTTTTTTTAATTGTTGCAAAAATAATTATATTGCGCTGTTCATGTTAATTGATATAACACTTGAATCAAATTTCATCCCAATCCTTTTTGTGTTTGTTGAGCGCTCAGAATCTTTGATTATTAACAAGATTTATTCTTAAAAGTTGTTTTTAAGAAATTTACCAATTTTCATTATTTAATAAATTAAAAAGAATGTAACAAAATAATCTATAGCCTCACATTTGCTCAAGCCCATCTAGTACTCGGTTAAGGAAGATGACCACCACTTTTTCTAAAAATATAAATAGGCCTATATCTCTACTGCACAGTGTGTACTATTTACTGGCTGCATATGATAATGTAAGTTTTAAATGGTCTATTTTCTTTTAACAGATGTACCTTTTTAATGTGAAGCGACCAGCGGTGGGCATTATATAAAGCCCACCGCAGGTACATAGTCACCAGGGGAGGTCTGCGTGGTCAAGGTAACAATAGACCGTGACCAATATCAAAGTGACCGGCATCTGGTCGATGGAAGGTAATGTACTTGATTCTCCTCCAACCATAGTTACATTTTCTTAAATCTTATATTAGGCACAACAAAAAAAAAGGATAATTGTGCTAAATTATTTTATTGCTAGCTTATCACTGGATATCATAACAGCTATGTAAAGACTTTAAAAACCAGGGAGAGATGTTAAAGTATGTAAACCCTGTAAATTAACTTTTATTTGAAAAGTTTTTTTTCATTTGCTTAAGTTCCACTTTTAAGTGTTAGTTCTAAATGAAGTTAACAGCGCATAAGATATTAGTAAAATTATTTCCGTTAAAACCCGACAGATAACTCTGAAAGACAGTTGTCTACCCCTAGTCTACATTTGGCATGAAGCACAGCTCAGCATGATCGGGCGATTACATCTAGCTAGTTGTCATTTCTTTTATTATTGAATTTGGTAATCTCTCTAATTAGATTTCAATGACTAATCTAATGTCTAATTAGATAAAAATATAGATTTTCATGCATTTGTCATAAGACAAAGACGAAGATGTCTTGAAAATTTGAATGAAATTGCTGCATTAGAAGTGGATCAAAAAAGAGTTACAAGATTTCCCTCAAACAAACAGACATTTCGAACTGAATAGAAGCTTGTAAAAAAAAAATGTGTAATTGAGAAGAAGATGCTGAAGTTCAGAATAAAACCTCAAGCTAAACCTTCATTTGACTGGCTCTAGAGTTGTTTTTTTTTAAGTTTGATATGTATCCATGTTTACTTATGTACAGTAGTCAAATACAAAAAATGATAAACATTTAATGGACAAAACTTTCATTTTGCTAGGTAGATGATTATATTTTGTGATATTATTAAGCATGTAAAATAAAAATAAATTACCATTAGGTAAGCAATGAGAAGTGTTTTTTACTTTTTAAAAGACAATGTTAGACTAAATTTTTTAATAATCATTTTGTAACTGTTTGCAGAAGATAAAAGAGTTTCACAAGAGAACAACACCTCTGGTGAATTGGAGAAATCAGCAACTGAGTATAAACCATACTTAAACCCAAACGTTGAATCTAACTTAAGCACAGTAGAAGGACCTTCAGTTTCTAAACTAGAACCTTTTAGCAAGTTTAACAGCGGATTAACCTCTAGAGATTCACCGTTAGTATCTGTACCATCACCATTTTGGAAACAGAAAAACAATTGTGATTCCGTAAATCAACTGACTGAAGATTCCAGCTCTAATTTATCCTTATCAAATTCAGACTCGTTTTCATATTCATCTAAAAACTTTTACACTAAACATAATGATCAAACACCATCATCTATTTGTAAAACTTCCCCGGCTAATTCATTAGTGAATGAGTTAGTTATATCATCATCATCACTGCACACTCAACTTTGCCATTACAATCGGAAATATGGACCTGGAGAAGGGAACTCATTTAATTTGGACAGTGCATCAAATTTAGGAGGCACTGACGAATTTGGTACATCTTATTTACTACCTCAAACATCAGGATTTTCAAGCAGTTCTGTCAGGGGACTGGTCACTGATTTAAAGCGAAGTAGGGGCAGGCCAAGGAAAGACGGATTAAATCCAGTAGCAAAAAGACCAAGGTAAAATTGCTGACTGCCATTTTATTCATTATGTGTAAAGTGTAAATACTTAATTTTGATTAAGATAATTGAAAAAAGTTAAATATTTCAAAATTGCAGACCATGCTTGTCCCGATTCTTTAGTTGTTAATGCAGCATGTTTATATATTATTTTTTAAAATTCACAGTACTCGAGTTTTAGATAGAACTGTTGGTCGTGGTCTGAGAAGGAGCGTAGGCAGAAGTATTGGTAGGAGTTTAGGGAGAGGAAGTAGAGGAGGCAGAAGGGGCAGATCACCCATTTCACATAGTTTGCCAGATAGAGAATCACAGAGACATTTTTTGCCACCATTGGATTTTGAACCAGTGAAGTCACCTTCGCGTACACCTGACATACTGCCTTCTGCTGGAATGGCAGACTTTTTAAAGCAGCCAACAAATGTTACCTCAGCATTAACTGCTGATGGCTCTAACAGTGGTAAGTTTGCTCACTTTCAATTACAAATGTTAATAGACCTCTAACTGTGTTCATGCTCGCAACTTGTATACTATAGGCTCCTACACGTCAAGAAAAAATAACTTTGTCATAAGCTCATTTTATCAGAACATTGCGGGGGGGGGGGGGGGGGGGGGGCGGCTTGTTGCAAGTGCTTGTTTTTTCTAGACGTGTATAGTATACATGTTACCTCAGCATTAACAGCTGATAAATTTGTCCTTTTTTAAACAAAAAAAAATTTAATAGCTTAATTTATTACAATCGGTTTTAGGGTTCTATTTTATTGTATAAAACATTTAATTGAGATTAAAGTTTTTCGTAATATGCCTGTGAACCTATTCTTTTGTTTTGAAGGAGAGGGATTATCTCCGATTCAGAGTGGATCTGGAAGTAATACCAATCAGGAGCCTGCTACTCCTGAAATGTGAGTATTTGTTCACATCCTAATTTCTTTATTAACATTTTCTAAAAGGTTGTTAATCAATATGTTAATTTTAGAATGCTTATATTAAAATAGGTTGATTTATACTTAAAATTTTTTAATGTTTGTTTCACATTCAGTTCTGAACACTTATGTTCTCTATGCAATTGTGGAGAGAGAAGCTTGTTGGGTCAGGGAGAAATTATGAGGTTTGACCCATCGTCAGAATTTGATGTTTTCAAATTACCTGAACCAAGGACAGTGCGTGATAATGATGATGTTGATCCAGGTGGAAAGAGCAAAGGGCCTCAGCCTTCAACATGGCGTCGTTGTAGGGGCTCCGTGAAGACAGGAAGGTAAATGTAAAACTAGGATATTTCTTTAATTAATGATAATTTTAATTTATAATACATATTATTGAATTCATTTTTACATGTAAACTTTGAAAATATTCTTGAAAGTATAGGTAATTCTTATTTTTTTGGTATGTTTACAGAGAGAGAAGCCGCTCTCCCAGACAAGGTCAAGGTGAAGAAGAATCAGTTGGTTGTCAAATAAATGACGAATTGGCTTTAGTTGGCTTTCATGACGATGTAGAAGTTTCACAGCTGTTTGAGCCAACAGGTACATGTGTAACTTTGAAGCTTGAGAAAACAAATTTAATTTACCATTCATGTCATTTTCATATCAGCCTAATAGAAATTACACTGAGAAGTTTAATTTATTAAAAAATGATTTCACTGTTGACACATGCACATTTTAATCTATTCCAATAGGTCATCTCTGGGCTCATCGCTGTTGTGCAATGTGGTCAGAAGGAGTGACCCTGGTCGATGTAGATAAAACAGTAACCTTTCAGGATGTAGATAAAACAGTTTATAATGCCCTTTCACAGGTGAATATTGCAAGCAATAATTCTATATATAAATGCAATTAGACAATATTTAACTTTAATTTTAAACTTATGTTGTTGTTTTCTAAAAATAATTTGTTTCTATGTGTTTCCCAGAGATGTTCACATTGTAGAAAATATGGAGCCACAATTGTGTGCTGTATACCTGAATGTGGGAAAAGATTTCATTTCCCGTGTGCCTCTGCTGGTGGATGCTTTCAGGTCAGTATGCTTTTAATTTTTTTATGCAGAAGTAACTTGGTTTATGTTCCCTTTTAATAAAAAAAAAATTAAATAACACATATTTCATTGTTTACAAATTATAATATAAAAAAGTATTACACCAATGAGAAACAAACAAACTTTCATTTCATCTTGAATTACTTTTATGTATTTAGTAACTTTGTAATCATGTAACATTTATATTTGCCAATCGTTAGTAAACACAATTTGCAAAATCTGAATTTTATTTTTATTTTGCAGGATTTGATAACCTTGTCCTTATTGTGCCCTGAACACATAGATCAGGCTGAAGCTATTGGTAAGTTTGAAAAACTTAAAAGCGTAAACAAATGTAAAAGTTGTACCATAAGAAAAAATATAAGAAAATATTCTAGCACTTATGATGATTTGAATATGGCTATTGTTATTGTAGTCTGGTTGTCATTTTGTAAAACTTTTTGCAGAAAATGGAAAAAATGTGTAAAAAAAATAAAAGGATTGAATTTTGTCAGATATTCATGGTGTCAATACGTAGTTTTTTAATTTGTGGACACTTTTTAATCATTTTTATAATGGTGTTTTAGTTTCTGTTTACACAAGATGTAAAATTAAAGTTAAACTTCAGTTAGTTTACAGTATTGTTTTTCAGTCTAATTTTTAATTTTTTATCTTGGCAACACAGCTGGTAATGCTGCAGCCTGCATACAGTGTAATGAGGTTGGAAGTTTAAAAGATCAGCTGTTTTGCACAACTTGTGGTTACCATTTCCATGGCAACTGCTTGTGTCCACCTGTTGATATGAAACCTATTGTACGAGCTGGTTGGCAGTGTCCTAATTGTAAAATATGCCAAACATGTCGGTAAGGGCGCTTGAGAATACTTAAAATTGTTGTAGTTAATTCTTTATTTTTTGTTCTTCAAGTGTTTTATTAGAGTTTATCTTATTTCAAGCATTTAAAATTGTGTAGTTATTTATACTAGTTTGTCCTAATTTAAACTATATTTAATGTGCTAACCTAATTTTAAGAAATATCCCTAAATTATAAAGTTACGGCGTTTGTGTTTTTTACAACTAGTATTAAAATTTGTTTCTTTGTACACTGATTATAAACTTATTTTTAACATATTGCCTATATTCATTATGTGTATTCATATTTTATGTGATTCCAGCACTGCAAGTGATGATAGTAAAATGTTAGTTTGTGATAAATGTGATAAAGGATACCACACTTTCTGCCTCAAACCAGCAATGACAACTATACCAAAAAACGGCTGGAAATGCATGGTATTTGAATAATTTTCACGTATTAAACAACAGATAATTTCCACATTTTAAACAACATAAACTTTATCAAGCATTAATATGTTTTAAAATAATTAAAAAACTATATTGGTTATCAAATGTTATTTTAGCTAGAGCTAAACACCTACACTGTTATTTTTATTGTTTGTTTACCCCAGAATTGTCGAATATGCACGGATTGTGGATCCAGAACACCTGGCAGTGGACCTTCCTCTCGCTGGCATCTTAACTATTCAGTTTGTGACTCCTGTTATCAGCAAAGAAACAAGGGTCTATGCTGTCCTCTATGTGGGAAAGCTTATAGACACTTTCATAATAATAAAACAATGCTTCCCTGCGTTAGATGTAAAAAGTAAGTATTGTTGGCTTAAATTTCATCCTTTTTTTTTATTTTTTCTTGGAGTTGTAAATATTTTATTTGTAATGTAATTACTTTAATAATTATTAAATCATTTAGTATTATAAAAATCTGACGATTCTATATCCACAAAATATAAATATCAATTTAAAATATGCTACTTTTCCTTGTGTAATCAACAACCTGTTGTAATCAAGCTGATTCTAGAATATTAAAATGTATAGGTTAAATGTTACCACAAGCTTGTGTGACTTATGTTTTTCTTAGCCTTGAGAGGGCATTGTTTTCTGCATTTAAACTTAGTACCCCAATCTATTATACCCAGCACCCCCTCCCACAACAATTAAGTGTCACAACCCACCCACTTCTCTCTTAGCTGTAGTATTGCCCACTTTGGGAACCTCTGGTTTATAGCCATGGCATATTCTTGCCATATTGCACTTGTATATTTTATAAAGTTTTGAATATTATTTATCATTCTGCTTTGATATTCATTTGTTTAAGATTTGTGCATATTGAGTGTGATCCTACTCTGAATCCTAATATGAGCAAGTTAAAAGATTTACCTCAGGACTATGTTTGCACTGTTTGTCGTGAGACGGATCCTGATACTGTGGTATGTTTTTTTTTTAAATTTAAAACTGTCTTGTGACAAGTTCTTAAAATTTTTAATCCTATTGATATTTATAAATAATAAATAAATGATCACCATCATGAATAGCAGCACATAACTTAGTCAAAGAAGCCAAAGTATCTATGAATAATTTTTTAATATGAATGCTAAAAGCTATAATTCAACAAGATGTGAATTCTGGCAATTTTTTTCATGAAGATCTGGCAAAACATCAATAAATTTAGGTTTTCAAAAGATAAGAAGTGGTAGATTAAACCAAGCAGTCAAGAAACTCAATTTTTTGTTGTTGCTGGAACCCTTTCTCTCTCTCTCTCTCTCTCTCTCTCTCTCTCTCTCTCTCTCTCTCTCTCTCTCTCTCTCTCTCTCTCTCTCTTCCCCCCCCCCCCCCCCCCCCCCCCCCACACACACATGAAATTTATTAAGATGTGTTTTATAAAATCAAAACCTTTAATTATATTTGTAGATGGATATTGATTTACAAAATCCAACTCTTCATCAAATTGCATCTGAAGAGTCTATGGAAAGCTTTATGAGTAAGTGTAAACACTACAGCAACATTTTAGTATCTTATAGTAATAATATAGTGTTTAATTAGTAAATAAACAGTTTTAATTCCAAATACTGTTTTGCTTATTTAATTTGGTATCAGTTCTGCTATTATTAACGAGTTATATCAATCTCTTCTACCAGCTGACGACACTGTTCTTAAGGATGACCCAATGTTGACAGATGCAGCTATCTCTGGTGCTAGTGCCAGTGGTATACACAGCAGTGAAATTCTCACAGCATCGAGCTCTCAAGAATCTCTGTTTTTGTACGATGATTCCAGTTCTAGTTTTGATATTGAGACCACTTCAGAAAAGGTAATTGGCATAATAAGACTAGTTCGTTTTAATAATGTATTATAATCTTTGAAAAAGAATTAAACTTTTTTAAATCAGGAAATTACTTAATTCAGATACATAAGACTAATTCTAATAGCTTAAAGTTTGATACAATTTAAAAAACTTACATTCAAAACTTACTAATAGACACTTCTGTTGTGAAAAATTTTTTGAAGCTCATGAATAAATGTTTGATATTTTCTACCAGGGGATTTTATCACCTATTTCAAGACGAAATTCATTTGAATTTTCAAAGAAAAGCCGTCAAAAGGTCAGTTATTTTCTTTATTAAGAAAACAGGAGGTAAATAAAGTATAATCTGTCCTATTAAGACATGTTTTAAATAATTTAATCATGTAATTTATGGTAATGCATTAAATTCTAATTAATAAATTATGCAACATACTTATAATTGTAACCTGAAAAATAATGGGTTTTTAAATTTCTGTTATTTTAAAGTTTACATTTATTTGTGTGTAATTTTTTATACAAGTAAACATTATACTCTCATTGGATTAAAGAAAAATCAATGTATTATTTCAGAGTAAGCATGGTTCAGAAAAGCATCATCATCGGCAACAGCAGCAGCATCAACTACAGCCACCACCACCTCAGCAGCCAAGTTTAACTGAAAAAAGACGAGGTCCAAAAATCAAAGTGAAAATTGGTGGACAAATTATTAGTCAAATCTCTATTGAGGCCAGTAGTGTGAGTATTTCATTAACACTTATGTGAAAAAAATGAATTCTTTTTTACAAGTAAGATACTAAAAATATTGTGTAAAGTCTGTTTTAGTATAAGTACACTATTATATATATATAATTTTCCATAAAACTAATCATTTTATCAGATTCTTTCGTAATTCTTTCATGCGTTCAGCCCCAGTCAGTATTCACTGTAAGCTCTCCTGCTTATTCTGCTCAATCTATGGATGGACAAAGTGAAGAAAAAGAAAAGGAAAAAGACAAAGATGATGACGATGATGATGGAGATGATCATCCGTCTACTCTTATTCTAGCAGATTCATCTGACATGTTTATTATGGATCAGGTATGCCAAAAGAATTTTTGAGTTTTATTAGGTTTTAAGCAACAATATTTTAAAGAAAAGTTATTTTAGCCTGTTTATAGTTTAATTTTTTTATTTAAAATCTTACTGAAAAACAGTGCCATAGTGGGATATTCTGCCAATATTATTTCTGTCTCTTTCGCGTCAATGTACTATTTGTAAAATATATGAACGTTTTTAATACTTCTTTCTATTAGGATATGTGTAAAGCTTGTGGATCCTTTGGTAAAGGGGAAGAATCAAAGATGATTGTTTGTACTCAATGTGGCCAGTGTTATCACCCCTATTGTGTTTCTGTGACAGTAAGTTTTTTATTTTATTACAAACTTCTTTTGGAATTTTTAAAGACTGTGACCAATCAGTCATCATGTTGTTTCTTTGATATTAAATAGTATTTTATTACAAGAGATGTGTTAATGTAAAAAAAAAAAATAATTTATCAATAGGTAACCAAAGTGATGCTTCAGAAAGGCTGGCGCTGCTTAGATTGTACAGTTTGTGAGGGATGTGGAGGGCCTTATGATGAAGGTCGCCTGCTCCTGTGTGATGACTGTGATATCAGCTACCATACCTATTGTCTCGATCCCCCTCTAGAAACAGTACCCAAGGGGAACTGGAAATGCAAATGGCAAGTTTTTTTTTTTTATTTCCAGTAACATGAATTTTAAAAAATGTATTCTAAATTCAAAAGGTTTATTGATAAATCAAATACCTTCTTGTGTAAGGGTAGTGATAATTTAAGTTTAAAAAGGACCTATCCTAAAAAATTGTATACTAATTTCTGGCTGTGTTAATTTTGTCATGCTCGTCATTATTTTTTCCTCATGCCTGTTACTTTGTCCCTCCGGGGTGTAGGTGTGTCCAGTGTGTAAACTGCGGCACTACTTCCCCTGGGTTTGCTTGTCAGTGGATGAACAACTACACACAGTGTGGGCCCTGCCACAGCAAGATGTTCTGTCCAGTGTGTTTAGACAGCTACCTCATAGACCAGCTCATCATTCAGTGTCAACAATGTGATAGGTATTACATTTTATATATCTTTTTTAACAATTTATTCAACTAAATTATTGATGGGCCATATAAAAATTATTAATATACAAAATGATTAGTGGAATTGATTTTGGTTAGAAAATTATCAAAGCTCTTTTTTTTAAAGTAATTTTTGTTTTAAAAATTACTTAAAATTGTCTATTCAAAACTTGTTAGCATTTATTATTCTTTCAATTAGCATTTGCTATTTTCATTTGTAATTTTCATTTGTAGATGGTTACATTGTGAATGTGATGGATTAAGTGGTGAAGAAGATGCAGAAATAGCTGCGGACTATGGGTACCACTGTTACTTCTGTAGACCAAAAACTGGAAAAGATGGCCCATGTAAGACTTTTAATTCATTTTTATTATAGAAATCTTTTGTTACAAATTCAAACATTTCCTTCTGTAACCCAAGCAAGATTGTTTAAAAAATTTGTGTTTTTTTTCTTTAGTGCCGCCACCTCCACCACCGCCATCTCCTCCTAAAGAAGAACGTGCCCCAACACCGCCAGCTCTTTCATATACTCAACCAACTCCTGAACCACCTCGCCAGTTTTTTGTTGATGGTGTTTACTTGTTTGCAAGTGGACTTCACCAAATTAAACAACGGCTGCAGGTGACAAATCCTAAGAAGTTCAAACAACCGCCTAGGAGAACTTCACGTAAGAGAAATGTTTTGCTTATATATTTGATAGAATAATCTTAAAATTATTTTTACTTATTGCTAATAAGTTGATAATTTTTTAACTTTCCAGAAAGTTTTATTTATGATTACCTACTTATGTTAAAAAATACTATTCATCATCATCTTTTCCCTTTTGTGCCCAAGACACATGGGACAGATAAAGTAGAGTACATCTGTTTCAATGACCTTGGCATATAATCGGATTATGTGGTCAGCACTATGCCTAGCCGCCTTTGTTTCCCTAACGTGAGTCAGGTACCCATAAGAGCTAGGTGGACTCAGAGACATCCTGTAGTTTTGAGTCTAAATATGATCCAAAGTTGAGACCTTCCGGCTACCTGTCAAACGTTACCATCCCCAAGAAAAAAGAAAAAATACCATTAATTCTGTAAAAATTTATAACTGTTAATGCATGACTGAAATTTTTAAATGCAATTGTTTTATTTTTTTTATTTTTCTGCATAGTTCAACTGTGTGTTTCAGAACTAGAAGACCCAGAGGATGCTCCATCAGTTTCTGGTACCTCGGGAGAAGTGATGGACCAAGCAGCTCAAGATGAAGTAGGAGAGGATGGAGTTAAGAAACGAAAACCCAGAAGAGTTTTTGGTTTAGGTAAATTTAAACAAACATTTTTTTTTTAAATAAAAATTCATGGGCTAAATAAATATTATAGTTATAAAGTTTTTGTACTCATAATGTTGTGTTATCCTAGGTGTTGGAGGTTTTATTGTGCGTCAGAGATCAAGACAATGGCTGGCAAAGCGACAGGCCTCATATGAAGAACAAGATGACCCAGAGAAGGGTATGTTTACAGTACACATTTTCACATGCTGAAACATTTATTTTATCATAGCTTAGCAAATATACCAATAATAATTTTTACGGAAACTTAAAATACTATTTATTGCTGATTTTGAAGTAATAAAATGTCTTTAAAACTTAAACCAATGCTTGATATAAAATTTCTAATACAATTTTTTAAACTTACAGCTGCTGAGCAAGCAGGTGAAAAAGCAGATAAACCAAAACGCAGAAGGAAAGTGAAAAAATCTAAATTAGAGGAAGCTTTTCCTTTCTACATGCAGGTAAGCCTGTCTATAATAACTTTTTAACGGAACTAAACAATATATCTGATTTTTAACTTGTAGAGATTTGTTTTACTGAAATTGATTTATAAATTCCCATATTATTCTAATTATTATTTTTCAAAATATCCTTACAGGAAGCTTTTTTTGGGAAAGGTGTATTGGATCAAACTAAAGAATCTACTAAAGGGCTTTTAAAGACAGAATCTGATTCGGACCAAGAAAGACTCAGTCCTGTGAAAATGTTACCTGTTGCAGGTAAGAGAGGTTTTAATCAATTAAATTTCTTCATTAAATTTTTTAAACAGGTTGTATTATTAAATAGTTATTTTAATACAAATTAAATTAAATGGCCTTCTCATTGAGTCTTGAAGAAAAATAATATATCTTCAATAATAGTTTCCATGTTTTTGCATACTAAATATAAAGATGTTTAATGTATAATACCTTACTTTTTTCAGACGTGCCTAGTGTGAAACCAATTAGTGGAGATATTGAACCTGCCACTGTTCCAGGCACATCTTCCACCTCCCTACCTCGACGTGACACTTCCATATCTGGCTCTGAACACAGTGAAGATATTTCTGGTTTAGGTAAATTGTTAAGCTTTTAACAGCTTTTTTTCCTCAACAACTACCTTAGTCATCTCAGTGATTTTTAACATTTTTTACTAATGCTAATTTAAAATTTAAAAAATTGTAAAAAAAAATTCATTGTTTTTATAAAAATCATGTTCATTTGTTTTATTTTTTTAATTTGCAGATGATATTTTACATGATTTCCCAGAAGATGAAGATATTTTAAGTCTTTTACGGGACGAATTAAAGGATGAAGGTGAGTGTCAATTAACAATTGATGTGTTTAATTTACTGCTGTCGTTTCAGAAGTTATTATAACCTAAATCAGTACCAATAATGTGAAACATATGCAGGGGAGACACTTCTCCGGGATATCCCGGATTTCCGGATTCGACAACCATATTTTTTTCCCTTTCTGAATTCACAAGATTTGAATTTGAAAATTTCCGGGTTTGCAGTTTTTAAAAAAATTAGGATCGTTTTAAGTTTGAAAATTGTTTCATGGTAAAAATCGTTTTTATCGTCGAGACTCCCGCTTATGGCCCTTTCCACCTTTTGTGCATGCGTCGACGGTACATATCCACTTCTGTATAAACCTAGAGTTAACATTGTTACTGTTAACATTGTTACGGCGTCACTTTCGTGGCCTTTGTCTACCTAACATCAGCAGACGTTTCGGTCACTGCGACCTTAGATTTCTTCTAGGTCTATCCTAACTTACCGTGACCTCGCAGTATAGTATAGTGGTGGATCTAGACTCTAACTATTAACCAACAAGATTTCCTAATACCACTAGGCCTATTTATTACGTTCATGAAATAAAACAAATAGCAAATGACGTCACAGACAATCTCACGCGTGCGCCATGGACCAAATACATATCGACTGTATCAGATGGGTGAGGCTGTAGACGGAACTTTTTGATGTCATTCGTTGTGTGGCTGTCTGGCTATTTATGACGATATGGGGTTGGGGGTAAAATTCGCATTATTTACGTGACGTCATCAATGGGCTACCGCTAGGCTGTGTAATAAAAATCACTAAATCTTACCATTACTAGCTCACTAGCATCGCCGATCATCTTCTTTTATTTAAAAAAAAAAACGGAAAGATTTTGCGCCAATCTAAAAAAATTAATTTTGTATTTGATAGTACCAAAAGAAAAGAAAAACGTTTAAGAGACTGTTTTATGTATGAAACAACTGTGCTGTTTTCACTCAACTTTACGGACACTTCTTACCACCTCTTACTTGCTTCTTCAAGGTCGCGCTGACCGAAAGACCTCCGACAAAAGACCACGCGAGCACAGTCGTGTCTTAGGGTCAAGGCAGTTCTACAAGCCCTGTTTAATTATTTATGGGGTAGGCCTAGAGATGGGTCTAACATTGTAAACTAATTTTGTTGTATGCACAATCCTTTAAATATTAATTTTCATTTGAAGCTTGTTACAAAGAAAATAAATCCATGTTAAATGAATGTAAATTGAACTTGATATGAAACAAATTAATGAAATAATAGTCTTTTATTTTGAAATTCCGCGCAAAATTAAGTTTCATGGTTTTAAAAATTTCAATTTTTAGTTTCAGGATTGGTAAAATTTTGGGATTGATTTTCAGGTTTCACTTAAAAAATGAGTGGCACCCCTGCATATTTCTAGATCAAATATCTAGATCTCTAATTGAAATATAAAACTTTAAAATGCCACATGAAGTATAGACATAAATTTTAATATAAAAAAAAAATCTCTTATCATTTGCAGTTGTTCCACTTGGTGGGATGGAGACTGTTACTAGTAAAGATCCAGGGGCCAGCAAATCCAGTGAACTCCCTGATAATATTGCAAATATGTTGGATAAAGATTTAGATGTGGAACATATTATTTCTGAAGGTATGCCTAAAAAAAATTCTCCTAACCAATTATGATTTTTACACCAAAAGTGTTTGATGAATGGTCACTGAGTCAACAACAAATTAAAATATTTTAAACATTTTCTTTCAGGGCTAGTTCACTTTGACAGTAAAACAGTGGAGGATATTTTTTCTAATGTTCTGTCAAATCAACCTGGAGATTCTAACTCTCATCCTGGCAAGTTAACCCTTTTATCCATTGGAGATTTAAAAAAAAAAAAAAATTCCAGAATTTTTAAAGTTTAGACATTTATTTTAGTTAAGAATGTAGGCTATATGATTAAAGAAGCTCATTAATTACAATTTTATTTAATCTATTTTAGTAAAAAATATCAATTTCACTCTGAACAAATTTAATATTATTCATTTTTTCAGGTCAATTTGGCATGTCTCTACCTCCTGGAATTCCAGGCTCCAGCTCTAGACCAACGCCAGGATCAGGCCATCACCCACCCTCACATTCTCCCATGTCCCCCACACAAGTCCCAGGGATGAGGGGCTCAATGTGTCCACCAGGCTTGCCTCCACCAGGCTTGCCTCCATTTCAGATGCCATACAGTAATCCAGTCTTTCAGTAAGATTCATACTCTTATGATGCTTAAATATGGCCAAATTATTTTTTTAAATAGTCCATTTAAAAAAGTAGCCCAGTCTTTCAGTGAGATTCATACTTCTTATGATGCTTAAATATTGCCAAATTCTTTTTTTAAAAATAGTCCATTTTAAAAAGTAGTCCAATCTTTCAGTAAGATTCATACTTCTTATGTTTAAAATATTGTGGAGTTCTTTAAAAATTTGTCATCTTTTAGTGAGATCATACTTCTTAAATTCTGAAAATATTTTCTTTTTTTTTTTTTTTTTAAATTCTCTTTGTTTACACAGCAGTATTTTTGTAACTATATATGTTGGAGATATATACTGTATAAACATAACTTTAATGTCTATTTATTCAAAACACTGCTTACAGATCTCAAGTTGGCCAAAATTTTGATAATTTGGGCTCACAAGGACAGCCTGGGCCATCAGTATCGATTCCATCTGGATCATCAGGGTCCATTCCACCTTGGGGAATGATGGACGACGATACTGGGGACAGTAACAAGAGGACCATTTTAAAGTGGGAGCAAGAAGAAGATATGGGTGATCAGGCCACTATATCTTGTGTTCTTTATGTGAATATGTGTCACCCTGATCTCAAACATAGATATCCAGGTCTGTAGTTCTCTAGATTCTAACACTTCAAACTGGCCAGATTTCCATAGAAATAATTGTTGCCACTTTTATTAAAATGATAGACTACTAGACTCATTTATTAAAAAAAAAATCACTTTTTTCAAAAGAAATACTTAGTTACTGCTTCTGTTTAAAAATTAGTCATCACAAAAACAATTTTCAATCAAATTGAAAAATACTTGCACAATCTTTTAATACCTAAATTATATTATTTTTGCTTTTGCTGTATAATTATTGTTAAGCATCAGCAGTTTGAACCACCACCAATTTTTGCTTTTGTTTCAAATTCTATTTTATCTTAAAATGCTTTTCTTGTGTAAATTAAAAAAAAATGTAGCAACAAATTATTAGTGATATGCTCATGTATCTTTGCACCCCTTTGTAGCTTCCATAATTTTATTTAATTTTTGTCTTCCATCTTATAGCATTATATATCACAACACTATACATTCATTAATACAAAATATTGTTTGCACAGATTGGTCAGAAAGATCTAAACAAATTGCTAAACTATGGAGGAGACTTACACCAGATGAAAAAGCTCCATACTTGGTAAGGCTCTTGCTTAGTTTCACAAAAATAAAGCGCTCTAAAAACGACGGCTTATGTTTCAAAACACAAAACATTAGTGCATTTACATTGTTAAACAAGAATTTTGTTTTACACAATATTTCTAGCATTATTTTAATGGATCTTTATTTTTTCCCCGTAGTCGAAGGCTAGAAAAAACAGAACCAGCAGTCGTGTTCAGAAAGCTCAGAAAGTAAGTTTTGCATCAATATACCTAACCCTGAGCACTAAATTTTATTCATTTAAGTCTGATTTTTTTTAAAAGACTGATATATTGGATATTATAATAAACAAATTATTTTTAAATGTAATACTCATTAAAAAGAAACCTTAAAAAGATTTTGTTAAAATGTAATAGTAAATAAACAGTGGTGTTTTGTCAATATTCCTAAACAGCCATGTTGGTAATGCATTGATTGAAAGGAGTGGGGTTGGGGGGGGGGTGTGAGGGTGAAAAGAGAAGAGTGATTTCATCATTCATTAACTCTTCAATAGACACCCCTACAGTCCAGTTTATGTATAGAGTACTTCTAATACCACAATTCATTGTACCAGTATTGCCCAAGATATGCATAATGACAGATATTTCCAATCCCTGAATATTGTGCTAACAAGATGCCACTGTATTTAGCAATGATATATCCTTATGTCACCCATCCTTGCTCTTTCAATACATATGTTTATGTCTATTGCATATAAAGGAAAATGTTACATGTAATGGGTTTTAGCATTTTGTATGTATTTGTCCCCTGTTTTTGCTTTGGTTTAATGAGGTTTTTTCTGTACTGTGTTTTCCCCTCCTGGCTTGTTTTCTAAATTAATGTGGAGTCTCCTATAGTTAACACAATATGTACATTTTTCCCATTTATCCAAACTAGTTTTTATCGTAGAATATAAAAACAATTACAATGAGAAATGTAATGACAAAATTTTATGGCTTGGGAGTGTCAAAGCACATTCCAACATTTAAAAAATTCATTATTCTTATTAAATTCTAAATTATTCAGATTTGTGCTGTTTTAATCTTACTTCTACATTCTGAATACATTTGCTGTGATGAATGTTTGAATGATCAAAGTATATTTTCTGGCCATTAGACAGAACTAAGCAGTTTTAGAAGCAGAAAAAACAGTAATATCAAACCAACAAATAATTACGCATTTGAAAAAAAAGCTATGTTTTAAAAAAGCTGAAAACAGTCTTTCCCTCCCTAAAGTTTTAAAGCCAGCAATTTAACACACTTTTTCATGTTTGATGTTTGTTCTGTCTGTAATTACAGAAAAAAGCTGCCCTAAAGTCCAAAAATGTAGGTTGAATTTAAGTAGATAATTAAATGCAAGCAAAACTAACAAATCTGTTGATATGCCCATAGCAGTTTGGTAGGATGTTGTGCCCTTATTTTTGAATGCTGTTATTATACTAGTTTGAAGTGATTTAAAATGCATACAACTTAATGTATTAACTCCTACATACCGTTTGGTCTTTTTGCATGTTTCTTTAAAGAAACTTAAGTTGGATTTTACTAAAATTATATTTTTTTTAAATAAACAGACTTAACATTAAGAAAGATTATTTTCTAAAGTACTTTATAATGCTAATTTATCTTAACCAGTGTGTTATTTAAACATTATACAACTAAAATGTTTAATAAAATACATTAATATTTTTTAAAATAACTTGTTGATCAAAGATATAAACAAAATTGCATCCACTTATTAACTAATTGTGTGCATTCAAAAGTTTTGATTTACATTTATTTGAATAATTAAATTTTTGTAAAAATGATAGAAGATGATTATCAGTCTCTCAAGATATTATTTTTAAAAAGGCGTTTTAATTATGTTAGATGGTAAATGTATAGTTTTTAAACTTAAAATATGGATCTTTGCCTTCTGAAATCAGTATTTTTTTCAGCAGAGTTATAAAATAAAAAATGTCTTCTAGTTTCTACTAAATTACTTTATCTTTGGTTTATGCAATTATCTGCGTCATGCCTCCTGTCATGTACTGGCATCATTACAATATGTACGGCGTCATTTCCAGCAGAAAATTTCTTAGCATCATTATTTACCATGCATCATAGAAAGTATGCATGCACTATACATGTGACTTATTGTTCTAAAAAAACTTTCCCTTAAATGATTTACCAGCTGTTTTTTTTTAATAACAAAAAGTATTGTGGTCTTAAAACACTTAGTATAAACTTAACAGAGTGTTGATTAATGGTTTATCCAATGTCTTAAATTATTGACAAATAACGTTAAAATATTGTGCTTAATTTAGTGAAATAAAATTATGTGCTTGATTACATTTTAGGAAGCCGATGATGTTTTGGATTTTTTTTTTATTGTAGAATAACTTTCCATCTTCTTAGCAGGTTACTCAAGAGCTACAAAGGCGACAAGAAATCCAAAAGCAACAAGACAGCGAAGCTATGCCCCCACCTCCTGCACCCCCACCACTCCCACCTGGTGAACATTACATTGATGGTAGAGTTTAAATTCTATTTTTAGCTTCGGTTGATACAAAGCAAACTTAGATTAATAAGCTTATAGGATTACAAAGCTTAAAAACAGTCTTGTAAAATATTTGATTATGATGTAATTTTCTTCATACTATTTTTTACACCACTTTAAAAAAGTATCACAAATTTCTGACTTGAAAAAAAAAATGCATTTGATAAGCAACACTGTACAATGCAATGTATTTTTTTAATTTTTTAGACACATTTTCTCAAATTTCTCTCATTTGTCTTTTAGGCTCAAGTCCTGTGATGAGTCCTCACCCAAATGCAACCCATTTTCCTCGTCTCTCTTGGCCAGAAGAAACCAAACCACCTGGCACCCCAATACCACCTGACCATCCGGGCTCCCAGTGTGACCAGGCCTTTCCATCACCCACCCAGAACGTCATCCCTCAAGACCAGTATGCCTACACGTCACCGACCCAGTCTGACCCCTTTTCACCAACACAGCCCAGGTCCGTTGTCCGAACACCTCAGAGGCTGCCTGGCGTACAGGCTTTTGGTACTTCAAGCCCCAGGGAGGATGAAGGGATTTTTACTGCTCCTGGTATGGGGCCGCGTGTGCGACCTAGTTCTGATATGTTTGTCCAGGCACCTCCAGCGCCCAGTCAAGACATGTTTATGGGCGGTGTTAGACGATTACCTGGTATGTTGGCTATCTATATTCTTGTCAAACTTTTTTTTGTAAAATTAACAGGGTATGTCAATAACTTAAAAAAAAAAATGAAACGCTTTTTACATTATGTCTTGTATTTGTTAAGTCCCTTGTATTATATATATCTTAGTGATGTCTCTTGAATGTTTAGTCTCTGTGTACCTTATTGTTATTATGCCTGTGAGTTGGCTAAAAATAAAGCCTGAGAGAAGATGTGAGGTCGGAGCTGTATTTTATAAATAATAAAGTATTGAAGTTAACTCGAGAGGTCTCTTGTTTATTCCAAGTTATTATAAACAAGAAATATAACAATACTATCAATATTTATTTTGTTAAATATGAAATGACAATATTGACAACTAATTTATTTATTAATATCCTTTTGTTTATTTATTTATTTTGCAGGCCCTCGCATCAATATGCCAGTGACAGTCGATGCCTCAAATCCTTTGGGAGACTCAAATCAGCCGAGGGTGTCTGTTGATCCTTATGCATTTCCACCAAACACACCTCAGGCACCAGTGCAGCAAGACGATTCTTTTATGTCACCTGGGCCTTCAACACCTGATCCCTTCCCACCAAATCGACCAAGAGGAGATATGTATCCGGGTGGTTCACCTCAGATGAGACCTCCCCTCACACCAACATCCATGGGACCTGGAATGGGTTCACCTTATCCGGGGTCACCTGTGCGGCCTGATCCAACATTCAGGTACAATTTTCACCAATTTTTTGCGTTAAAAAATATATCGTGCCAACTTTTTCTCTTGTCGATTTTAAATAATGCAATTTTTTAATTCAACATCTTAGACATCCACTGGCAAGGTCAACTAGTCTACCGGATCCTTACAGCATGCCTGTTGGCACACCTAGACCACCACCAATGGACCCAGCTATGTCGCACTCCATGTCAGATGACAATGTGCAAATGTACAGAGGCAGGATGCCACCTATGCAAATCCCAGAGGTAAGGGTAAAAAAAACTATAGTTTTCATCGTTGTTGATCTCACTGCTGTTTTTTTTCCCTCACCATTTTCTCTTTTATACACTTTTGTTTTAGTTACAGAAAGTAGACTGATGTGTTATGTACATTTCTTATATTTTTATGTTCTGTTTTGAACTACAATTTTCAACACCTGGGAATAAAATATCAGTCTTTAAATATTTTTTAAATTTTACACTTCAGACCTATAATTATAATTTTGTTTTTTAATATGATTTTGAAACTTTTATAAATTTAAATTAAATGCTATTTGCCTCTAAAAATATCGAAGCAAAATGCACAACCATTAAGGGTAAATCAAATCAAATATTTTTATAGGTCTGATAAATTATTTGGCTGTCATGGTCCTTCTTATAATTTCTTATGGCAGAAAAGTGAAGCTTTAGCCTTCACCTGAGTGGAAAATCTGGACACTTTCTTGCTTCTGTAGACTTTTATTGTTACTATCAGCAGTGTAGTTGTCACAAACTTTTTTAAATACAACTTTTGTCTTGTAATTGTTGTTTTTCTAGTTCTTGACCCTACACTTGGTCAGTACTTTACAAAACTTACCACTATATGAGGTCCAACATTGAGCCTTAAATATAATTGTTTGTGTCTGAACAGCTCAGTTTGGCTTGCCTGCTATTTATAAATGTAGATTTTCTAACATTAACTAGAAATTTTGAAGTGTGTTGTATTAAATAATTTTGTTTTCTAACATCACTAATATAGCTTTAAAATAGTATTTTAAGGCCATATCTTGTTATATGCTTGGTTATATATTTTTTTTAATTTATTAAAAGTTTTTTCATTAAGTCTGCTGTATTAAAAAAATTAAAAACAGTTGGGTAATGATTAAGAATATGTGACTTTTTAGAAAATTCAACATAAATTACCAAAAAAGTGTTTTCTCTGATAATTGAAACAGTTTTTAAACATTGTTTATTATTTTTGTTTATTACTTTTAGTAGACACATAATTCACATGAATTTAAAATAAGCAGTTCAATATTGAGAAAAATTCTTGGCTTCCTATCGTTTGTGAAGTAATTTGACATAAAAGAACTATTTTATAGGCCATTGCTCCTTACAGCAATGTTTTTCATAGCAGGTTAACAAAATATTCGGATAGTTTACAGATGATGCAAGCTTATACTTTACATTGTGCACTATTAACTATTTATTCAAGGAAAACATAAATAGTTCACTTTTTAAAAATAAAATATATCAGCTAGTTGCATGTGATTACTCAGTAGGTGTACTTTTTGGCAGCAATATTTAAAATTAGTCATTTTTTAAAGTATTGGCTATACGATTTAGGTGGATGAAAAAGAAACATACTATAGATATAGAGAATATCATGTAGTTTACATGCATGGTTTTTTTTTGACATGGTTGCATCAACACCACCCAGTTTTTGTCTATCATTCTTTTCACTATCATTCTCTTTTAAATTAATTCATTAACTTTAGTAGAATTATTTTAATTTTTTAATATTACCTCTCTTTCTTTTATGTTTGTACTAATCTATAAATACATGTATCTATATATCTGTGTGTTTGTTACTCACAACTTTGCCTTAGCATCAGAGGCCAATTGAGGCGGCCCTCAGGCGTAACAAACTATTACCACGGTCGCCATGGGCTTTTCCTTTCATGCTTAACTACCCGGTAAGTCTGTGGCACCCAACCCAGCTAACCTTAATCTATGACCTATAACTCCCTAGATCTTGACCTGTATGAATTAAACTATAACCTCCAACTCCTGCTTGTTTTTATTATTTTTAAACTTGCTTTCAAAATCTTGTTTTGTGATTTGAAAGATTGCCTTTGGTGTCTGTACATGAATCAGTTATTTTTCTTCAAAGTTACTAAAATTAACATCTGTGAAGTGTAAATAAGAAATATCAATTGCATGGGTTAATGGGATTAAGAGGTGGAGTTGTGTGGACTAATTTCTGCAAAGGTGGGACATTAACAAAATGTTATTTTAAATTATCTTAAATTTTTTTTGTGTGTAAACAAAATTTTATTTTGGTTACTAAATTTTCAAAACTTCTTTTTTGAAATGAGAAATGTGTTTGTCATTTAGGTGGCATCAGAGGCGTAGCTAGGGGGGGGGGGGTGGGGGGACATATGTCCCCGGGCGCCGACCTTAGGGGGCGCCAAAAAGGGTTGGATAAACAATTGAAAGTTCGAGGGGGGGTGGCAATCGAAAGTTTGAGGGGGGGTGCAAATTGAAAGTTTGTCTCCGGGCGCCGGGAACGGTCGCTACGCCTCTGGGTGGCATAGTTTTATAATTGATTTCCATGCTAGTTTTATGGAAAGTAAATAAAAAAAATTTCACAACTACTCTATATCCGATATGGAAATCTTATTTTAAAGAACATAGCTATTCCCACTCAGCGTTATGGGAAGAAGAAAAGTTGTTTTTTTAATCCTACTTACTTGATGCTATTCCAGATACCTGTTTTATTTTGGATATTTCAAATCTGATTTAATTTTAATAAAGTAATGTTTAAATTCTAAAAAAAATATTTTTAAAAGCAGAAAGCAGTAGCTTCATTTTCATGCAAAAAAGTTGGTCTCTGATTATTAAGTTCTTTTAGAATCATTTTATATATCCATTTAATTGATTGTGCATTTTTTTTTCAAAATTTTTTTTTAAATAACAGGTTAAATAAAGTAATTTTGCTTTGTAAGATACAAAAACAAAAGTCATATGTTCTCTTTAATTACTAATAGTGCTTTTGAAGTTAAATTAAACTTTGTAAAAAGCATGATCCTGAGAATATTGCTGCATGATTAATATAAAACAGTTTAAAAATCAAATGAAGTTGCTCAGGAATGCATCTTGAAAAAAAGTGGGGCAAGATAAGAGAAAGTCTTTGCTTTTCTTTAATCTGTTATAATTAGGCAGAATTTATCCCAGCTATTGTAATCCTTTTACAATTATTTTAAAACTTTTATTCTTTCTGATCCATAAAATACTTTAAAATTCCTTTTCAGTTAAATGCTGGTAAATAGTGCATGCAAAAAAATAGTGAAATAGGCTTTTTAAGATCTGCATGTGCCAACCCTCTTGTTTCTTTTGCTAATTATTCTTTCTAGCCATCTTATTTTGTATTTGTTACAGATTTGTATAAATTATCATTTTATGAACAATCATCACATTCTAATTCAACTAAGAACTAATTAAAATTGTCTCTGAGTGTTCATCATTTTAAAAAACAATAACATCTAGGCTAAAATTTTACACTGTTGTGAAATAAATATATTACCTGTTATTTATATATTAAGATTTTTAGCACAATTTTAACATTGATACAATTTATGAAAGCTTTCTTTGCAGTTAAAAATTTCTTTCTATCACAGAATGTATTTTATTTAAGATCAAATACTTACTTAAAGAAAAATGCATTGGCTATAATTTGCTTATTTTACATAAATTAGAAACAGAATAAGTAAAATGACTTTAAACTGGAATTTTTTTTCTTAAATGTTTACTGTAAATGTTTGTATTACATTTTTAAAGTGTTTATCTTTTAAATATAGAACGACTATTTTCATTACAAGTTGTTAAAAAACTTTCAATGATTAATTTCTGGTACTTCGTTAATTATTAAAATAAAATCCTTATCAATTAAGTATATGGTTTTACCTTTAATTTATCTAGGATGGTGGGGAAAACCCTGGGAACATTCATCACCAGCAGCTTCGAGAAATCCTAGGCCAACAAACTAAACAAAGAATGGCTAAAAAACAAGAAGCTGAGAGGCAGATGACTGGACCATCGCCTGGGTGGGCAGATGGAACAGGTATGTCAACTAGTTATCAACCAGGATACAGAATAACATCTTAAATTCTAATGATAAAGAAATCTTAATTTCCATTTTTTTTTAATTTTTTTTTTACACTTTGTTAAATAGTTGCATTTCATTTTGTTGACAAGTAAAACAAAAAATTATTTCTAAATTTCAGATAATATGGAAGGATTTCCTCCACGTCCACCTTTTCATGCACCTCCACCTCAAGGTTTCATGAGAGGGCCTCATCCTCCCATGAATCCTCAAGCTCAGCGTCCACCTTTCTACCCAGGATTTGTTCCAAGAGCGCCACTTCCTGAGCAATATGGTGGATCTCCACAGGTAAAGCTACATTTTTAATTTAAAAAACTAACCAGCTATCATTTTGTACAAAAAACATTACTAAAATGAATTACCATAGGTTTTATATGTATATTTCTCAATTTTTATTTCAAAAGTTAAGTTAAAAATTTCAACTTTGTTTTCTTTATTTTTTTAATTTTGTAGGAAGGGATGATGTCTGAGCGTAACCAGTATATGCAAATAATGCAGGAAAGAATGGCGGCAAATTCCAGTCAACCCCCCACACCGATTCCCAACTCTCCCCACATGAGTGTCAGCCTGCCTCCATTCTCATCTCCACAACAGCAGCTACAGTCGCCTTCATCTCTCACATCTGCTGCTGTGGCTCCGGAGCCACATCCAGTCTTACCAAGACTACTACCTGGTACATCTCAAGGAGCTGACGATGAGCTATTTTCAGGTCAGTTATTGTTTTTTATGCCTTTACTAGATTTTTTAATTAATTTTTTCGTAAACCATAAAAATTACTCTTTGAAAACAATTTTAAAATTTTTTCTTATGAATACTTTTAGGTACTGAAAGCCCTCAAGCCAGCAGCTCGAAGACAGCAGTTGCTGAAGATGCCAGCGTTGTTGAATCAGACACAGACATGCTAGAGGGCATCAATGAAAAAACTGCCAAACCGTCTATTTCATCTGAAGAAGATAAAAATGAAGACGATGATCTGCTTAGTAAGTGCAAAAAATATGCATTTTATTTTTTAAAGCCATTTATAAAATCTAAATAATTACAATCTTTGTGGCCCCTGGGGAGCAAAGGGCTGCAATAACACATTTTCTTATATGCTGAATATATTTTTTTGTTTCTACAGGTGCTGATGGAACATTTGACATATTAAAATATGCTGACCCAGATCTTGATCTAGATCTGGATGATAAAATGTTTGAACAACTTGACTTCATTGAAGAGAATCAAGGCAGTGAGAACAAGAAGTCTGATGAAGAGAAATCTGATGATGTGTATGTTAACATTTTAGAAAACTCTTACTACATCTTAAAATAATTTATACTACAAATAAACACTTTTTACATGAAAAATAGTTCTGATATTATTGCTAACATTTCTATTTGTTTTCAGGAAAGATGAAGTCAAGGAAGAAAAAGAAACAGATGCCATCAAGGCTAGACCTGACTTCCAAGCTCAGTTTTTGGAATTCAACCAGAGGCAGAAGTCTGAAATGAAGAAAGAAAAAGAAGATGGGGACGCTGCTAAGGCAGCAGAAGAGAAAGAAAAAACCGAAGTGGGTCAGATAGCTGCAAAACTGTTGCAAGGGGCTGAAACTATGACTTCCAGGTAAACCCAAAAACTTAGCCGCATTAATTTTACCATGGTAATGAATAATTTAAAAAAAAAAATTATTTAGGGTATTAAATGACTGTTACATTTTAAAAAATATCTGACAATGTTTTATTTAACTTTGTTTCCAGACTGGCCAGTGGTGACCCAAACACATCCGACATCAAACCTACAGGGCTGGAAACTGGTGGTATTGGTCTACCACGCACACCATTTCTACCCAACTTGTCATCTCCCCATATGCAAATGTCCCCATCCCAACTCCCTCCCCAGCCCACTTCTTCTGGTCTTCCATCTCCCAAGGTTAGTGAATAGTTGTCTTTATTTGTAAGCGTTATGCGCTATAGACTTTTGGACTAATCTGTTTTGTACTTAAGTTAGATTAAAACACTTAGCATTGAAACTCATTGTAATTTGATCAGTGTAGTAATTTTTTAAATCGTAAAGCGAAACAACTTCAGTTACTTATAAAACTAATTTTATTTTAAAATATTTTTTAATTAAAATTTTGATAAGTGATACATCCAAAAAAATTTACACAATTGGTTTATAAAAAATGAATGGATATTTCTTGTGCAAATCCAAACTCTTGTCTGTTGCTCTTTTGTTTACCTTGTTACATCAGATATTTTTATTTATTTTACTCATCAGATTATGCACTCACCAAGAAGTGGTCAGCCTTCTCCCCGCACTCCTGGCATACAGTCCCCATTCAATGCCATCTTAAGTGGCAGACATTCGGCATCACCACATAGCCAACCAATGACCCCTGGTGGATCTCAGTTATCCCCCTTCTCTACTGTAAACCAAATACCTTTCAGCCCTCCTGCGTCATCTGCAGCACAGCAGGGGTACGGCCAAGGTTCAGGGTCCGCGCCTCACTCACCATACCCAACCTCATCACAGCCTCCATTTTCAAAGTATGTTTATTTTTTTAATTGTATCTATTCTAGTCTAGTTCAACGTTTTAATTTAAACAATAAATTTCTTTACAAATTGTTTTTAACATTATAATTAATCTAATTTTAAATATATTTTAATCAACCATAAAATCATCTTTATACTTTAACCTTGTATTCATAGAATAAAAATAAAGTACTTATTTTTTAAATAACAAACTTTCCGTATAAATTATGTTGTTAATAAAAAAAATGTAAAACTCTGTTCACACAGTTTGTCACCTGCCCCGCCACACATGGTCTACCCACCTGGCAACATGGGTCCCAGGGGTCCTGGGTTTAACCAGATGGGACACCCTGGAGGACCAAGAGGACCACCAATGTATGGTCAGCCACCTCATGGAATTAGGTAATTCTACTGTCACATTTTCTGATATCTAATCACCTGAACTGTATTATACAATTAATTAAATCTTAAATTTAGAGTATTGGAAGTATTGTAATATTTAAGCTTCTACAACACAAGCACTTGATTCAAATTTGTAACAAAATTAACCTACTTTCAGTGTGTTATAATATGTTTAAAAATTTGTAAAATGATACTTTTTCCCAGCAGACATTTAACATACTACATTTAAAAACCCACATAAAAGACATCTTGTTAGGGGTTCTAATTTTTAAAATAGTTTTAAAAATCAAAAGCTCTGTCAGAATCTGGCACTAGTTTTCTGAATAGTGAAATTTTTTAAAGATCATCTTGCATTTCAGCTTTTATTTACAGTAATATTTTTTTGAAAATTCAAATTTTCAACTGATAAAACCTTCGAAACTGTTAATTTTATGTCTAAAATGTTTGGTAACTAATTTCCTATTTTTGAGGTGGTCATATTTATAAATTTGGAGTGTTTTGTGTATTTTATACAACTGAACTGTCACATTTACAATGGTATATTTTTCCAGACCTCAAGATGGCCAGCAGGGCAGATTTCCAAGACCTGATGGTATGGAACTTATGGAGGGTATGGGACCTAGAATGCCACAGCCTATGACAATGCAAGATGGCCGTCCTCATCCAATGTACCAGGGAATGCCACCAAGAGGTCTGTGAAAAAAAACTAATACAAATAAAGTTTTTTTTTAAAGATGTAGTTTCAGTAACACATTTTTACCTGGTGATGATTATTGTTTCAAGCTTTCAAATATTAGCTTTAAAAAAAAATCTCATGCAGTTAAGGCAAATTGAATTTCTAATAAAAATATATTGTAGTACATGTGAATTTGTTAATATTAATTAACATAAAAACTTGTTTAAAAAAAAAATTTAACTCAACACTTTTTATTTACAAACAGGTATGAGGGGCCCACCACCCCAGCCCACGTCCAACCATCCAGGCATGCAACAAATGCCCCATCCCCAAGCCAGGCAACAGTTTGCCGGTCAGCCTCAGAGACTTTCCCACCCACCTCAGGTACGAGTAATGGGACCCCGACAGCCAGGACAAAATTTCCCAGGTGGCCCTCCGCCTGGGGGCCCCCAGAGTCAGGCCCAGAGAGAGCAGCACACACTGCTGGATGAGCTTTTGGAGCAGGTGAGTTATAAACATCAAAATAGGTTTTGCCAAAAAATTAATTAATTAATCCTTATTTTAAATCCTAAAATAAAAAATTTCAGTGGACTTTTTGATGATGAGAATTAATTATAAATTATTACTCGTATCTAAAAAAAGTTTTTTTAAAGAAAAGTTCTGATGATGGAAATTCATCATAAAGAATTACTCATTTTTAAAAAAGAAAAAGTTTGTTTCATTTGTAACTATCCTTAACATCTCCTGGGCGGTGTCTTTTTAACAGATTTATTATAAAAATTGCATTTAGCATTTTGATAGACTAAATCGTAAGGTTTTAGCAAAATGGATTAAATTAAGTCCAGATAAATTTTTGTGCAATAAACTAAAATCACTCAGGTTTTGCATGACTTAATGTGTCTCTTATAACTCTAATACAAGGAGAAAGAGGAACAGAAACGCCAGGCAGAACAGCAGGCCATAATACACAGGAGGGACTTAGGTGAACAGGGCATGCCTAGCATGAGTCCAGGCATGTCTCCTGTGCCTGGCCCATCACCCCACTCCATGGGCGGGATGCCTATGAGGATGGAGCACCCAGGTGTAAGAATGTCAGGCCCACCTGAAGGCTGGTCCCCTGGTCCTGAGGGTGGTCCACCAGGTGGGCAGTTCCCACAAGGTAGGGCTAGTATAAAATATTGAATAATGCTGACTTGGTTACCTATCAGTTTTAAAACAAAATAATTTTAGTATATATTTATTTCATCTGCAACACAAAATAATAATGATAGATTGTGATTTGTTTAATTAAATAATGATATTTTGATTTGGGACTAATTATATAATTATACCTTTCTAAGTGAAATATAAACAGTGAAATTTCCATTTATTGCTTCTCTATCAGATAATAGTGGTAAATAGTTGGGACATGGCTAATCCATAACAGTCGTAATGAAGAATAATTAAATTTTCATGTATTGTATCTACACCAGATAATAAAATAATTGTGATGTCACAGGTTTCCCACCTAGAATGATGCATCCTGGCATGTCGCAGAGACCTCCTGTTCCCTTCCAAGGACCTCCTGAGATCAGAGGACCAGGCCCTAGCAATGCTGGACCCCCACCCCCTGGTCAGCAGGTGCCCATGGTTCCCCCACAGCCTGTCAGCCCACCATCAGGTAAGGTTTTGATAGCTGTACTAACACAACATCGCTGTGATTCTTTTTTCTTTTATTTAATGTTTTTATACTACTTATATTTCTTAATATGTTATAATACTTGTATATTTTTCCAGGTGAAATGGGACCTGAATATGAAAGACATGCATTGCAGTATGAAGAATGGCTGGCAAAACAAGCCATTTACCTTGAAAATCAGGTGAAAACTTTTGAGGGTCAAGTCAATAAATTGAAAAGAAGCAAAAAGACAATACAAGCAAGACAGAGATTGGTATGTTGGCTAACAGTTATTAATGTGTCTTTAAAGCTGTTTAGAATTATTTTATCAATTCAATTATTTAAAAAACCACCCTCAACCTCGCCTTGAAGTAATCCGGAATGGCCAGGGAGAGTAAAACAATGAAAGTCATAACAATTGTTTTCCTTGATAAAATACACATTAGTGGGATATAGCCTAGTAGTTTATTTATATTGAACAATATAACATCCCCCATCACCCTAACTCCACTAATCCAAATTAAAAATAAAAGTGTTAGCTAAATTAACTTTTATATATTACTAGTAGCTATTTGTTTAAATATTTCTAGCTTAGTGAAATTGGAAGTCATTCTGTACTTATTACACAAATGTAATAAAATAATCAATTTTGGTTGAAAAATATGCTTTTTGGCAACAAACATTTGGAACCAGCTTTTCATGCCTATTATACCTAAGTCTTTGTACTAAGTTTACAAAGTGTAGCTAGGTATTAGTGTATATGTACAATTCTGTAGAGTAACCACATGTCATGCAGTAAAGTAAAGAAACACAAAATGTTAAAAAAATTATGGTGTGAGAGTGCATTTTTGCAGCAAAAATCTGATGAAGCTGGTCCAAAATGTATTTTTTTAATATATTTAATGGCCTGGTCACATCTTATTTTTTGTATTTTATAAAATCTTTTGATTTAGTAGTACTTTAAATATCAACTTATTTATTAAAGTTGTTGCATAAAAAAAAATGTCATTAATATTTTTTTTTCACCAATAACTCTTAATTTAAATTTAAAAAAAATTTCATCCTGATGTGTTAAGACAAAAATAGTTTTTCATTAAATCTTTTGACTTAACAGGCAAAGAAAAATGGCCAAGAGTTAAATCCTGCAGACACCGCAGAGCTAGAGAGAATAAGTGGAGACCAATCAGGTCTGCAGAAACAGCTGGAAGCTCAGCGCAAGCTTCTGCGACAGCACCAACACATAATGCAAGATTATAAAACAAAACAGCAGGTTTGTTCCAGTTGATCTCCCCTGGGCTTTTTTTTTCTCTTCAGAATTCAATTTTTTTTTCTTTTATTTTTCGTTATCTGTGGGTAAAAAGAATGTTGTTGTTGTGTTTCATTGAAAACAAAATTGGAGCTACACTTTTATTTTAGTTTTTTTTTTCTTTCATTATTGTACATAATTACTGTTGTTGCTGCAGAGTGTGAAATATCTTTACTGTCTAAAAATGTTGGTGGGGTCTCTAATAGCCAAATATTCTAGTAACTCAATCTGCTTAAATAAAACTTATCATACTAACATTTAAAAAGAAATTAAATTACTTTACATACTTACCCGTATATGCCTTTAGCTGATTTTATATTTAATTTTGTAACTAATACTAATAAACAGATTTGTTACTTGACAAATCCTAAAAAAAATCACAGCCTTGAACCTTAACACTGTTTATGGAAAAAAGTCCCAGTATATAAAAAACAGAACTAAATTGAACCCCTCTCAACAGGAGCAGTTTGGTCGCATGTGGACGGGCGGTCTGGCTGAAACATCCATGACTGGCTCCACCATGCCCATAACCCATCCCCGCACTCCCGGGGGGCATAACTCTGTAAGGCTTAGCCCAACAGCCAGGCAGGAATATGAGGCTTACATGCAGAACCGTATACGCATGGCTACACAACAACAGCAGCAGCAACATAATAGGATGCGACCTCCGACAACCATTATCGGAGTATGTATCGCACTGTATAGTTTCATTATTCTATGTGTATTTCGTGCTTACTGTTTGTGTGGCGTTGTGTAAAATTTGTTCTAAGCCTGGTTTTTGTAAAATTTATGTAGTTCCTCTTTTATTTTATTTTTTTAGTGTAGTCATGCACTTCCTTTTTATAATTTTCATTTTAATTTCTTTTTAATTTTTTGTTCTCTACTGTTGTTACTTAGTTTATTTAGCTAAATTTTAATAATGTCACTGATATGATGAATGTAACTTTAATTTTAGGACAACAACCCATTCAGCGAAGCATTCCAACAAAGGGAACAAATTCAACGATCCTCGTTGCCACCAGGCGTGCAGGGTCCTCCGAGCGGACCCCCAACTCCAGGAGGACCACCCACCCCGTTGCAGCCACAGGGTGCCGCACCCCAACCCCTTAGACCACCCTTCGCCATGGGGAGCCCTAGTGATGCAGCTGTTTCCCCAGCACCCAGTAGTGCCCCTGGAAGCACCAGCTCACCTGCCCTACCTGCCAGCACGCCCACACCGCTGGCTGCTCCGCCTGCCCTCAGCACCACACCAGGTCCACCACCCACCCCGACAGGCACACCTTCATCACCAATGGGTCAACCACCAATGACCCCAGGACCACCAGTGCCACAAAATCAGCCGATGGCGCCGGCTGTTGGACCAGGCCCACGTGGTAATTTGATTTTCATCATTTTGACATTTTTAATTATTTGTTTTCTTTATCAAAGTATTTACAATGGTTTCTCAGCAAAAAAAAATAGAACAAAAATTCTTTCAAGTAACATAAAAATATCTCCAAATACTTTAACCATATTTATGTATGTTATTAGACTTAAAACAAAACATTCAGAAAATATATATGAATTTTTTTTTTAACAGGCCCCGTTGAAGGAATAGGTGCGATGCAGTTTTTCAGAGAAAGAAACATTCCTTTTGATGGAGCTGCTGGACCAAGGTTCCCAAGGCGTAAGTCTTTTGCATTAAAAGTTTATTATGTAATCGTCTTGAATTATCTTTGTACATGTAAGTCAATCAAGTTCTTAGTGTTTTCTTTTCTGATTACTAAAACATGAATTCCTCACACCGTATTTAATTAATCAAATTTTTTTTTTAAACTTAAAAAAAAAACTGAATAATTATTTTTTAAATCAATTGCCAGTCAAAATCAAATAAAAATATGAAGTAACTATATAAAATCTTACTGTAAAATGAATATTCTTGTCACATTGTTTACAGCTCCTGGACCTGGAAATTTCACTGAAGCCTCCCCATCAACTCAAGGACCCCGGTTGCCTCCCTACCCTGGCGGCTCAGCAATGTTTCCTCAGGGCCCACCCCATGTACAAGGAATGGAACACCCTCGAATGCCCTTCCAACCCAGTATGCAATATCAACAAGGTTGTTATAATAATACTTCAAGATTTTTATTTTATTTTGACTATTCAACCATTGACAGCGCAATCACTTTTATCAGCAGCTTAATAATTATATAAAAACGTTTTTAAAAAAATTCTTTAAGCATTCATTAAAAAGTTTTCATGAGAAGGTTATTACAGCAATTTTATTTATTATTATATTGTGTCATTATTTAACAAGTATTAATATTTAACAAGTTTTTTAGTTAGTAGAAACAAGTGTTTATTTTTCTAATTTTTAATTGTGCAACAGCAGGTTCTCAACTGTCAGAAATTTCTCAAGCCACCCAGCCAGGGGCGAAAGAGAAAAAGAAAAGAAAGAAGAAAAAGAAATCTGATGATATCGAAGGTGTTCAGTCTCAGCCACTACCACCATCTATACCAAACCAGTCCATGCTAGGTAAGTGTTGCCTTCTCTGTTCATTGTGGCCTGTTGTATATAGGCAACGTGAGTATTGGACATTATTTTTATTGATCCCCAGTGAGGTGCTACCAAAAAATAATTAAACCTCTTTCTATTAAAAAAAAATCAATAAAAATACCTTATAGAGCAGGGGAAATTTTTCATGTTTCCATTACCCTGACATTTCCAGTGTGGTCAATTCTATGTCCAGCCATGTTTACTTTCTGTAACATGAGTCAATTACCCATCATAGTGGGTGGACTCTAATCTGGGATCTGAGACTTGCATATTTGTAGTATTAGATGGCCATCCCATCCTCTTCTGTTACCCCATCTTTTCCAAGACAGTCATTGTATCAAAAAGTTCCTTTAACTACCTTTTATTATTCACATTTATTTTAGTTATATTGAACTGTAAAACACAAAACGTGTACATGAATTCTAAATGTGAATAATCTTCATAGCCAGCTTCAGTATCAACTAAGTTGTTTCTTTTGCCTTTTTTAAGAAACAAATTTTGAATTATCTACACCATGAACTAGTTAAATTTGACAATATTATTGTTCATCCACACCAGGTCAAATGAACAATCAGTCAGCAACATCAGCATCAGGTCCTGGCGTGGGAGTTGCACCAAAGCCAGCAGAACTCCCCAAACCACAGTCTGAAACTGAGAGAAGAATTTTGGAAATACTCAACAATTCTCAGAAGGAGCTCCAGAATCCTTCCAGCCCCAGCAGTGCCAGGGGAGGCAAGTCCCCACGCAGCAGAAGTCCTGCCCGAGCTCAGCCTGTAATGACATCTGAGGTGGAGAAGCTGCAGGTCGCTTCTATGGTTGGGGTTACGTCATCGTTGGCCTTGAACAGCACACCCAGTGGTCAGTCTTCAGATTCTCATTTGTCTTCGCAGGCAGGTACCCCGTCCACTGCCTCCGATGCTACGTACACTTTTGGAGGAGAAAAGCAGCGGATGCCTATAGAAGGCAAGAATCTACCGCCTGGGCAACCTCCTGGAGATATTCAGAACCCACTTCAGTCTTCTATCTCACAACCTACAATCATGCAACAGAGAATGCCAGTACACTCGCAGTCCCATGGAGGTTCAGTCCCTCCCGGATTCCCTAATCAACAGCACATGCAGCATCTCCAGAACCTGGCTCGTATGCAGCAGCAGCAACAATTTCAGCAGCAATTCCCTGGGGGACCAGATGGCCAGCGGCATGCGCTTGACTCCCAACAAATGCCTCTGGGGGGCCCACGGTACCCACAGCTGCATCCTTTTCCCCAAAGGCAAAGATTCCCCCCAGGGACAGTGCAACCACCTCCTCATCCTTTTCACAACAGGCCACCCCACATACGAGGTGGCCAGTACCAGCAACAACTCCCCGGACTACCACCCAGGATACAAGGTGATCCTCGGATGCAGGGTAACGAGCCCCACATGATACCCTCACACGCCATGATGCAACAGCGTATGCCTTCAGCCTCTCAGGTGATGCAGCACCATCTACCTCACCACCCACCTCTGCAACACCCCCCGCAGGGGCTGCAACCAAATCAGATTGGTCAAGCTCCTCCCCTGACCCACTTGCCCCCAGCCTACCAGGTACCTTCCAGTGGACAAAACATGCCCCAGCACAGTCTTCAATCCAGCACCATAGCAACGTCAATGTCCAATGTTACCCAAACTCCAGTCGTGACAGTTTCATTAACCACTTCCACAGCAGACACTTCACTTCCAACGACCACAGCACCAGCTTCTTCAGTGGCTTCATCAAATCCATCAGCAACAACAGCAGTTCAAGGCAGCAGTAATTTACCTCCAACGTCCGCATCATCTACAACCCCTGCAGTGACCACACAACCCCAACAGCAGTCGTCCCCTCCCTCAACCATTCCAGCTGAGGCTAACAGCTCAAGTCAAAATGTCAGCGCTCAAACTACTAGTGCAGCTACCGCAGTCATTCCAACTACAAGTGGGGAGACCAGTAAAGACAATCAAGATGGCACTGCCAAAAAGGTGTGTGATGATGGTATACATTGTGGCACAGACGATGAGGAGGAAAGTTCAGGTGCTAAGAAGAAAGTTTGTGATGATGGTATTCATTGTGGTACTGATGATGAGGAGGAAAGTGCAGGTGCTAAGAAGAAAGTTTGTGATGATGGTATTCATTGTGGTACTGATGATGAGGAGGAAAGTGCAACTAAAAAGAAAGTTTGTGATGATGGTATTCATTGTGGTACTGACGATGAGGAGGAAAGTGCAACTAAAAAGAAAGTTTGTGATGATGGTATTCATTGTGGTACTGACGATGAGGAGGAAAGTGCAGGTGCTAAGAAGAAAGTTTGTGATGATGGTATTCATTGTGGCACTGACGATGAGGAGGAAAGTGCATGTGCTAAGAAAAAAGTTTGTGATGATGGTATTCATTGTGGTACTGACGATGAGGAGGAAAGTGCAGGTGCTAAGAAGAAAGTTTGTGATGATGGTATTCATTGTGGCACTGACGATGAGGAGGAAAGTGCATGTGCTAAGAAAAAAGTTTGTGATGATGGTATTCATTGTGGTACTGATGATGAGGAGGAAAGTGCAGGTGCTAAGAAAAAGGTTTGTGATGATGGTATTCATTGTGGGACTGACGATGAGGAAGAAAGCATAGCTTGTAAGAAGAAAGTTTGTGATGATGGCATTCATTGTGGCACTGACGATGAGGAGGAAAGTGCAGGTACTAAGAAGAAAGTTTGTGATGATGGTATTCATTGTGGCACTGACGATGAGGAGGAAAGTGCAAGTGCTAAGAAGAAGAAAGTTTGTGATGATGGTATTCATTGTGGGACTGACGATGAGGAAGAAAGCATAGCTTGTAAGAAGAAAGTTTGTGATGATGGCATTCATTGTGGTACTGACGATGAAGAGGAAAGTGCAACTAAAAAGAAAGTTTGTGATGATGGTATTCATTGTGGTACTGACGATGAGGAGGAAAGTGCAGGTACTAAGAAGAAAGTTTGTGATGATGGTATTCATTGTGGTACTGACGATGAGGAGGAAAGTGCAGGTGCTAAAAAGAAAGTTTGTGATGATGGTATTCATTGTGGCACTGATGATGAGGAGGAAAGTGCAAGTGCTAAGAAGAAGAAAGTTTGTGATGATGGCATTCATTGTGGCACTGATGATGAAGAGGAAAGTGCAAGTGCTAAGAAGAAGAAAGTTTGTGATGATGGCATTCATTGTGGTACTGACGATGAAGAGGAAAGTGCAGGTGCTAAGAAAAAAGTTTGTGATGATGGCATTCATTGTGGCACTGACGATGAAGATGATAAAAGTGCCCCCATTAAAGAAATCGAAGAGTTGTCAAACGCACATTCTGATTCTTCAGCTAAAGCTAAAGACCCAACCCCTCATCAAAATGACAAACACCAAAGCATGGAAGTAGATGAGCAAGACACCCCTCAATCAAAATACACATCTTTAAACCAGGACTTCCAGCCTACAGTATCTCTACAGTTAGAAAGCTCTTACAACAGCTTACTTAGCAAATCTTCTGAAGTTGCAATGGATACAAGCGATCCTGGTACTTCAGCATCTTTTGCCACACCAGAGAAGTCAACAAATGCCTCCAGCCTGAACCTGGTCTCTCCAATACACTCACAAATATCCTCTCAGCTTGCTGTGGTGTCCAGGTCTCTCGCAAACTTTAACCCTGCCATAAGTTCTGACACATCCGAGCCTCTGTCTGTTCCCGTCAGACCTTCAGAAACATTGACAGCATTTTCTTTATCCGGGCCACTGTCCTCGCATCCTTCACTGACAGAGGAATCAGGACTGGCCTCGCAAGATAGTTCGACGGAAATAAGATGCAGTGCCACAAAGAATGAAATAGATAATCAAACCAGCAGTGACCCTATCCATCAAGTCGTGACCGTGACCTTGCAGTCGGAGAACTCCCAAGACAAGGAATGTGATAATGAGGTTTCACTCAGTCAGCTTGCAGCTGGAGGTAACTCTGAGTCTGTTGTAAAACTTGGAGGCCAAACCCAGGCTTCTAACCCTGTACATGTTTCTACTTCACAAGTAAGTGAGCCGTCAAAGTCTAATATAAAAACTTTATCCACAACACTGCCTAATGTGCCATCCACGAATGCCCATATCAATTCTAGTCAGCATGAGCTTATTGGTTCAGCAACATATTCAACATCCACAAATCCACCTTCAGTTTCAACATTCACTTCCAAAGCACCGTCAAACACAGCACTGCCAAACCAGAATGTTAAATCCGCCCAGCATTTGAACGCTCCTGAAACGAACACTGTTTTACCGACTATCATTAGTAGTCCTTCTAGTGGATCCCGGAGTACATCCAGTGAGTCTCGGCCTGTTATTCCTCCACTGCGTATTCGCATGGACGGACAGTCACAGCACCAAGTGTATGAAAGCACACCTAACCCTAGCAGGGATTACAGAAATAAACCTGAAGGAGATTTGAAGCTAATCCTCAGAAAATCAGCCAATGGGACAGCTGAGCTGATTTACAGGGAGAAAAAGCGCCCATCAGAATCATACACGTCTTCGTCTCCCGCCTCTGCTGTAAATAGTCCATCATCTGCATCCACCATTACTTCCACGGTCACTCCCTCGACTATGTACAGTGTCAAAACGCTGGATTTGAATGCCACTCCACCAACTGTCATGTCGTTTCATAGCAGTGTCCCCTCAACACTGTCTCACTCAAGCTCCCCCCACCCCAGCATCTCAATGACCCCCCCAGCCTTGTCAACTGCCTCATCCCCTGCACCGATGTCAACAAACCCACACACTCCATCCTCTGGTCCGGCCACACCAACCACTGAGCCATTCAGTTCCAAGCCTGGATCCACACTGTTTAAGAATGTTACCTACACTAAATCACCTGATACTGACATTGTGAAAATAAATGTTGGGTCAAGCAAAAATACAGGAGAAGGAACAAGAAAGGTAATAAATAATTAGTTTTACCAGTTTAGAAAACACTAATTTTATTAGATTCAACTTTTAATTTTGGTATTTTAACATTTTTTTGTCAGTGTCAAAAGCAAAAACAGTTATCTCATTGAACTTGAACTTCCAGGAACTAAAAGAATTGTTTAGGAATTTAATTATAGAGCCTTTCTTAAGCATTTTTAAGCACTAGTTCTTTTAGGGTAATAAAAAAAATGCATAAATATAAATTACCTTGCTCCTTTTTTTGTGTGTGTATTAATTATGATCATTTTTCGTTATTTATTTCAGTATTAAGTATACAGAATGTACAGCAACAGTTGCTGTGATTAATATTATAATTATTTTTTTTTACACATCATAAAAATGTATAACACCTTGACAATATTTCAGGTTATCCGCTCATACACGACCGACATCCAAGCTCTCGAGAGGCTGCAGTCAACCATTGACGCTGTGGCCTCAGGTGAATCATCTTTTGAGCCAGATGCTGACTCTGAGCCACCATCTCGGCCTAGTAGCCAGGACAGCAGAAGTAATTCAACGCCAAGACCTCCATCTGTCTCTTCAGTTCCTCCTATTATATCTACAGCAGCTGATGGAAGTGGTTACCAAGGAAACTCTTTCTATTCAGCACCAAATATTAACCTCGGGATGGGCATGTCCCCGCAACACCAGATGCAGCAACAGATGGGAAAAGGGATGCTACAGCAGCAGCAACAACAGCAACGTCCGCAAATGCAGCAGCATCCACAACAGCACCAACAACAAATGCAACAACAGCAGCAACATCAGCATTCTCAGCAACAGCAACATTCCCAGCAGATGCAGCAACAACAACAGCAACAGCACCCACAGATGCAGCAACAACAGCATCCACAGATGCAGCAGCAGCATCCACAAATGCAACAACAACATCAGCACCAGCAGCAAATGCAACATCAGCAGCACCCCCAGCAAATGCAGCAGCAACAGAACAACGCCTATTTGTCACAAGCCCAGTCTGGGTTCTCCCCCCACCAGCAGTACCCACCTCCTCGTATGACACGCCCACCCCTGGACCTCCTACAGCAAGTGTCCCAGTCCGCCCTGTCCTCCGCTGGCACGGCTATACCAACATCAAGTCACCAGCCACCCCAGGAGCAGAGATCACCGTACATGACTGAGAGATCCCCATCAGGTTCTTCTGAGCACAGTCCTCTACACACGTCTCCACATCAGCCTTATCCTGGTTAGTATTACGTCTAGAACTTGCTAAAGTAAACGTTAAATTATAACCAACATCCATACATTATTTATATTAATGTCTTTACCACAGATTATTAATTATAACTTTCGTTGATGAGCTAATGAATATTATACTTAAATTAAAAACAAATTTCACAGATAAAAATGTCAGCCTTTTTTTTCCTCCAAAATAATAATCTTGAATCGAATTTAAAAAATATGTATCTTAAAGTTTTTGTAACAGGAAAATACCACCCTTAAGGTTTTTAAATATATTTATGAATCATGTCTTCAGGTTAGGAAAAAATCTCTATTTTGTAGATTTCTCTTTTCCAGGCATGATGGGTCCTAGACCCATGGGGTCATCACCTGGTGTTTCACCAAAAACTCCCACTGGCCAGCCACAACAGTACATGCCCATCTCTGGACCACCACCACAACAGTTCATGCAAGGGGGACGATTCCCACCCAGAATGCATCACGACATGTCAGCAGCCCCTCCGTACGGCATGGCCCCACACCCTATGTCTCCAACAGGCGGTGGCATGCATCGCCAGCGGCCTCCTCATTTCGGCATGGTTGGGGACATGAGTAGAATGCCTCGCCCACCTAGGGGAATGCCCCAGCACAGACCAATGCCCCCAGAGATGATGAGCCCCGAACATGGAATGCGCCCAGGCATGCCACGTCATCAGTTCATGTCACCAACGCACCCTGGCATGCAAGACATGCCGCCAACCTCACACGGGATGTCAATGCCGTCACACGCCATGGCGGTCGCACCCCACGGGATGCCCCAGTCACCGCACGGGATGCAGACTTCACCCCATCCAATGCAGCAGAACTCCCCACACGGCATACAGCGTCCGCAGCTGATGGGTCAGCATCATTCAATGATGCAGGGTGGCCCGCCTTCTCCGTACCCACAGTCCTCAATGAGTGCTGGTGGTGGACCTTTAGCCTCCCTGCAGAATTTCCACCCCCCAGGGCACCCTGTCAACACAAGCATGGGCTCCCCAATGCCGAACCAACATCACCAGAGGCCCATGTTCCACCAGATGATGTCTGACCCACGTATGGCAGCCCAGCTGCGTATGATGACCGGGGATAACCGGCACATGGCTCCACACTATCGCCAGATGATGATGAGGGGGATGGTGTCCCAAGGCTCCAACCCACCCTCACAGATGTCTTCCCCACAAATGTCACCACACTTGTCGCCGCAGATGTCACCCAACATGCCAACACAGCCCCTACGCCACCTGGACAACATACCAGATGATAAAAGCTTTGTTAACTCCCTTGCTTCTAGTGGCTCAATGGGTCTGTCTGGTATGGGAGATCCCATGATGGCAATGGGAGGCAAGCAAAGGTGTGGTGTTATTTTTTTTCTTGATACCAAATATATAATATATATTATATATATAATATTAATATATATAATGTCAGCATATATGGTTTTAAAAGCTAATAACTTTCTTTAATGTAGGATCTAAGTTAGTTTTTTAAACCATTCCAGCTCTTGAGTTGTTCTTTTAAATATATGTCTTCATATAGCAAATAAGACAATAAAAAAGTTAAGTTCCCTTTCAAACCTGGCGGTCTATGGGGTAAGCGAAGTAGAGTTCACCTGTTTCTATTACCTCAGCATATGATGGGATAGTGTGGCCAGTACAATGCCTAGCCGCCTATACTTTCTGTAACATGAGTTAGGTACTCATCAGAGCTGGGTGGACTACGGGACGTTCTACCGACTTGAACCTGGAAACTCAAGCCTTCTGATTAGCAGTCTAGCACTCTACCCATAGACCACTCCGTGCCAATGAGACAATAATTAGTTAATATTATAATGAAATATCTGTATGTTTTATTACCTTCTGTAAATTCTAATGTGCCCCAATAATCCTTGTCAAAACCAAAAATGTTTTTGGTCATTTTCACAAATTTTAAAAACCAAATTTCAGACCTCAGTTCAACCCAGGCATGATGTCAGGTGACCCAAGCGGGTTCATGGCTATCCACCCAACACCCCACATGATGGGCAGTGGTGAGCCAGGCTCTATGATGTCCACATCAGGGTTAACCTCACCTATGTCAGACTCCTGCATGAGCAGCCATGTCAAGCTTGAACCAAGTGAGGACTCTGTGTCAGCTGGTAAGGGAGAAGTTATTGTCATTTTTTAAATCTGTGTCAGCTGGTAAGGGAGAAGTTATTGTCATTTTTTAAATCTGTGTCAGCTGGTAAGGGAGAAGTTATTGTCATTTTTTAATCCACAAATCTTCTTCTTCTTCGTTCTTAATTATTTGTGTTGAAGGGGATCGAGATTTATCTGCCAGTGGGTTTGAACTTGAGACTTTGTTCGAATTTATCAACCATGAGCTTTTTGCCGACTCGACCACGCCTCCAACACAATTAAGCGTTACGTGTCAACTGGTTATGCGCCATTGAGGCCATTGACTCCGATTTCAGCCTGCTTTTCTTTTTGGATTTGCTTCCATAGCCTTTGTCCAACCAAGAACAAACTACAAGGCAGCAGTTGTTTAATTTTGGAGTTGTCTCTCATAGAAGAGTGGCTGTCCCCAGCTAACGAGCCTCATCTGCCCGAGGGTTCGAACTCGAGACTTTTCGGTTTAGCAACCATGAGCTTTACCGACTCGAATCCATAAATCAAATGTTGTTATTAAAGAAAATATCTGATTACATAAATAACATAACTGATGATGAGGGAGAAGTTCATGTCATGTCATGTTTGCCTGTCGTCCCTACTGGGACATAGGCCGCTGACAAGAGCTTTCCAGGCGTCTCTGTCCAGGGCTAGTCTCTCCAACTGTCCCCAGGTGTATCCAATCTTCTTGGTGTCTTCTTCCAGGTCACGTCTCCAGGTCTTTCTTGGTCTGCCTCTCTTCCTCCTGCCTTGTGGATTCCAGGTGAGGGCCTGTCTTGTTATGCTGGATACAGGCTTCCTGAGTGTGTGGCCAATCCATTTCCATTTTCTCTGGAGGATCTCTACTTCCACTGGCAGTTGATTTGTCCGTTGCCATAGAACATCATTTCTGATGGTTTTAGGCCAGCGAATTCGCAGGATCTTTCTGAGACATGCGTTTATAAATGATTGTATTTTCTTCTTATTTATAGCAGTTATTCTCCATGTCTCGGCTCCATAGCGTAAAACAGGTTTTACTAGTGTGTTGAAGATCCGGATTTTTATTCTAAGGGTTAAATCTCCCGAACCCCAAACATTTTTTAGTTGGTTGAAGACTGCTCTTGCCTTACCCGTCCTTATTTTTATGTCTGCTTCTGTCCCACCCTGCTTATCAACAATACTTCCAAGGTAGGTGAATCTATCCACTTCTTCTAGGGCTTCTTCTGCCAGTGTTATAGGGTTGTTGTTTGATGCATTGACTTTGAGAACTTTACTTTTCCCTCTGTGGATGTTCAGACCCAGGCTTGTAGAAAAATTTGCAACCCTGTTGGTTTTATCCTGCATTTGTTGTTGTGTGTGAGAAAGGAGGGCCAGGTCGTCAGCAAAGTCCAGGTCATCCAGCTGGCTCCACAATGTCCACTGTATACCGTTTCGCGTTTTCTCTGTTGACATCTTCATAACCCAGTCTATGGCCAGTAGGAACAGGAATGGTGAAAGTAGGCAACCCTGCCTTACTCCGGTCCGTACTGGGAAGGCCTCTGTAGTCTGTTGGCCATGCACTACTCTACACTTGAGACCTTCATATGAAGACATAATAATGTTGACTATTTTCTGTGGCACCCCGTAGTGTCTCAACAATTTCCACATTGACTGCCTATCCAGGCTATCAAAGGCCTTCTCATAGTCTATGAAATTAATGTAGAGAGATGAGTTCCACTCTTGGGTCTGTTCAATGATGATGCGCAGGGTAGCAATTTGGTCTATGCATGACCTTTCCTTCCTAAAGCCCGCCTGTTGATCTCGAAGCTGGGGATCTATGGCTTCCTTCATTCTGTTTAATAATATTCTGTTGAAGACTTTGCCTGGGATGGACAAAAGTGTTATCCCTCTATAGTTAGAGCATGCACTAAGATCGCCTTTCTTTGGAAGCTTTATGAGTAGTCCCTCCTTCCACTCCTCTGGTATTTGTTCATCTTCCCAGATTTTCTTGAAGAGTGTGTATAGTAGTGTGGTGCTAGTTTCTATATCTGCTGTCAGTGCTTCTGCCGGTATACCATCTATTCCTGGAGCCTTCCAATTTTTCAGCTGCTTTATAGCTCTATGTATCTCTTCTTTTGAAGGTGGGTTGCAGTCTATAGGGAGGTCACTTTCAGCTGGTGGTATGTCTTGCGTGCACTCTGGTGTTGGTCTATTCAGTAGTTCTTCAAAATGTTCTACCCATCTCTTCATCTGTCCTTCCGCATCAGGTATTGTCTTTCCATCTTTGGTTTTCACTGGCCTCTCTGGCTTACTGTACTTACCAGATATCTTTTTAATTGTATTGTACACGTCCCTAATATTACCATGGTACAGTGCTTCTTCCGCTTCTCTTGCCAGCAGTTCCAAATAGCTCCGTTTGTCTTTCCTTATGTGTTTCTTTACATTTTTGTTCGTTTCGGTGTATTCTTCCAGTGCTTTTAATTTCGTAGCCCGTGTGCGGCTGTTGTTTAATGTTGCCTTCTTTCTTTTTCTCTCTTCAATAATTTTCATGGTATCTGCTGATATCCATTCCTTCGCTTGTCCTTTGATAGGGCCTAGCACTTCTTCGCATGTTGATGTTAATATACTTTTAGTTTTTTCCCATGTTTCCTCTATCGTCTCTTCTTCTATTAGTTCTTGTAGTACCTGGAACCTATTGGACATATGAAGTTTAAATTCGTTGAGTTTAGATGGGTCCTTTAGCAGGCCTGTGTTGTACCTGTATTTCCTTTTGTTTTCCAACATGTTTTTCTTCAGCTTGAGTTTTACTTTAGCTACCAGTAGGTGATGGTCTGAAGCAACATCAGCTCCTCTCTTGACGCGTACATCCTGAAGTGATCTCCTGAACTTTTTTATGATATATATATGGTCTATCTGGTTTTCTGTAGATAGGTTGGGTGATACCCAAGTAGCTTTATGTATCCTTTTGTGATGAAAGAGACTACCTCCAATGACTAAATTATTTGTGGCACACAAGTCAGCAAATCTTTCTCTGTTTTCGTTCATCTCACCTAAACCCTGCTGTCCCATACATTCTTCATATCCTCTGTTGTCGCTTCCAATCTTAGCATTGAAGTCGCCCATGAGTATAAGGATGTTTCTTCTTGGGCGGTTCTGGATAATGGTCATTAGCCTGTTGTAGAATTCGTCTTTGTCCTCCTCTTTGCTGTCATTTGTTGGGGCGTAGGCCTGTATTATGTCCATGTTTATTCGTCTTATTTTAGTTTTAAAGGTAGCTGTTATGATCCGCGGGCAGTGTGCCTCCCATCCGATGAGAGCCCTTTGTGCTTGATTTGATAGCATGAGTGCAACTCCTTGAGTATGTGGTGCATTTTCATCCTCATGACCTGAGTACAGCAGTAGCTCTCCTGATATCAGCCTTTTTTGTCCTGAGCCAGTCCACCTTGATTCGCTGACACCCAGGATAGCTATTTTATAGCGTCTCATTTCTGCTGCTACTTGGGTTGCTTTTCCAGCTTCGTACATCGTGCGGACATTCCAAGCTCCAATATTGATGGTGGTCCTAGTGGAAATAATGGTGGTCGACCTGGTAGTTTCCAATACATATTGGCTTTCACCACCCGGCTTCATAAATTCTCCATCGGGAGATCCATTTTTCCCCTGGTCCGAGCTGTCTTTGTTTCTCTCTGTCTGCGTTTCTGTAGCGGGTAATTTGTTTTACGAGATAAGGTTGCTGACCTTATGCTCAACCCCCAACCTGGAGGACCAGGGTGCTAGCTTTCGTCTGACCCCTACCCGCGCAGACCTTCCCAGCTTGGTTGAACCTGCCAGGAGTTAACACTCCCGCTGGTATAGCTCTGGGGGTCGTCAGGGTACGCAAGCTGCCAAGCCACGACAAGGCCCTAGCACCAGATGACAGAGGGAGAAGTTATTAACATTTAAAATTTAACTGTCAAATGTTTCTTTAAAAAAAAATTAAGTAAACGTATAATATAAGTAGTTATATTTTAATTTAACTATCCAGTATTTGATTTGATCACTAGATAGTCAGATATGTCCTTTAAACATTCAAATGCTGTTGGGCAACACATATTGTTGAAATAACATCAAACTTTATGTATATTACTATGTACGATAATGAAACAAAAACTGTTCTCCATGAAAATAACCAATAGTATTGCACTAGCGTTGTGAACAGTAAAATATTTATAACATTTACACTTCCTATCACAATATTTACAGATGGCTCCCTTTCACGTGATGATCTTGACCTCGACCCTAAAGCAACTCACAACGAGCTGTTAAAACAGCTGCTTGGAACTGGACATGGGGGTCGACAACTTCCAACCCCTGATGTGAGAACAATTGTTTTAGGTTTTTATTTTAGTTAGATCATAAGATGTTGTTTTGTTTCACTTTGAGATAATTTACTTTAGAATAAGTTTTAAAAGTTTGTTCCAGATATCTTCCCTTCTAAAATTTTAATAGAACATTCAATAAATTCCCATCAATTTCCTTTCAGAGTGAAGACAGTCTGCCATCACTGACCCCAGAGCAACAAAGACAACTGGAGATGATTGACTCCATGCCACTTTGTAAAGAGACTGAAATATCAACTCCAGAATGGGAAGCAAAAACACAAGAGGAAAAAGAAAAGATTTTAGGTATCCATTTTAATTATTTAAAACTTATTTGCTCCCTCGACATAGCAGTCTTAAAGTTGTTCTTTTCATCTTTAGTTATTTAATTTATGTAAAATGAAAATGAACTGTACTTCATCTGCCCAATTGATTGCTAGGTCTTTAGAGGAATCTGTACTTTTTCTTTTTGTAAAAAAATACAGATTATATGTTGTAAAGCAAATAAAATCTTAATAACTAAATTTATGTTTTATAATTTCTATATTAATAATTTTCTAAATAAAACAAAACAATCATCTTACATGCAAGCAAAAAGTTGCTTTAAATTTCAGAGATGAAGAGGCAAGAGTATGAACAAAGACGTCAAGAATACGAAGTCTCTCGCAAAAACAAACGCAAGACAATTGGTGGGGCATTACCTCCTACTGAGAAAAAGAAACGCAAACAAAAACCAGGGGGGGATCTTGGAGTGGAGATCCCCAGGAAGAGAAGCAAAAAAGTAAAAGTGAGAGGGAATATTTGATAAATTCATGTTGTAATCCAAGGTGACTGTGGTTGCATGGTAGAGCCAACAACTGCTAATCTTAAAATCTTTGAGTCAGATCCCAGGTTGAAGTCTGTTAAACGTACCTGCGCTTTGATGGGTACCTGAGTCATATTAGGGAAACATAGTGCTGACCACACTATCCCCGTAATTGAGGTCATTGAAACATATATCTTGGGCACAAATGTGATTAGATAATGATGTTGTAGTACAAGGTTATAAATAAAGAAATAACTAGTTGTGTATTTTTGTTGTGTATTTTTTTTTTTTTTGACAAAAATAAAATAATTTTTCCCCAGTTAAAAGAAAACCAGTTGAAAGAACTTGAAGCTCAAGCAGAAACATTTTTACACCAGCTTCACAACATGCCTCCAATCCAGCTACAGGAGCCTGTCATTGCCACATCTATGTCCATTTTACCTGTCAAAGGTGCTTCAACTCTAACAGGTACATTTTTTAAATAAAATGGATATTTTTTTTAAGAATAACTTCGGAGTGGCCAAGTGGTAGAGAGCTGGACTGCTAACCCATAAGTCTCAAGTTCGAATCTGGGTTCAAGTCCAGCCAGCTCTGATGGGTGCCTAACACGTTAGGGTAAGCAAAGGCGGCTGGGCATAGTGCTAACCACACTATCTCTTCATATTCCGAGGTCACAGAAACAAGTGAACTCTACACTTACCCCATAGACCATCAGGTTTGAAAGGGATCTTTACTTTACTTACAAGAAAATTACTTCTTCTGATCCTTTAATTGAGGGAATGATAAATTAACAAATTAGTGTTAATTAAAAACTTAATGATCCTGAACTTTAACTATATGAACAGGTACATCATCATTAAAAGGCCGCTTCTGTAGCGCTTACATTGATGGTATTGAGGATCTATACGGCAGCCTGTTGTTCCCTCAACCACCCCCTGGACTCCGAGCAACTGTCCCATCAGCTGAGGTGCTGGCTCAAAGGCAACTGGCCAATGAATCAAACAAGCTCCGGATGATACCAGGCATTGGTGAGTCAAATTTGATTGTAGCAACACCTCAGCATTAGAGATGAGAATCATTTAGATCCTCATCATCATCATTCCTGTGAACCCCTTGCTGAGCATAGGGAAGCAGACACACCTCTCCATCCTTATCAGTTTTGGGTGATTCCTCCTAGTTGGGTCCATGACATTGCAGCTTCTTCTCCTATAGCTGACCTTTTCCAAGTTTGTTTAGCCTACCTACTTTCCTCTTTCCTTGGGGATTCCTATCTGCCTGATGATGTTGCTAGTTGGTTTATGCAAGATGTGTCCAATCCATCCCCATTTGCAGTTTTGTCTTTCATTGCCAATAAGGTCCTAAACAGGAATCATATAGATGAGACTTTCTGATTCTTTGTTCTTATTAATTATAAAAAAAAATTCTTTTTTATCTTAAGATGCACTTCAAATGTTAAAAGTAAAAGAAGGAGCAATCACAGGACAAAGACCTGGACCACGTACAAGTCCGAGGCTCGTATTGCCTCCTCAGCCACGTATAGAGATAAAATCAGAACAAATGAGAGACAGGTAATTACTATCTACTTATTACTCTAATCTTAAAAATATCAGTATTTTTTATTACACATAATTACATACAAGATTATTTTATTTATAAAATATTCTTAATTTTTATATTTAAATCTTTTACAGGAAAGAAGAAAGGGAGACACCAGATACCATAGTCTCGTCATCGTCACCAGAATTTGGTTTCAATGAACAGGAGCCAGAATATCCAGGTCTACGCCCCATAGATCCTGCAGCAAACGACATAAAACTGGAGGACACCACCTCGCCTGTGGTACCTCTTGTCCATCCACTGGCTGTCAAACCTGGTATGTGGCTACATGTCATTTATACTTGTCTGTGGTTAGGTATCATTTATACTTTGTATGACTTCATCTTGTGTACATTTGTGTTGTTTTATGCTTTCTGTGGTCAAGTGCCTTTCATAAAATTTGTGGTTAAATACAATTTCAAATTTCTATGTTGAGAAGCATTTAGGTGTAATCTTAAACCTGTGAAACAGCAAATATAACAACAAAAATACTATAAAAAACAGTTTGATTATCCTCTTAAGAAATTAAATACAAATGCTTAACCCTTTGAGCCCTGGCCTCCCTGGCCTAATTTCTCTCATTTCCTGAGCTCCCAGGGCCAAACCAATTTTAACACGTTTTTCTTAACTCAGCTTCGCGTTTGTTTGTTTGTTTGGATGTTTGTTGTTAAAATTGACATCGAAAATTAGCCCACTTCTGATTGCTCTAGAGACCTGAAATTTGGCATGCATGCTACTTTCGCCTAACAATTTCAGATGCAATCATAAAAACTAGCAATTAGTGACCGTAATTAGCTTAATTTAATTACGCCCCAAGGACCATAAAATTGAGGACATGATTTCTAAAGATACCGACAAGACTGGAGGCCTATTGACCCAGTTACTTCGGCCCCAATCGATGTGAGCGCGCTGGCCGTGATCGTATAGTGGTTAGTACTTCGCGTTGTGGCCGCGACAACCCAGGTTCAAATCCTGGTCGCTCAAGATTTTTAGTCCGTGTATTTATAAACACTTTTTTAAAAACCACGTTTTTCATGTGTAGCAACGGACTAAAAAGGAGAAAATAAAATACTTAAAAAAAAAACTTTTTAAAAAACCACGTTTTTCTTGTGGACTAAAAAGTAGAAAATAAAATTTTCTTTTGTGCTTCCTCGAGCTGTGCAGGTTCTTGTGATGACTGACAAAAAACGTGGGTCGGGCAGATGGGTCGGGAAATTTGATGGTGAACGTACCCACGTTTTTTGTCAGTCATCACAAGAACCTGCACAGCTCGAGGAAGCACAAAAGAAAATTTTATTTTCTACTTTTTAGTCCACAAGAAAAACGTGGTTTTTTAAAAAGTTTTTTTTTTAAGTATTTTATTCACTTATCTGCTTCTAACTTTGCCTATAACTTTTGAACCGTTTGAGATAATCAAACCAAATTTGGTATCCACACTCAGGATCAAACAACAATGTAGCAAGATTCTGAAATTCTTTATTTTTTACAACGTTTGAACAGAACAGTGTATATAAAACGAACACATAATTATTGTTTTGATAGAACATAGAAGAAACCAATTTACATTTAGTAACTGTTTTGTTATTATTGATACCTGGCCATACTAGTTCATCGCCAGAAGTCCACTTTTGTGTGATAACTTTCAAAACAGTTATCACTGCTGGACCCGATGCAAAGAAAAACTTTGCATGTTTTGCACCAGTAAACAGTTTTTTTTAGTTTCGGCAAGTTTTGTCCTTGGCACTACGTGCATCAGAACGTACTTGAACAGTTTCATTGTCACTGTCGATTTCAATGTCACTGTGTTCAGTCTCAAATTCAACGTCACTATCATCACAATATAGACCAGGAATAATATCTTCTTCATCAGAATCAATAAGTAGTTGTATTGCCTGAGATACAGTCATTCTACTTCTTTTTTTGACATTTCGGTCTTTCGCTTCATCTTTTGCACCAACTTTATGTGATGAAGTCGACGGCGGTGGCTCAGCTTTTCGTTTCGGCGGCATTGCTACGAAATATAAACACTTTTACTTTTCCTAAAAATCAATTTTTAGAATCATAATCCCGCACTCAAAAGACATATGCGCAGTTTTAGTCAGTCTTCCGCTGATTATATTTAATTAGACGGTACACCGGCCGCTAGGAATATGACGCTAGATCACCGGGCCGGAAAACCGGCTTTTCGGACATATATGCCTAATGTTGAAGCCGGTTTACCGGCCTGGCGGGCTCAAAGGGTTAAAAGAAAACTAATTTAAAAGCTGAATATTTGCACTTTAAATAAGGAAAAGATAAAAATCTTGGTAACAAGCCCAAGGGAAATAATATTGAAAATACCATTCAAATTTTAATAGCTGCCAGTATTGGAAAAAAATATATATACTAGGAGTTTTTTATAGTATGTTCCTTGTTGTAAATTATATAAATAATTAATTATGTACAGTATAAGGTAACCTAAAAATATTATTCCATCCCAATTTTCAAGCCATGTCTTCAAACAAAGACCAGCAATTGATGGAGAGTGTCATAAAACATGAATTTGGGTTGATGAAGCAGGACAACAGTGACCTTGACATGGGCATGGCTGGGCCCTCTGCAGGAATGGACCAGGCAAGCCGTGACCTGACAGTCAATCTACCCAACCTGACCTCCGGGCTGGCTCAGCCTTTCCTGGATCCAGCATTAGATCAGCAGGTAATGAGCCTACACTTGTTTTCACTTTACATTTTGACTTTTATTTTTAACTAAGTACAATTGCGATTTAAAAAAGTTCTTTTTTATTTTATTGTTTATTTTTTTCAGGAATTTTATTTTTTAAATGAAAATTTTCTTTCATAGCTTCATAAAAGAATTTCTGTTTTTATTATTCATGAAAAAAATTTATATTTATATTTGTTAAAAAAAAACTTTTATTCCATTGCTGCACAGGTCTCTGTTACATTAACCTTGTCTACTGGGGCTGCACAAGACATAGGGGCAGTAATCTCAGCCATAGCTGACTTGCTTAAGATCGCAGTGCCCCCTACTTATGAAATAACGCGAAGTCCCTCCCCGGAAATGTTTAGGATGTCACTTACTCGTAAGTTATCATTTTATATTATATATTTTAAGGTGCTGTAAGTAATAAACACAAAATATCTACTTAAAAATTTAACCTTTGATAACAAAATTCCTGAATTGTTTTTATTTTGTCTAATTTCATTTCAAAATCAAATCTGGGTTGTTTAAATGTAACATGGTGCAATTTTTTTTATGCATAAATATCAAAGTAAATTTAGTGTTTTTCTCATATTTGCAAATTTTAAAAAATGGATATTCTTGCTATTCTTTCTATTTCAATTTGCAAATTTTTAAATTTCAGACAAAGAAGAAGCAGTGAACATTCACACACTGATGTCAACTAGGCCTAGATTCTGTCAACACTGTGATGTGTTTGTTCTTTGCTCTGGCATTGCTAAATATAAACGGGAATTTTCCATTTTGGTAGAACAAGATCCTGTGAGTTTATATATTGTTTTTAAATTAGTTTCAGATTTGTTAAAATATCTACAAACTAAAAGGAAACAGCTGTTTCTTAATAACATCAATTTACTTAGTACATATTTTATTGCTATTTAACATTCATTCTTTTCAATGTCACAGTTTATTTCTTTTTTAGATTCACCTTTTTATTAAAATTATATTCATTAAAAAAAAATTTAAGTAGATGTATAATTTAGTAATACATCTACCCATCTCTCATTGCATTCAATGTTTTTCATTTTAGGACTGCGGTGATGAGGAAATGATCTTCTGCTCCATGAACTGTTCCATGCAGTTTTCAGCAGCACTGGAGGCCAGGCAGAGACAGAACCAGCTTCGTCTCAAAGAGCTGGAGTCAGCTCCCCCTCAGAGCCCAACTCCAATAAAAATGGAGATTTCCACAGGGGGCATGACCCCAAGCAGTGCGACAGTGGCTTCCAATGTTGATGAGATCATAGCAGCCGTTGCTGCTGACACACCCTTGTCACCTGCAGACCCCGAGACACCTGGAGATATGTCTGGCAGTCCGGGCACACCTTCTACCACTCCGACGTCACCCTTCCCATCAGCTAGTCCAGCTGCATTTAAAGCTGCCAAACGCCATCGCAGATCAAGCAGCCAAATTTCAGATTCTGCTTTCCAAAAAGTAACCATTTTTCTTACAATTTTTGTGTATTTTTATTTAGTTATCTAATTTCCTTTTATTTATTTTTTTAATATTTTTTTTTTTCGTGTGTAAAGATCCTATGTATTAAAACATTATTCAAACTTTGCAACAGCCGCTGATTAAAAAATGGCGAGGCTTGAGGTGGAAGAAAGGCAACCAGGATTTGTTGGACAGTATAACAAAACTCCCATCCACTCCAACATATGAACTTGACAAATTCTGGCAGTCTTTAGGGATGATCCATCATCCAAAGCCAGATGTCACTGACTCACGGAAATGTGTGTTCTGCCAAAACCCTGGTGATGGTGAAAGTGATGGACCCAGCAGGTGAGAGATCTTTAACCAGTGCACATTTTCAATGTCACAGTTTATTTCTTTTTTAAATTCACCTTTTTATTAAAATTATATGTATTAAAAAAAAAAAAAAATTTTAAATTTAGGCTTCTCAATATGGATGTAAATAAATGGGTTCATTTGAACTGCGCACTCTGGTCATATGATGTCTATGAAACTTTGAATGGAGCCCTGATGAATGTTGAGTTAGCCTTTCAACGAAGTGGAAACAGCGAATGTGTAGCATGCCGCAAGACTGGAGCTACACTGGCATGTTTTAAGCCTCGCTGTACCAATGCATACCACCTACCATGTGCACGATCAAAGGGATGTATGTTTTATCTGGATAAGGTATGTGATTTTTATTTTCTGTATTTTAAATGTGTTATAATAAAAAAACAAAAATTTATTATGATTTAGTTTTAATTGCCCAAGAATACTTTTTAGAAACTAGTGATTTTTTGTAAGTTTTCAAATAAAATAATGAATTTCCTATTCTATTTAGACCCTGCTCTGCCCCAATCATATTCCAAAATTGGCTATTGGAAATGAAATGAGTAGCTTGGTTGTGTTAAGAAGGGTGTACATAAACAGAGATGAAGACAGACAAGTTGCCAGGTATGATCAAATTATATTATTCTTAAGGATTTTTATTACTTTTTTCTAAAGATATGCCAAAAAACCAATTGGTTTTTAGAACCAAAAACAGATTGATTTATGTTAAGCCAAATACTTCGACCAAGTTAAGGTTGAACTAATTGTTTTTTTTTTTAACTGTACAGCATGTTCCACCAAGAAGATGGCCACTGCAGTCTACGTATCGGTTCTCTCATCCTGCACAGCATTGGTCAGCTCTTACCTCATCAGATACTATGTGGAAAATTCAACACAAAAGATTACATCTACCCAGTATGTGTATTTCTAAACTAATCAAAAACTAAACTACTTCTGTGAAAATATTGGCTTTTACTTAAAGAAAATTGAACACAATTTATTAAAAGCTAACAGGTTTTATTCTATTTTTAAAAGAATAGAGGTATTGTTTTTTTTAACTTCAAATAAAAATTTAGACCATAGTTCTTTTGTCAGAATAATAGATAATTTTAATTTGATATAGTTAAAGCATCATTGTTGAGTCGGTTTTTTCTTAAAGGGCCTTTTTTTTTCAACTGTTAGTACATCTAATCTCACATTTTTTTGCAAATAGGCAACGATTAACATGTTTAAAATGTTTTTTCAAAAATATTTGGCATTTTTGTATCAATACATCTTGTGTCTTAGGTTGGATTTCGTACTAGTCGCTTCTACTGGAGTTATTACTCCCTGTACAGAAGAAGCCGCTACATATGCAGTATTCATGATAATGAAGGGGAGCCTGAGTTCAGGATACAAATTGTAGACAGCAACCACGAGGAGCTCTTGTTTAAAGACACTAGCCCTGCAGGTAAACATGAAAAATGAATTTGTGTATGAAGTGTAAAGTGGAAGTCAGTACCTCAGTTCTTATTCATTACCTGCACATACATCACTGTGTTCTACTGAAAGTAAATAAATACAACATTAAACAATATGACAGCAAAAAAAATATTTTACTGATTATACCTACGTATATAATTTTAAAAACAATTACAATTTTAGCAATCACAAAATTAAAAGTAAGGCTGTTATCAATCGTGTAACTTCTGTCAAAAACACAGGTTTTACACATTGTCATGTGTTTCATCATTTCAATATTTGTTGTTTTTTTACTAGCTGTGTGGATGCACATTCTGCGGCCATTGGAACGAATGAGAAAAGAAGCTGACCTAGTTAAAATGTTCCCGTCTTTTAAAGCAGCAGAGGAGTTGTTCGGATTGACGGATCCAAATGTTGTCAAAGTTTTAGAATCGGTTAGTATTTCTATAATTGACAACGCAATTTTCAACTTTTGCAGTATTCAGTGAAAAATTTAATGTGGAATTATTTTTTTTGTAGCTGCCTGGGACAGATTTATTGCAAAATTACAATTTCAAATATGGCCGCTCCCCGCTGATTGAAATGCCCCCTGCTATAAATCCAACTGGATGTGCTCGTGCAGAACCCAAGCTCAGAACTCATTTTAGAAGGTAATATCTTATGCCAGTTATATTAACTGTAATTGTAAACAGGAGTTAAAGTAATAACTTAGAAATCTTTACTTTATTAGTTGGTAAACAGAGGATTGCTTTTCTTTCAGGCCCCATACTCTGCAGTCAACAAACTCTCGCTCCTTGCCCTCCACTGTGACCGGGGTAACTGGAGATGTCAATTCTCCTTACCTGAAGCAGTTTGTTCACTCAAAGTTTCAGCAGTACAGAAAGTTAAAGACTGACTGGAAGTCCCTTGTCTATCTGGGCAGGTCTCGAATTCAGGTATGTGTTTGATTCTTACATGTACTGGATATCAGCTTGAAAATTAAAACTTAATCTAAAAGCAATTTATTTCTGAGTGGACGGTTTGTTTAACTTTTTATAACTGTTTTAGGGTCTGGGTTTGTATGCTGCCAGAGATTTGGAGAAACATACCATGGTGATTGAATACATTGGAGATCTTATCCGTAATGAAGTTGCCAACAGAAGAGAGAAAGAATATGAATCACAGGTATTTTTTGTGTGATGAATTATTATGGATCTATTTTTTATGTAGGACTAATTTTTGTTTCAATGTTCTTGCTTTACTTTTTTAAAATTCTGCTTAACTTTTCTGCAGTCTTGTTTACCATCCTAGATGTCTGATTACCTTTCAAATGATTTCATTTTGTGATTATTTTTACAGCACCCAGGCATCTACATATTTTGCTATTCTCAAAGCATTGCTTTTAAAATTCTGCTAAAATTTTCATTTTTTGTTTTATGATTTACCTTTCAACTGATAAATGTTGCTATAATTTGAACAGAACAGAGGTGTCTACATATTTTAATATTCTGCTAAAAAATGTCCCCATTTATGTTTTATAATTTTCTATTTACATTTTAAATGAATTTGTTTTGTTATAATTTGAACAGATTTTTAATATTCTGCTAAAAATGTCCACATTTATGTTTTATAATTTTCTGTTTACATTTGAAATGAATTTGTTTTGTTATAATTTTAACAGAACCGAGGTGTCTACATGTTCCGTATTGACAATGATGTGGTGATTGACGCAACCATGGCAGGTGGCCCTGCTCGTTATATAAACCACTCCTGCAATCCCAACTGTGTGGCAGAGGTTGTTGATATTGAAAAAGATAGCAAAATTATCATCATCACTAGTAGGAAAATTGTCAAAGGGGAAGAGGTAATTTTATCTTGTTTTCCTTCTGAAACAAGTTTGTTACTAAGAGAATGAAAACTAAATAAGTAGTAAAGAATAGTACATAGGAAAAAGTTGATGTAAACTTTCAATAAGAAATGCCTTTTTGCTAGAAATCTAATTGAAGGTTATTATCAATATATTTGATAATAATTATTATTTAATTTCAGCTGACATATGACTACAAATTTGACTTTGAGGATGACCAACACAAAATACCTTGTATGTGTGGTGCAACTAATTGCCGAAAATGGATGAACTAAAGACAATACAAATTTTCAGTTTGTACAATAGAATCGCTGAAATTTGGACATCTAATAATTCAACCATAGCCAACTACACGCCAGTACGAAGTATTAATACAGAAAGATTTCTAAAGTGAATTTCAAATTAAAACATGTTAACATGGTTCAAAGCTGGAATAACTCACAAAAAGCTGGGATGACTCACAAATATTCTACCAGAGCTTTAAGACTGTGATCATGACTCTCTGCACATAAAACAAAGAGACGAGGCACTCAGTAACATTGTTAGAGACAAGAGAAACTGTGTGATTGGATTTTGGTGATACATTAAATATCAGGAAGTTGGTGAAACATCACTACACAGCAATCACTCTCAAAGTGACTAACTGTAGATTTATTGTGATAACACATCTTTAGATTGACTTTAGCTGATGAGGCATTCATTCAATGATTCACTTGATTAATTAATTTATTACAAAAATTTAGTAACATTCTGAAAAATCTTAAATTTATTGCAAACCTGTTTAAATTAAATACATTTTTAAGTTTATATTCTCCCAATTGTGCCACATTTAAGAAGTAACAAAAGTTGATCAGTAAAATTTTAAAAAGGCTCGAAGACCAAATACATAGAAATATATTACCTCGTTACAAAATACTTTTCAAACTTTTATAAAATAGTAACTTCAAAAAGTCCTGTTTTTAAAAAGGCTAAGAGTGTACAATATGAAAAGGATAATCATTAACAAATTTTACTAGTTATGCAATATTAGTACATGTTTTGTGTTATTTTATTTTGTAAAAAAAAGCTTAGATGTAAATATAAAACTAACACAAATTAAACTGCATTATTCAAAGGTGATCGCTATAAAAACCTGTACAAAATATATGTTGTTTCTTGTATTGATTTATATATCTCAACTGTTTAAGTTGACAAACCTTTTGTATTCTCAGAATGTCTGTTTCACTTTATATATCAAGGTCTGAGACATGAAAAATTTGACACATACATTTCACACAAACATTCTAGTAAACATAAAACAAAATTCTAGTTCATGATACAGATTTTGTCCTACAATTTATTGTTTTTAAACAGTGACATTGTTCCTTTTTAAATTGCAACAACTCATTTTTTGTAAATAATTTTTGGATAAATACCAAAAGCTTTATATTATATTTTGTAGTTCATGTTTTTTATTGTTTATAAACATTATTTGTTAAAGGGCTGGGAATATGGAATTCATGTGAAATATGGTTGTAAAAAATGTATTGTTTTTGACCGTACATACAATTTGATATTTTTGTTCAATATCATCTAAAACCTATACAACTGTTTTCTTTCATTTCATTATTGATGCAATGTTAACAAATGAATTCAAGTCTTAAATTAAATTATAGTTCCCATGTGTATGTTTTTGTCATTTAAAATAATTTAACACAAATTTAAATTTACTTCAGTTTTTTTTTTTGTGTAAAATAAATTATTCTTTTTAACAACATATGGGTATAAAAATGAAATGTGTACAGTAATTAGTACTTTAAAATTAATTTTTTTTTTAAATACTGTAGAATCTTAATATAATATGATTTATTATTATGAAGCATCTACTGTGAGCGTTTCATCATACCGTGTTAAAAATATATGTTCATTGTTGATCAATGTGAGATCAAATACATTATGACCTTTTTTTCAACAATACTTTGTTGTACAAACTGTAAAAAAATAAACTTTTCCACATATATTTTTACACTGTTAAAATTTATCATTTTTACCATTATAGATATATATACATTTGATCATGTTATTGAAATTAGGTTTTAAGTTGTGTATGTATTTTATTTTCTAAATATTACTCTATGACTTGCAAATATCTAGGCAAATGTAGGAAATGTTTATAGTATTTTTTACAATTGTTGTCAGTTTGCAAATAGTACAGTAATAATGATTAAGTTTTAAAAGCAATAACAAAAACTAATTTTTTGCCAGTTGAGCACTAAAATGCTTTCAGTCTTCTGTACAATTTTAAAAAATCAAGTTTTTTTTTTTTTCAATTGATGATCATTTTCATCACCCTGCACTCTTAAAACTTGCTGATGGTTCACTCGTCATATTTCAAATGTTGTTCTGAAAGCACATGAAAAGTTGTGTTCCCCTTTTTTTTTAAAACTATTCCTGTTCAGATATTTTTAAACATTTCTTACATGAAAATAAATGACTTTAAAAACTGTCTCATGCATCATTGTTTCTAGATCTTATCCCCATTTAAAGTTAGATTTTTTAAAAGTCTGAAGTCAAGTTTGCTTTTGGTTTAAGAATATTTATAAAATTATTATATGAAATGTTGACATACACGTAGGTTTTTTTTTACATGTCTATGTATATGGTAGTGTAAGCTAGTCAGCAGTGTTTGTGATCAGTCAGATCATATTTTGCTGAAATAGTGACAAAGTAAAATAATTATAGTTTCAGATCTTATGAAAATGTTAAAAAGTTGAATCATAATGGCAGCAATTTGTGTATTCTTTCCATAATTTATTTATTATAGTCTCATGTATTTTATTTTCCAATTTTCTTGCTCTCTGTAAATTCTGCATCATAAAACAAATAGCTATTAACTAGTGCATGATTCTGATAACTATATATTCATCATTTGTATTTATATAAATGAAAATATATAAATATTTTTAAAAACTGATACGTAGAAACACATAATAAGCTGCCCTATAAAGTCTCGACCACAACGCCAATAAATCAACTTTTGAAAGTGACCTGTTTGTTCAATCATTGAATATATATAGATCATGACAGGAGTGAAGTCGTTATAAAGTTTTTGCTATAGATCGAAAACAAGATTTCAGCTTTCATTTACTACACGCTACACCAATAACGGAGCTTACACATGGCGTCTCGAGAAGGGGTGAGACAGTACAGTAACGCAGGTTGCCACCCCCTTTCATCAAGGGGTCGGCGTGGTTGGGCCGGTAAAGCTTATGGTTATCAAACCAAATAGTGAGTTCAAACCCCAGGGCTGATAAGGGGACAACAACCCATCTAGGCGAGAAAACTCCAAAATCAAACAATTTCTGCCTTGTAGTTTGCTCCGGGATTAACAAAGGCTATGGGAGCAAATCCAAAAAGAAAAGTCGGGAATCGGAGTCCACTCCCTAAATGGCGCATAACTTGACACGTAATACTTAATTGTGTTGGAGGAAATCCCGTCCAACATTACACTTACAGTTAATTTTATTTTAACTGAATGGGGGGGGGGGGGGAAGCCTCCTTTTATATTCAAATTAGCTACTATGTATTAGTGTCACCTTTTCGATGGATGTCACCCGCTGTTGACCGCCCCGCCTCTTCCGTGTTTCGCCACTAGGCCCACACTCTTCATTCGCCAGGGTGTAGTACTAAATAACTTTTAAATAATATATCGTCTGTGCTGTACTTTATTTCAGGCCCTTCCGCTAATGAAAGTAGGGCTGTCCTACTGGAAAATCTATATATATAGTGGCGTCACTAGCTTGTTGACTGACTTTTTTGTTATTGAATAGTCCGCAACCCACTCACTAAAATAATTTTGGAGGCGCCCCCCCCCCCCCCCCATCAGGGTGCGATTGAGTGCCTAGTTCCTCAGCGGCTACCTTAGCACATGGGATCTGTTGATTGAATGTCCTGTACAGTGGGTAAGAGGTACTACTAGATTCAACTGTCGAACGATACGAAGCATATGTCGCCTACATTCGTTTTGAAGAGTGTCATGCACTATGGATACGGTGGGCTTCTATAACAGTTTGACTACATCTAACCAGACGCGGTCCCAAGCGCCCTGATGGTAGAATGACCTGGATCGCCAAGGGCTCTAACTTTCATTTTTTTTTAAAACCTACAATAGGGACACAGTGGGCCACTACATGCAATAACTAAACCGAACCCGTGGGGACACCCGTCACCCCACGTCTGGGCGGTAGTATGGACAAACTCGCGCCCTAACAACTGTGATCCGAGAAAGAAAAACATGTAAAGCCGACTTTGTTTACATTCAAGTGTTAAATAAAACAAAAACTGAAATAAAGTAAGTTTTAGAAAACAAAGTCACACGTCTAAAAATACACGATTAGTAACGTATTGCTAAAACCTTTATACTTTATACAATGTTGTTTCATTCTATGCGTAATACTACGCTAATATATATATATATATATATATATATATATATATATATATATATATATATATATATATATATATATATATATATATATAAAGCAATGTATGTGTGTGTGTTTGTTTGTCTGTCCTTTATGCATTACTACACCTCTCATCACATCGCCGTGAAACTTTGGGAAGTTGTTGAGAATATTCCTGGGGAGGTTTCTGCGGAAAAAAAATTTTCAAATTCGCAGGGGTGGCGCCCCGGCAGGGCGCGATTTGTTTTTCCTCTATATACGGTATATAAAAATAAAAGTCTATTTTGATTTCACACTGTTCATCCGATAGGCATGAAACTTTGGGGAGTTCGTTATAACCCTCTAGGAAAGGGTTATGTAAAAAAATAATTTTTTAATTTCGCAAGGGCGGCGCCACGGGAGGGTGCGATTTTTCTCTATATACGGTATATAAAAATAATAAAAGTGAATTGCAGTGACACCGTTCATCCGATAGGCATGAAACTTTAGGGGTGTTGATTAGGACACTCTGAGGAAGGGTTCTGTAAAAAAAAAAAATCATATTTAATTTCGCAAGGGCGGCGCCACAGGAGGGTGCGATTTTTCTCTCTAATACGTATATAAAAAAATAATAGTGAATTGCGGTGACACCGTTCACACGATCGCCATGAAACTTTTGGAACATGTAGAGAATATAACTGGGGAGATTTCTGCGCTAAAAACATTTTCAAATTTGCAGGGGTGGCGCCCCGGCAGGGCGCGATTTGTTTTTTCTCTTTATGCGGTATATAAAAATAATAAAAGTGAATTGAGGTGACACTGTTCACACGATCGCCATGAAACTTTGGGGAGTTCATTATAAAACTCTAGGAAAGGGTTCTGTAAAAATCATTTTTAATTTTGCAAGGGCGGCGCCACGGCAGGGTGCGATTTTTCTCTATATACGGTATATAAAAATAAGAGTCGATTTTGGTGTGACACCGTTATCCGATAGCCATGAGACTTTGAGGGAGATGATTAGAACAATTCAGGGAAGGGTTCTGTAAAAAAACCTTTATTAATTTCGCAAGGGCGGCGCCACGGGCGGCTGCGATTTTTCTCTGTATACGGTATATAAAAATAATAGAAGTGAATTGCAGTGACACCGTTTATCCGATAGGCATGAGACTTTGGGGAGTTCATTATAAAACTCTAGGGAAGGGTTCTGTAAACAATCATTTTTAATTTCGCAAGGACGGCGCCACGGGAGGGTGCGATTTTTCTCTATATACGGTTTATAAAAATAAGTCGATTTTGGTGTGACACCGTTATCCGATAGCCATGAGACTTTGGGGGAGTTGATTAGAACAATTCAGGGAAGGGTTCTGTAAAAAAACCTTTATTAATTTCGCAAGGGCGGCGCCACGGGCGGCTGCGATTTTTCTCTGTATACGGTTTATAAAATTTCGTTTTCACACCGTTCATCCGTGTACCATGAAACTTTGGGGAGATGATTAGATCACTCAATGGTAGGGTTCTGCAAAAAATATTGTTTTATATTGCAAGGGCGGCGCACCACCGGGGGGGGGGGGGGTGAGCGATTTTTTTTCTCTATACACGGTATATAAAAAATAAAACTCGGATGCGGTTCATCCGAGTGCCTTGAAACTTTAGGGAGTAGAAGATCTAGATGAGAATACTCCCGAGAATATTTCTGCGAAAAAAAACAACTAAAGTTTCTTACGGGCGGCTCCATATAGGGTACAACTTTCGTCAATACACGGTTTGGCGCCGAGTTTTAGAGCGACTAAGTTGGCACTTGACATCCGTTAATCGAGCGTCCTGCATAGCGAGTAAGGGGTACTACTATATTCAGCGGTAAAACTACAACAGGCTTCTAAAAATAACTTTGTAACGCGAGGAAACCCTGTACAGTTTCGTCACCTTGCGAAAGATGAAAAAATAACGGTTTGAATATGAGGAACCTACTGTAGAGTTTCGTCACTTTGCGAATGATGCAATAAGCATTTATTATTAGACGATCCAGGCCGAAATTGAGACCGAGCATCTAATAATAGACCATTAGTAACGCTAGCATATTGCATCAGACAAACTGATGTTGAAAACACGTCAAATAATTTTTGTATGTGTTAAAGAAAAAAATCCTGTTCATTTGTGTCACTTTAGCGAATGACGAAATCTGCATCATTGTTTACAGGATGCTATTTGGCACGCTGGGTTATCCTATGAGCACGATGGCGCCTGTTAGTTTTAAGGAGCCAGGGGCCTTACGCTGCGCCTCTGCGGTAGTGTAATCGGGGGGTGGGGGGGGGGGGCTCCTGAGAGCGCCCCTCTACGTCCCTGACATATGGGTGGTCACCGAAGTGTGTTCTACCTAATTATTTCGGTGAGTGATTAATATACACTCAAGGTTTTCATGCGGTAGTGTAGGAAAACCCGTGTCCCGATAATTATTATCCAAGCGCAGGCATTGTTAACATTTAAATAACACAGTTTTAGAAAACAAGGTGACGCGTGTAAGAACATATGATTGGTAATGCATTGGTGATATCCTTCTAATATATTTCGTCAGACTTTATTCTATCCCCGCGGCAACGCGCGGGGGACGGGTACGCTAGTATATATATATATATATATATATATATATATATATATATATATATATATATATATATATATATATATATATATATATATATATATATATATATATATATATATATATATATATATATATATATATATATATATATATATATATATATATATACATAGTGGCGTAGCGAGGGGGGGGGGGTGCGGAACGCACCGGGTGACACCATTTAGGGGGTTGACACCAAGGCAAAAAATAACAAAATATATAGAGAGAAACTTGAGGGGGTGCAAATCAAAAACTTGAAAGTTTGTTCCCGGGAAGGGTCGATACGCCTCTGGGGGGGGGGGGTGACACAATTAAGTGCCGCACCGGGTGACACCCGACCTCGCTACGCAACTGTATATATATATATATATATATATATATATATATATATATATATATATATATATATAGGCCTATATATGTATATGTATATATATATATATATATATATATATATATATATATATATATATATATATATATATATATATATATATATATATATATATATAGACTATGGGGTTATCCATAAACGTCACGCTTTTTTTGACGATTTTTACCTCCCCCCCTCCACTCCGTCACATGTCATCACAAAAAGCCAGACCCCCCTCCCTTAAAATGACGTCACACGGTACCTCAGCCTACAACCCCCCTCAAAATTGCAGTTGAATTTTTTTAAAAACATCAATATTTTTCTAAAACTTGTCGGAACTCTGTCAAAATATAGTATTTTAATCAATTCCTATTATACTTTATTATTAAAACAGTTTTCTAAAACGCGAAATAATGTCTAAAATTCGTTCTTTAACAATGCTTTTTTTATAATGCAAAAGTGTGACGTCGCACCATCTGAACCCCCACCCCTTCCCCCTCATCACACACCGTCACTAAATTACGGACCCTCCCCCATACGAGTGTGACGTCATTTATGGACGACATACACACACACATAATACAATATATCCCCCCAAACTCGGATTTGAAGATCAACTTCAGTTAAGCAACTTCATAATTACGATTTATTGTTTTCAGATTATTATTTATGAAATAAACATTTAATCAACCAGACTTATTTAATTTCAAAATCGCCTCGATTAATTCGTAAAAGAAGAAAAAAATTTTAGGAAGCCGTTTATTTAGAATTTCGGAATGAAAGTAGCAGCTTGTTTGATTCTACGTTTTGTTTTGCCTACCTCATATGCTTACAATTTGATTTCATTTTACTGATCTATGATTGGACAGAATGAGCCAAAGCGGGGAATTTCATTGGATCAAATGTTTATGCTACCTTCAAAAAGAAAATATGCTTTTGCAGAATGGTTTTTTGATGTTTTTTAAATAATTTATCTATTCATTTGTTAATTAATTTTATTATAAAGATGCCACGTAAACGGACAACACGTCTAAAACCAACATCAAAACCAGCTAAAGGAGCTGTAATAGCAAAAGACTTCTCTGAGAATGAAAAAGAAGAACAGCTTGCTATCTTTCTCAGGGATTACGACTTGAAAGGTGACCAAATTGAAAATATTCTGAGGCTGAGGTCTATCACTCTGATTCTAGAGGTCTAGAAGATCTAGGTCTAGCTAGGGCCTAGGCTTAATGTACACAGTCGATGGTTTATTATATATTTAAAAAGTCTAAATTTTAGGCCTATGTTCAGTATCATTCAATGTTGCATGTGGTTTAAAAAAAGTTTTTCTGAGTTGGAGGTTTCTGTCTGACTTGACAATTGTTTTTCTGTAGGCCTAACTACTAACTAGATTCTAGATCTATTAACTAACTGATGACTAATACTCTAAACAAATTGAAAAATAAACAAGTTGGTGATACCACCTTTCACATATAATAGATTTACATCCCATAACTAATTTTTTCCTTCCATGAATCTCTCTTTGAGTCTTTTGCTACTTCATCGGTACTGCTGTAAAATTCTAGATCTATATTTATGTTCCTAATCTTAATAACTTTTTTAACAATTAGATCTAGTATATAGATCTAGTTGTAGAAATCTACATGAGTAACTGATTACAAAGTGTAATGTACATTTTTATTTAAGCAAGACCATGATTAGTCAGAAGTAGTTCAATCAATCAATGGCACTTTAGGCGAATTTTGGGATCTAGGCCTATAAAACTTTTGCAACACTACTTTCTACCGTTTTATAACTTCAAAATTATGAATTAGGATTTTTGCAATTTGTATTTTATCAACATTGCTATGACTAGCATTAGTAATATGCAAAGAGTCAAGTGTAAAAATTAAAAAAAATTCTACAAGACCAAGATATTCAAACATTTAGCATTTTATTCGGTTGTCCAAAGCCTGCCTTAACACTTATCTGGATGAATATAAACTAGACTACTAAATAGGGTACCAACCCAAATTTGTGTAGTAGCTGCTGCTATTTTTCTTAGAGTGAATAATCTAATTCAAAGCAGGTAGTATAAGCAGGATACCCTAATTACAATATTAACATTTTCTTTTTGTTTTTCAGTGAAAACAGTTATTAAAGATATTGAAAAGAAAAAGCGAGCTATGTTGACTTTTATACAAACAAGATTTGAAGAAGTTATTTCAGAAATGCCTTCAGTAAGTGCTTCTTTGACATCAGCTATTCTCAAATTTGTTAGTTTTAGTTACCAAGACAATTAATGTACGCAGTAGGTTGCTATCTAGATGCTAGTGTGTAATTAAATACAAATTGTATGGTACATAGTACATGCTTACCTCACCTAGCACACTGCCACAACAGTTAGTTAATACTTGTCTTCGGTTCCCCACAACTCACCTGAATACACATTTCACTTTGTTTAACCCTTTTTGGTTTCTTACTAAACAGGAAATTAAAAATTTAACGCTGAAAGAATTTTCCGGTAAGTTTTTTTTTTCAATTAAAAAAACAGATTTATTCAATTAGGCCTACTTTGTTTTAATCTAGCAGCTGATTATTTTAAAATTTAGTTCATAGTTTTTGTCTTTGTTCATTTTCAGAGGCTGGTGGCACATATGATTCAGTATTGGCGCATTGTAAGAAACAAAAGAGGCTTGCCCAGTTAGATAATGAGTTATGGTAAGTTTTTTAATTTTTTAAAATTTTTACTTGTGTCACTGTGTATAGTAAAAAGTAGTAAAAAATCACTTTAAAAGTCCAAGGTTTTAATAAATTTTTTCCTTTATGTAAACAAGGAAACCTGTCAAGGGTAATGCTGAATATCTTGAATGCATTGATGAAGAAGGTGCAGAGCCAACTAAGCAATCTGATCTGGCAAAAAAAACTCCCTCATCCAAACCAAAGGTGACAGCTAATGCTTCAAACTGTTAGCATTTTAAAACTATAAAGTGTTTGTTTTTAAATATATATTGCTAATACTTGTTATCTGTTGTATAACAAACCAATAAAGGTAACTCATGTATTTTTTTATATAAAAATTTTATGAGTGTTTATTTTTTTTCTTTGAATTTTAATAACTTATATATATAAATGATGTTTGTTATGTTATGATACCAGTTATAAAATGACACAAGAATGATTTTTTTTGTCAACAGCGTCAGGGAAAAAATTCAGCAATGCCCCCTCCTACTAAAAAAAATACAGTTTTAAGGTATTTTCACATTATGTTATCATTTACCTTCAAAACTAACCTACAAGTTTAATTATTTGACATTCAATTTGTCTATTTGACTATCAACCTCTTTGTATAGTATAAATGCTGAATATATTTATCCATATTACATGTTAATGTATTTCAGACAAGTAACTCCTTCAACTCGAATGAGAACTAGATATGGCCAAACACCTTTAATAACACCCAAGTTTGACCCAAAGTAAGGGAAGCTTTCTCTAGTATTACATTTTTTTGTCTCAGTTTTCAGTTTAATTCCCAAATTTTTTTTCCAAAGCAGTATTGATTTATTGGCCTAAAATTTCAATTTCTTGTCTACAGTCTTCCCCTTACACCTGAAAATATTCGAGATGTCAAACCTGGAGAGAGGCTGATGTCTTTAGCAGGAAGTCCTGTCCAGGTGGAAAAAGTAGTAAGTTGCCATTTTCTGATCTTCTCATGGACCAGTTTGTTTCTTGTGGGTGATACAGTATTGTGTCACTCTTTAAAACATGGACCAGTTTGTTTCTTGTGGGTGGTACAGCTCTGTATTTCTGTTTAAAAGGTTGTTTATGTGTTCATCCTCTACACTACAAGACTTAAAAGCCATCCCAATAGTCTGTATTGTCAATCATTGAAACTTGTCCTTTTTGCTCATTCCCTTTACTTGGGAATTGTGTTAATATAATAGATACCAAGCAGATTTTCTTTTGATTTTACCTAAATTGTAAATTTTACTGCTGGTTTATCAGTTACCTCAGGTCTGTAATTAGTGTAAGATAATTATTAATATAAAATACATATAACATATGTATGATATATAACATACATATTTGTTGTTTAAATTCACATATATCAATATTTGTTACTGGTTTATATTCACATACATCAATTAATTTTACTGTTTTATATTCACATACATGATATAGTGTTAACCACTATTCACCAACATAAACATGCAAATTATGTTTAGAATTTTTTTAACACTACAACTGGATTTAGTTGAGTTGCTGTATTTTTGTTATTAACATGAAACTACAGTAGTTTATATATGACAATATACAAAAGCAAATGAATATTTTTTTCTCGTAGAATAAAAAAGTGATTGATGTGGTGGACAAGAAAGAAATAGCCAGTGGGTGGATGGACATCGCAGGCGTAGAGCTGTCTCCAAGCACGGTCGGCAAAATGCTGCAGTTTGTTTCAAACGCTATCAAAGAGACATCGTGAAGGTGAAGTTTAGTGGGGTAACTGTTGGCTCTTTGGTTTTAGAAACTGAACCATGTACAAATTTGTATGAATGAATAGTTTGCTTTTATACTAAGATTTGTAGGCGCGATGTGTATGATAAATTAAGTGTATAATATGGGATAATTATTTGTACATATTTGTTAAAAGATACATGATCAGCCAATTTGTTTATAATATGCTGACTGTGTAAGTGTACACAGCTCTGTTCAATTCTATTTATCTCTCATTTCACATTACAACGCATCTTTGTTGTCACATGATCAATTAATTTTAATATTAAATTAGCGTGCAATTTTCTTGTAACCACGGCTACTAATTTTGAAATATTTGTGGGTCAGGTTCCCTGAAGCTTTTAATTTTTAAATTTAAAGTTTAACAGAAATAAGAAAAACCAGGACAGCAGTAGCTGTTTACTTTTATTATGTTGTATTCACCATTTAAATTTGTAGGTAAAAATATATCACTATGTTGTGTTTGTTCAGACTGGCTAGACTTTGTTTGCTGTTTTAAATTCCTAATGGGCTGTTGCCATTAACACCTGCCATTATTTATTACCTTGTCTACTACAGTCACCTCCCCTGCCATTTTTGACCCACCTTACGTTGTACCATACATTCTGGCCAAATGCCCAGCCTCCCCCTGCCCCCACCCATTCATGTAATATTTACCATCTTCACCCAACCGTTTAATGGAACTATTGTAGATACTACCCTTGTGTTCTATTTCTCTCATCCTAATAATATCTGTAGTTTCTATTCTCATATTGTTCACACTGGCTTTATCAGCAGTACTGCAAGCATGAATATTTGGTGGTTTTTATTTTTTGATATTCCAAATTGTTTTTTTACACAAATTTGGTCTCATTTGCAGTACTGCAAAAATATATCAATGGTCTTGTTATTTTTTTTTTTTTGAGAATCATTTTGTTTACATGAAAATTAGTTAACTATTTTAAATGATTTTGTCAACATGTGTATAAAGAATAATTAATTTTAAATTTGCTTGTATGTTTAAGTAACATATTTAAATATTACTGTAAAGCAAATAGCAATAAATATATCATTTAAAAAACCTTCGGAGATGTTGCTATTACTTTTTAAAATTTATAGTTCGTTATCTTTTGGATAAGAAAATATTGTGAATTTTTTGTAACTCCAATTCTTTTTGTAAAACAAAAAGTCATAGCTATCATTTTTTTTAAAGAATGTGGAAATATGATTTATTTTTTTCCCAGGCAAACTCAATTTTCTTAAATATATTGCATCACATTAAAATTAAGCTTCTTAAGACATTTCAAACAAAAGCAAAGAAAATTAAATCGCAATGCTTACTCAGTTACTGCAAACAATTTTATTGCATTACTTTTTTTTTTTTTAAGTATGTGGCTAGACAAAGGATGATTTTTTACTTTAAAATGACTAAAATTTAATTTACCGTTGTTTTTTTTCTGATTTAAAAAAAATGTGATGACTTCTGCAGTAATGCTAATGCAAATTAGAAATCAAAAACAATTTAACAAAAATTTAGACTTTGAACTGGCCAAGAACTGAAATGACTGCGGCACTTAACTGTTGTGTATCTGCATCCAATGTGTAAGGCATCTGGTGTGTAACAAAGAAATGGCCTCAAAATTAATTCTGTTTAGAGCAACTTTGCTTTTGTAATGCTTTAGATAAGTCCTGCACTGTACTAAATCCAGTGACTTTACTAGGATGGGTATTACTACTTAGTATATTCTTAGATTGTCACCCCCCCCCCCTTTCGCACCCAATAATGAGTATATGTGTGTGTATGTATATATATATATATATATATATATATATATCATACTAGAGAGAGTATAAGCTGCAGAAACGTTCTCATTTCCAAGTGTTCTTCTCTCTTTCCACACCCCCCCCCCCCCCCCCCCCCCGCCCCTTGTAAATTGGAAAAATATACAATTTAAAAAACGGGGATTACTCAATATTTTGTACCCTAGTTTTGGTTAACTTGTACATAAATATCCTTGATTGAATAAAACAAGCGCTCATAATTTTTTTCTTTCAATTTTTATATTTATAAATTGGCGGATTCTAATTTATTTATGTATTGTTCTTACAATATTAGAATATTACAAAGTGCATATTGTACAGGCTTATAATATAAAGTTATAACGTGCATTGCCTTTATTCTAATTTTTTTTGAAGTGTAAGAAAGATTAATTACGTAGACAATCCTTAGGCCACCGTTCGTTGGTGCGTTGTTTGGTCTGTTTCCCAGGAAAACTGCGCAAATGGAAAACTGCGCAAATACAAACTAATTATATTAATACATTTTTAAATTTTGTCATATTTCGTGGAAAAGTTTGATTCTGCTGCACTATACATTGGGTTATTCTTTGTTCATGTTTTCCGTTGCGCGTCTTTCCGGTCAACTTTCGGCCTTTGTAAGGATAGAAAGGCTGTTCCTTTGATTAGCACATTGGAATCTCTGTTGAAGGTAATGTGGTACACGGACACCCAACTTTGATGGAGTAGTTTCACATAACAGTGATGCGATTACGCACATTATAATCGGGGTTCTTTTCAGTTCAGATATATTTCTATGAGAGGGGGGCAGTGGGTCGAAGACTATGAATGACATTTGAAACTACGGGGGGGGGGGGGGGGGAATTATATATTTTTCATTTAAATTCAATATTCTTTTAATCTCATGCAGGGTAGCGGTGGATGTGTTGGGGGGGGGACGTTATGCATATATGTTAAAAATAAACAAATGCTAGATCAGGATTTAATGTTTAATGATTACGTATCAACGTATAATAATAAACCTATTAGGGTTGCCAGGTGTCCAGTTTTGAACTGGACAGTCCAGTATTTGAGCAGACTGTCCAGGATAAAATAAATATAAATACTGGACAAGTATATGAATAATACTCTGTTACCCCCCTTCTTCTGCTTTGCGGCATACCTGAGAAGGGAAGGATGGAAAGGTGTCCAGTATTTTCGGAAAAGGTATCTGGCAACCCTAAAGACTATTATAACACGTAATTTTGATAACGTGCTGTCGATCCCAATCTTTGGGAGCAGAAGTCGGAGAGTCGTCTGCTACGCCTCGACGGCGATCCAGTGTGCAGTGGCCGAGTTGTAAACGGTGTCTGCCCACGTTTCACACACGACCTGCATCCCAGTCGTGGTGACTGACCTCGCACTGACCCCAAACCTAAATCCCTTCTTGTTAGACATATCAATACTTGTCAAAGAAACTGAGACAACCGGAGGACGATTGAAAGGTTTGGCAAACGTAACGTTCTTGAGCATACGTAGTCGGCCTTCGGTGAGTTGGAAGTTCTCTACTTTACCACAGTAGTAATCTCCCTGCTCAGCATGGGGCGGGGCCTGGATATTCTGTACGCTCTGCGTTGCGTTCAGTTCAGCTTGCAGCTCCATGATTTTGTTAGACAATGCCACGTGATTTGCCGCGAGATTCTCCTCTAAATTGTGGACTAGCTCCGTCAACTTTTTCACATCATTCGTACGCGATTCTGCAATAAGAAAAACAAGTTAATAAAAAGTCTAGTGACAATTTAAGCGCAATTTCCCCATAGATCTATATCTATATATTGCTATATAGTACTGTAGTGTATTATGTATTATGTAATTTTTAAAAAAATTTTTGTGACCGAACGAAAGGATATTTTTGAAAACTTTCTTCGGCAACGTTGTTCTAAATTATGGCAGGAATCGATTGGTAAATGTTTCAAGTCGCTAATTGGTCTGGTTGCCGAGATATGGGCCAAAAACTGCATTTTTTCGAGGTTTTTTGGCTTTTCCGGGAAATCCAGGAAGGAATTCCGGGATTTTCTTTGGCCCACAATCATCCTCGAAACTTGCTTAACATATTTGCTTTTGGAACTAGTCCTCGATATTGCTTCGTTGAGGAGGAGATACGACTTAAAGCTGCGGACACACATCCATCCATCCATCCAGAAATAACGAATTAATAATCGCAATTGCCAGTATGGAAATTGCGCTAAAAATATTATTAGTAAAATTTAAAATATATGGAATTTCGTTTAATTATTTTGTAAAATCTTATTATGTAGGAATAGATACGAGCGTGTTGTTACTAATTGGAAATTATTTGACAAATTAGATTTTAAATAGTGGCGAGATTTTAATTTACTAACCTTAAAGATATAACGTTTATTTGTTTCAGAGGCGTAGCGACCCTTCCCGGGGACAAACGTTCAATTTGGCGCCCCCCCTCAGGAGCAAATTTTTAATTTGCACCCCCCCCCCCCTCAAACTTTCGATTTGCATCTCCCCCCTCAAACTTTCGATTTGCACACCCCCCCCCCCCCCCTTCAAACTAATGCAAAAATGCAACCAAAATAACATTTTAATTTGTTTTTACAACCCATTTTTGCGCCCCCTAAGGTCTGCGCCCGGGGACATATGCCCCTCCCCCCATCGCTACGCCTATGATTTGTTATAGTAGGTAGGCCCTATTGATACGGCCTTCTCCGCCCCTTTTCACGGCGATCTCCGTAATTCGAAAAAGTGTTGTTTGTGACAGTGTATTGTTATAAATTAGCCGTTGGTACTTATTCGTTTTTTATTTTAAAAAAATTATTTCTTTACAAAGAAAAAAAAAGATTCTGTACGGTCTCCTGTATGATTAAAACACAAGTTAGCGTTCGGAGTGTCTCGATAAAAGTTGTTTAAGTATTTCTTCTTTTTCGTTATCTATATATATATATATATATAATTCTCTTCTGGGAGACGCTAGAAAACAAGCTGTAAGCGCGCTCCCTACCACCCCACCCCTACATGGTCTGGTGAGCTGTGGTTCACGCTATGTTTACATTCGTGGAGCCGGGTTTAGTGACGGCTATTTGGGGCAGATAATTTAGTTTGAAATGATTTTAAACTTAGAGGAGGTAACTAAGAGGAGGCTGCTTTCAAGGGGGGGGGGGTGTTGGGGGAAAAGGGGGGGGGGGGTAGTGTTTTAAAGCAAATATTTTCAGTGGCAGCATCGGTACTGTCGAATTCACAAATTATGAATTACTGAAAAGTAGAAAAAAAAAACAATTAAATAGCGGCATATGATACGCCGCGGGTCGGCTCGTTTGTTATAATATTGGATGGGATTTCCAACAACACAATTAAATATTACGTGGCAACGTTATGCGATATTTGGTGTTCACTTTGCTTTTTACTTTCTCGTATATGAAGCATAGAGGAAGTATTCTACACCTCCCTGGGTCGGAAAAGCTTAGTTTTGCAATTTTGTCCGTGTGTGTGTGTGTTTTATTGCGAAGGGTTGCTAGCCCTACGCCCAACCCTCTTTCTTCATCCGCGGTTTGGATGTCCCCGAAGGCTTATCTATGGCGATCTAGGCGATAGTCGTGGATTTACTATCTACTGTACTACATCACGGGTTCCCAACCTGGAGGTCGCGAAGGTCTTTCTGGGGGGTCGCCAGCTGGTATACTAAACCTTAGTAATTTGAAACAAAACATAGATATTTAGAAGAATTTTTGAAATTCGGCTTCATTAACATCACTGGAAATGTAATAGAGAAGAAACAAAGCGCACTCTACAAAGTTGTTCTCAGTCACGAATCTATGAAATCTTCAAAACTAAAACGTCATTTGAGACGAGTCATTCGGAACACACCAAAAATATATGGAGTTCTTTCGTCGGTAAGAAGCTAGTTGCAAACGCCAGAAACTTGATCGAACAGGAAGTTTTCACCAGCATTAGTGCAAGCATCAGATGAAGTCGCGATAGAAAATGCCAAGCAAAATAAAATTTAAAAAAAAAACAATAGGAGAAAATCTCATCAAACGCTGCATGTACGTAAATGTTAAATAACACATTTTTATTGAAATTAAGCTTTCACCATTGTTTGCTTTTCAAGTTGATAAATCAACAGACGTGAGTTCGTGTTCGCAGTTGTTGGTCTATGTCTATATTCATGCGAATGATAGCAAAGAAGAGTTGCTCTTTTGTGAAGATATCATGGAGAAAATAAATACCTATTTTGAAACTGAATGATTAAAATGGGTTAGAACGACTGTGGGGGTTTGTACGGATGGTGCGCCATCTATGTTTAGCTCAAAAAGACATATCTTCGGTACTACAGTAAGTTAACTAACATTACATTAAAGACATATCTTCAGTGCTACAGTAAGTTAACATTACATTAAAGACATATCTTCAGTACTACAGTAAGCTAACATTACATTAAAGACATATCTTCGGTACTACAGTAAGTTAACTAACATTACATTAAAAGACATATCTTCAGTACTACATTAAGTTAACATTAAAGACATATCTTCAGTATTACAGTAAGGTAACATTACATTAAAGACATATTTTCAGTACTACTTCAGGGAAAATGAACGAATATTATAACTTTCCATGATAATCTCGGGGCATTTTTATCAAACAAATCTTGGAAATATTGTAAATTTGAGAAACTCTGCGGTGTGGTAGATTTATCTGATTACGAGATAATTAACATTATGAAAGAAGCGATTTCTGGGCATCTTGAATCTCTTGAAAACGAACTGCAACGCTATTTCTCTGAGCTGAAAAAAAAAGAATTTACGCATTACCCATTTACGCATTACCCGTTTTATTCTTCCCTTGATGTTTCCAGAATTCCCGATGAATTACAAGATGAATTCTTTGATTTGTAGAATGATTCCGCGTAAGATGAAACACTGCAGACAAAATGTTAGTGTAGTATTCACCATTCATATCTAAAAGTAAAATTGATTGACTTTTCGAGAATATATTTTCAACACTATTCTTCGATTAAAAACAAAATTAAGATAATTATAATGACATAGGTTGGCGTTAACAAAAAATGTTTTTAATTAAAAACTTAACCACGAAGGTTTAGTGAATAGTATGCAATTTTACTCATGCTATTAAAACAGTTATCAAGAGTAGTTCATATTGAAAGTCTACTAGAAAATCTTATTTTAGTGCTTATTAATTTCCATACTAATTTCGGCTTTTTAATTCTATGGGGGTCGCGGGTTACTTACTTTTTATAAAAGGGGGTCGCCACTGGAAAAAGGTTGGAAACCACTGATCTAAATATATCTACATATTAAATCGTAATTTGGCTAATTAAGCTATACTTACTCTTCTCTGTTAGCACTGAGTTGTTCGTTAGGAGTAGGATGAGCGAAAGTTTAAAGTTCATTTTTGCAGTTCTTCTACAAATGACAGAGGTAACATTGAATTAAACATAAACAACTTAACAGAATACAGGCAAACCTTCAGTGCTATAGTAAGTTAACATTACATGGAAGAGGTATCTTCAGTACTGCAGTAAGTTAACTAACATTACATTAAAAGACATATCTTCAGTACTACATTAAGTTAACATTAAAGACATATCTTCATTATTACAGTAAGTTAACATTACATTAAAGACATATTTTCAGTACTACAGTAAGTTAACATTACATTAGAGATATCTTCAGTACTACAGTAAGTTCACATTACATTAGAGATATCTTCAGTATTACAGTAAGTTAACATTACATTAGAGATATCTTCAGTACTACAGTAAGTTAACATTACATTAGAGATATCTTCAGTAATACAGTAAGTTAACATTACATTAGACATTATATACTACAGTAAGTTAACATTACATTAGACAATATGTACTACAATAAGCTAACATTACACTAGAGACTATGACCTCTGACCAGGTTGAACTCTCTCAGCTACAGAAAAGCACGACTAACATCAATCACTTCCAATATATTTAAACCATTGGTTTAAACTCTACGATGCAGTAAGTATATGTTAACTGCACTGCACATAGGCGGATCTTGCGTTGGATGGGGTAACCCATATTTTGATTATTTTTAAGCCTCACTACCTACCTACCCAGCCCAC